CGCTGATTCCACTGCCCGCTTCTCCATTTCCTGATCTTGTCTCTTCCCCAAAGCACAATCTCTGGTGCTCCTGAAGGATCAATCCCTAATATGTAATCACCAGGAGAAGGATCGTTCTCAGATTTCCAAGAGACGAAAGCGAGATTATCTCCGGTTTGGGGATTCACACGAACTCTCATCTGAGGCAGAAACGTATCCGTTGGGTGGTCGAAACTCTCCCAAAGAGCTCTCTCTGAGTTAGCTTCAACCAGTTCGAAGTTCCCAGTATCGCGTATTGCTCCGACTCTGTTGTTGTTGTTGTTGCTGCTCGCTGTAATGTTTGAAGACCAGACAGTGATGTTTTCCCCGTTTAGTAACACGAGATTCCCGTCGTTGCTTATCGTGAGAGCTCCAGATTTGTCTGAAATCGGGGTTTCTCTGTTTGCTACCCACACAACAGCTTTGTCTTCGATGTTTCCATACCAAATCCCTAGATAACGGAGAGTGGAGACTCCTGGACTGAAGAATCCGAGCTCGAATGTCTTTTGAGGGGAGACTAAAGGTTTGTGATTTGAACCGTCTCGAAGAAATTCGCCTCTTCTGATTGTATCTGCAGCCATGGAAGATTCATAGAGGAAGAAGAAGAAGAAGAATAAGAGAGAAACAGAAAGTGTGGGTTTTCGAAAGATTCTCATTTTCTGGGTTTTGCGAGAGAACCAAGTGAGGGTGTTTGTAATAAAGGATTGGTTTTTTTTGAGAATTGCTTAAAGAGGAAAGAAGAAGAACAGAGGAAGCATTAGAATGGCGGAAACTTCCTATAAGATTAAAAGGTTAGAGAGGTGGGTGTCAAAGGAAGGTGGCTGTTTGTGAGACTTACTGTTTGAGAAGTTTCTCTCTTTCGTTTTCAAGGTCGGAAATTTGGACCAGAGAATTAAAATTAGAATCTTTTTGGTCTTTACTTATTGGTGAAACAATATAAAAATGTCAAATTGTTTGAATTAAATTTCACCTTTATAAGGTATTATTGCCTTTCAATACTCTTTTTTTCAACATTATACAACCTGCAGACATGTATGTGTTTGAGGAATATGACCCAATAAAATTGCAGTTTAAGAGATTGATTAGAGTTTAAAGCGGTTTACTGTTTCATTATAAATGATGAATTACACTATGAATTTGGTGGTTAATAATAAATTTGAAAAAAAAATAATAATAATTTGAGGAAAAAAGGGTTACACACTTACACGAGTGGAGCAGTTAGCTTAGTAGAATATTTTTATTAATATTTTTGTTCAAAAGCTTATTGCCGTTGGCCGCCAGATTGACTCATGTGGTCAAATTATCGCACATTGGATTTGGATGGTCTTCTCTTTATTTTATTGCACGGGATATATTTTACATATATCAATGTTCTTAACTATATTCATATACATGTTGTTTTCTCGCCTAATATGATAAAATCCAATAATTGCTCCAAACTTAAATATATTTAGTTTACAAGACGTTAAATTATTTCTGCAAAAGTATATCGATGAGGCCAAACCTCAAGTGGATGGCACTAGCAAGTAGCAACAAAGCATATAATGATACAATGCCAGATCGATTATGGAGTTTACATTATTGATTAATTTAGTAGTGAATTAGTTAAATTAAAAGTGAAATTTTACACAAAAAAAAACTTAGTTTAATTGAGAATGTGTCTACTAGCCTTCAACTACTAAAAAAAAATTCAGTTTCCATTTCAGAAAAATACTCTACGGAATGTCCACCGGCCACAATGCGGAGTCAAGAATTCTATCGCTAGATTATTAGGAGTTAGGACAAAGACAACTTCACTTCACCAATAACATTTTTGTTTTTGATATAGTCATATAGACTTCTACTAACCCAATACGTTATCTACTAGTATTTTACACGTGATATTATGCTGTTCACATTTTTTATATATATAATTTTGATTGGTAAATACGCACTCTTTCCTTTTTATACAATTATGCTCTTCAAGTTGTTGTTGTTTTCTTGTGAACCATTGACGACATATGTGTAAGTAGCCCTAATAAATTTATTATAGTCTTCTCTTAGAAAATGAAAATTTTTTAGGCTAATGACTTCCTCAGTACTTATTAAGGTAATTTTTTTGACAAAAAGTGAAAAATTAAGCTAATTAAATTTATAGTCTTCTCTTAGAAAATGAAAAATTATTTAGGCTAATGACTTCCTCAGTACTTATTAAGCTATTTTTTTTTTGACAAAAAGTGAAAAATTAAGCTAACTAAATTTTCATTAATATGGATAAATCAAGTCAGGCTGTCTGAAAATTCACACAAACAAAACCCACTAAAAGGCTTAAAGAGAATAATCAAAAAACATCTACAGTTTAAGCTCCCTAACGAGAAGATAACTCAGAAACAGTGACATCATTCAACGACACTTGTAACCCTTCCGTCGAAGAAGATACATTCGAAGGTACCACACTATCTAACACAAACGCAGGCCGCGAAGGCGTCGGGAGAGTAAAGGAATAGCTACTGAGCATGAGAGCAACCGAAGCCATTGTTGGTCTAGTCGCTGCACTCTCTTGGACACATAACAGACCAATGTGTATGCATCTCAAGATCTCGTTTCTTGATCCCGTGGTTAAACTCGGATCAATCACGCTTAGTATCATGTCTTCTCTCCAGCTTCTCCATACCTGAGAAGACAAAACAGAATCAATATTCATAATAACAAACATTGAAGCCTCCAATTTCAGGTATTGGTTTTGTGTACTTACCCAGCTGAGAAGATCTTCTGCCTCTTCATCATCATTGGATCGACCATTGTTGTTTCTCTTACCTGTAATGATCTCAATGACTAATACACCGAAGCTAAAAACGTCAGTTTTTACAGAGAACTGTCCATGCATAGCGTATTCCGGAGCCATATACCCGCTACAAGATGAAATGAAACAAACTGTTTATACCGGTGTGTTCTTGGATTTAACAAGTTAGTCAGATGAATTCACTTACTAAGTTCCTGCAATTCTGTTTGTGAATCGTGTCATGGTTTGGCCTGTGTCAAAGAGTTTAGCTAATCCAAAATCTGCGATTTTTGGATTCATTTCTTGGTCCAAAAGAATGTTGCTGGCTTTAAGATCACGGTGGATTATCCGGTAACGAGAGTCTTCATGAAGATAAAGAAGCCCTCTAGCAACTCCTCCGATCATTTTGTATCGCATTCCCCAATCCAAAAGTTGACGCTTTTCAAGATCTGCAACGGCGTAAAGATCAACACATAGCGGGAATAGAATGGTGGGGATCATATGGAGCAAAAAGTGGCAAAAATTTACCAAATATGAAATGATCAAGACTAGCGTTCTTGATAAACTCATAGACAAGGAGTCTTTCTTCTCCTTGTATGCAGAAACCTAAAAGCCTAACCAAGTTCCTATGTTGAAGCTTTGCAAGAAGTATAATTTCGTTCTTGAATTCGATGTCTCCTTGTCCAGAGTTACCCGATAATCTTTTCACCGCGATTTCTTGCCCATGATAGAACACACCCTGAGACATACATAATCCAAACTTCATAAATCTCTTGAATAAACAAACCAAAGTTACCGGTAAGAAGTTTGGTTTAAGAAACTTTACCTTATAAACTGAACCAAACCCACCACGTCCAAGTTCATTTTCAGGAGAAAAGTTATTTGTTGCGGCCTTTAGATTTTCAAAGTCAACTAACAGTGAATCTGTGTTCGAGAACTCATCCTCAGCAATTGATCCCGACAAAGGCGAACTTCCAAGAACTGAATATGCAGACAGTAGTTATCAGGATTATAGTTTATCCTTTATACAGAATAACAATAACAAGAAGAAGAACAATGTGTTACCTTTGACTTTATTTCCAGACTTGTTCTTCTTCCATTTCAAGACCAAGCATAGACAAAGTGCAAATAACACAACAAGAACTATGGGGATTACTATCGCAATAACGACTTTAGATCCACCTTTTTTGCCCTTTCCTGCAATAAAAATTCACTGTCTTAGTTTTTGCAACGTATGCACCAAAACACACGAGACACAAAAGCATTTCTCTGTACCTGATCTCTCAGTTTTTGAATCTGATATTGGTGAATCAGCAGGCTGGATTGCAGGTGGATCAGGCTCAAGGTCAGCGTCAAACTCATAGAATCGCCACGTCTCAAACCGGAAGCTACAACTAGGACAAAACCACCTAAGACCAATCTCAGCATCACAACAACTTGAGATACTCTCAAACCCAAAAACCAGACAGTCGTTACAATCCTTTTCAGACAAATCCGGCGTACACTGTGCACTTCCGTAGAAGCTACGGTACCCCAACGAAGCCGAACCGTTCCCTTGAGCATATTTCCTATTCGACCCACCAGACGCAGCAATCCCTTGGAGCCTATTCAGTAGCTCTCTCTGAAGACGCTCAAACTCATCTCTGTTTGCTGATATCTGTTCACCAGCACGAAAAGCCAGAGTTGGGTTCGTCTCTTTTCTTCCATAGATTGTCCTGTTCGAGTAACGAAACATACAGTGCGTGTACCACACAACGGCTTGTTTCGAAACCGGACACTGCTCGGTGAGGTTTCTTGCAGCTGTATGAATACAGCTGAGACAATCATCTCTGTTGACTTCTCTTCTGCAAAGACCAATTGCATAAGCTCTTTCTCCAGATGAGTCTCCAGAAGAGAGGTTGTAGAAGCCATAAGGTTTGGATGTGAGTGAAGAGAGGGAGGAGACAAGGCTGTTGAGATTGATGGAGAAAGTGCTGTTGGCCGTGAAATTGCCTCCACGAGATACACATTTGAACCTTGGAGAAAACTCATAGGTATCCACCTGAGCTAAGGCGAGAAATGGAACAAACATTAGGACACAAGCGAAGAAGAAGAAGATAACTCTGAGATGATCCATGGAATCTTTGAACCTTTTTTTTTTCTTCTTCTGGTTATTATGGTAAAGGTCGATCTAATATGACGTTTGAAATAATTTCAAAATCTGACAGCAGAAAAAAACACAACTTTCCGATCAAACACGATTATAAAAGTCAGTAGCAGACACTAGTGGGCAGTCTTTGCGAGTCGGGTCAACGGTGGTGAGAAAAACTTTATATACATTATTGCTCACCACTTTCCTCCCAAGTACCAATTTGAACTGGGACCAAAAAAAACTGACACTTTGAATACTTTTCACACCAACTAGAACTTCAAACTAATCAATCTTACATTAATCTAAATAATAGTAAACAGAGTATTAAGTAGAGACCCATCATGGATCTTACTCGCTAAATGAGTTATCTTTTTCAGAATTTAGGAATGTGACTTTATAAGGGGCCAAACCGGGGAAACCAAATGCGTTTGCTTTACTACAAACTACGAAAGTAAGAGGAAACATCTATATATATCCTGGTTTAGGCATAAGACTTGTCAAACTAAAATCTGAAGGCCAAAACTAAAAATGCAATTGGAACCTACAATGTAGCTTCTTCACTATAACCTGCAATATGCAAACCGGAAACCATCCAAAATGTTAATATCTTTGGCACAGGAACCTGGACCTCCATGGATGTATCGGTTTGATTTTGTCGAACCGAAACGATGATTATGGGTTTGGATTCTTCAATCTGCTTCGAAACCACTTGCGGCTAGTAAATCGGATTTTCCTTGATGGCGTTGACGGTGAGGAAACAGAGAGGAACCGAGTCTTGCGACGGCGGATTTTAAAGCTGGGGAGAGCAAAAGAACTAGTCGCCGGAGATATAGTGTGAACCAAGCCCGGGTCGAAACAGATTTAAAATTTGAAACACACAATAACCGGGATAAACCGAACCGAAAACTACACGTTCTTGTCCAGTTTTAGGATTTTTTTTTTTTAAAATTGGAGAAGGTAAGAATTATCAGATCGGAAAGTCGTCGGATCTTAAGAAAGGGAACAAAAAAAAGTTTTTCATATCAATTTCATCTACAGAGAAAACTGAACCAAACCCACCACGTCCAAGTTCATTTTCGGGAGAAAAGTTATTTGTTGCGGCCTTTAGATTTTCAAAGTCAACTAACAGAGAATCTGTGTTCGAGAACTCATCCTCGGCAATTGATCCCGACAATGGCGAATTTCCAAGAACTGAATATGCTGACAGTAGTTATCAGGATTATAGTTTATCCTTTTTAACAGAATACCATTAACAAGAAGAAGAACATTGTAGTTACCTTTGACTTTATCTCTAGACTTGTTCTTCTTACACTTCAAGACCAAGCATAGACTGGATTTGAGTGAGCGGTTTCTCCAGATGAGTCTCCAGAAGAGAGGTTGTAGAAGCCATAATGTTTGGATTTGAGTGAGGAGAGGGAGGAGACAAGGCTGTTGAGATTGCTGGAGAAAGTGCTGTTGGCAGTGAAATTGCCTCCACGAGATACACATTTGAAGCTTCGAGAAAACTCATAGGTATCCACCTGAGCTAATGCGAGAAATGGAACAAACATTAGGACACAAGCGAAGAAGAAGAAGAAGATAAGTCTGAGATAATCCATGGAAGCTTGAAGCTTTTTTTTTCTTCTGTGATGTACCGTTTACGAGAAAACCCCAGAACGTAAGGCGTCTAGATATGGTAAAGTTCAATCTAATAGACCTCGAATCATTAAAAAAAAAAGCTAATAGTTCTTGAACTATTTCAAAATCTTACAGCCGAAAGAACACAAGTTGCTGACCAAAAACCATTATAATTTCATTAGCAGACACAAGTGGGCAGGCTTTGTCAGGTTGCTGGGTCCTGCACGATGATAGATTCATAGAACTACAATATAAAACTAACGAGTTGGTGCAGCGAATCAGGTTCAACAGTGTGAATATAAGAAATGTTCATTGCTTACTTCTTTCCTCTCAATTACCTATATGAACTGAAATGACTGAAACAGTTTTCAAACCGGCAAACAAATGTGTTCACTTCACTACGCAAAGTGTTAATATTTTCTTCATCGAGAGAAATGCAATATGCAAGCAAACCAGAAACCACGGAAAATGTTAAAATTTCCAGCACAGGAACATAGCCCTCGCGTACTTCAATGAAGAAAGATCATAACTTCATTCACAGGTCTTTGCTAGGAAATAGTAGCAAAGGAAAATTGGAGGAACAGACCAGAGATGAGTAACTCTGTTGCTCTTATCAACAGCCTCGACCTCGAATCTCGCCATGGAAACATCAGTACCTGCTAGTCGAAGCTGTGAATACATTAATCACGACAAGTCTAGTAATGAAACACACTGTACATCTCTCCCGTGAGTATCGGATTGCTTAAACTCGACGAGAGGAGAATCTGTGGTAAGGCTAGATAGCTCCATTAATCCATTGAAATTGAGAGTCCCAAGATCGAATCAGCACAACAGGGAGGTCAAACCCCTTAATTTTGTCTAACAATTGGGATACAGAAAAGAAACTAATTAGATTTAGCTCAAGACCACGTCGTTGAAACCCGGGCGCCATGTATGAGGATTGAGGACACAGGACAGGCTTGGTTCGGTAAGAAAAAGGAATTAAGGACAAAGAAAGGGAGTAAGTGAAATAAACTATCGATCCCAGACCGGGTCGAAACAAGTTGAAACATGCGATAACCGGTATTCGCCGAACCGTAAAACTAACGAACCGGTGCTAAGTGAACAGATAGACCAGGGTAAACGGTTCGGTTCGCTTTTCTTTGTTGGTTAAATCGGTTCGCTCCTTAACGAGGAGGTAACATTAAAAAGGAGGAATCAAAAAGCAATTACAGTCACAGATAAAGCTCCCCCTAACGAGGAGATAACTCAGAAACGGTGACATCATTCAACGACACTTGTAACCCTTCCGTTGAAGAAGAATCATTTGAAGGTATCGCATCCTCATACACAAACGCAGGCCTTGAAGGCGTCGGGAGAGTAATGGAATATCTACTGAGCATGAGAACAACCGAAGCCATTGTTGGTCTAGTCGCTGACTTCTCTTGAACGCATAATAAACCAATGTGTATGCATCTCAAGATATCGTTTCTTGATCCCGTGGTTAAACTCGGATCGATCACGCTTAGTATATTATCTTCTCTCCAGCGTCTCCATACCTGAGAAGAAGACAAAACAGAATCACAAGTTCATTTAAGAAGATGACCAATACTGAAACACAGTTACCAGTTTGGTCTTAGTGTACTTACCCAACTAAGAAGACCTTCTGCATCTTCATCATCATCAGATCGACCATTGCTATTTCTGTTACCTGTAATGATCTCAATGACTAATACACCGAAGCTAAACACGTCTGTTTTTACTGAGAATTGCCCGCGCATCACATATTCCGGAGCCATATACCCGCTACAAGATGAAATGACATAACCGGTTTATACCAATGTTTCTTTGGATTTAACAAGTTAGTAATTATGAATTTTACTTACTAGGTTCCCGCAATTCTGTTTGTGATTCGATGTGTCGCGGTTTGGCCTATGTCAAAGACTTTAGCTAATCCAAAATCTGCGATTTTGGATTCATTTCTTGGTCCAAAAGAATGTTGCTGGCTTTAAGATCACGGTGGATTATTCGGTAACGAGAGTCTTCATGAAGATAAAGAAGTCCTCTAGCAACTCCTCCGATCATTTTGTATCGCACTCCCCAATCCAAAAGTTGACGCTTTTCAAGATCTGCAACGGCGCAAAGATCAATACATAGCGGAAAAAGAATAGTGGGATCATATATGGAGCAAAAAAGGGCAAAAAATTACCAAATATGAAATGGTCCAGACTAGCGTTCTTGATGAACTCATAGACAAGGAGCCTTTCTTGTCCTTGTATGCAGAAACCTAAAAGCCTGACCAAATTTCTATGTGGAAGCTTTGCAAGAAGTATAATTTCGTTCTTGAATTCAATGTCTCCTTGTCCAGAAGTACCAGATAATCTTTTCACCGCGATTTCTTGCCCACAAGAGAACACACCCTGAGACAGACATAATCCCAAGCTTATCAGATGTTCAAATAAACAAACCAAAGTTACCGGTAAAAAAGCTTGATCCAAGAAACTTTACCTTATAAACTGAACCAAACCCACCACGTCCAAGTTCGTTTTCTGGTGAAAAGTTATCTGTTGCTGCCTTTAGAGTTTCGAAGTCAATCAGCAGCGAATCTTCATCCAATAACTCATCCTCGGCAATTGATCCTGATAAAGGCGAATTCACAAAAACTGAATATGCAGACAGTATTTCTCTGCATTATAGTTTATCCTCTGTTACAAAATAAAGAATGACAAGAAGAAGAACGTTGTGTTACCTTTGACTCTATCTTCAGACTTGTTCTTCTTCCATTTCAAAACCAAACATAAGCAAATTGCAAATAACGCAACAAGAACTGTCGGGATGACTATTGCAATAACGACTTTAGATCCACCTTTGCCCTTTCCTGCAATAAAACATTCACTTTCTTAATCATAGAGACAAAACATTTGCAACAGGACACACAAGAGACACATCCAAAGTGTTTCAATGTACCTGTTCTCTCAAATTTTGCAGCTGGTGGCTGAATTGCAGGTGGATCAGGCTCTAGGTCGGCATCAAGCTCATAGAATCGCCACGTCTCAAACCGGAGGTTACAACTAGGACAAAACCACCTAAGACCAATCTCACCATCACAACAACTTGGGATACTCTCAAACCCAAAAGCTAGACAGTCATTACAGTCCTCTTCAGACAAATCCGGCGTACACTGCGCACTTCCGTAGAAGCTACGGTACCCTACCGAAGCTGAACTGTTCCCTTGAGCGTACTTCCTATTTGGCCCACCAGCCGCTGCAATCCCTTTGAGCCTATTCAATAGTGCTCCCTGCAGACGCTTAAACTCATCTCTGTTTCCTGATATCTTTTCAACGGCAACAAAAGCCAGAGTTGGATATGTTTCTTTTATTCCATATATATTCCTGTTCGAGTAACGAAACATACAGTGCGTGTACCACATCACATATTCTTTTTTCTGCGGATTCCGCTCGGTGAGGTTTCTTGCAGCTGTCTGAATACACCTGAGACAATCATCGCTTTTGACATCTCTTCTACACAGACCAATTGCATAAGCTCTTTCTCCAGATGAGTCTCCAGAAGAGAGGTTGTAGAAGCCATAAGGTTTGGGTGTTAGTGAGGAGATAGAGGTGACAAGACGGTCGAGATTTTTGGCAAAACTGTTGGTTGCCGTGAATGTTCTTACAATTGGATCAAACTCATAGGTATCTACCCGAGCTAAGGCGTGAAACGGAACACAGGTTAGAAAAAAAGCAAGAAAGAAGAATCTAACTCTGACATGTTCCATGGAAGCTTGAAGCTTTTTTTTTCTTCTTCTGGTTATGGTAAAGGTCCATCTAATCTGACCTTTAAAATATTTTCAAAATCTGACAGCAGAGAAAAAAAACACAACTTCCCGATCAAACACGATTATAACATTCAGTAGTTGACACTATTGGGCAGTGTTTGCGAGTCGGGTCAACGGTGGTGTGAAAAACGTTATATAGATAAAAGTGTTTATTGCTCACCACTTTCCTCCAAAGTACCAATGTGAACTGGAAAAGAAAAAAACTGAGACTTTGAATACTTTTAAACCAACTAGGAATTCAAACTAATCAACCTTACAGTAATCTAAATGATAGTAAACTAAGTATTAAGTAGACTGTAGAGTTGAGTCTATACCCATCATGGAATCTTACTCGTTAAGTGAGTTATCTTTCAAAATTTACGAAGGTGACTTTGCAAGGGCCAAACGGGGGAAACCAAATGCGTTTGCTTTACTACAAAGTCCAAAAGTAAGAGGACGTGTTTGATGGAACATCTATACACAGTATATCCTGATTTGGGCATAAGAGTTGTCAAACTCAAATCTGAAGCTAAATATGCAATTGGAGCCTACTAGCTTCTTCACTAAAACCTGCAATACGAAAACGGGAAACCACCCAAAAATGTTAATATTTTCATCACAGGAACCTGAACCTGAACCCTTGATTTTGTCGAACCGAAACGATGATTTTTGAGTTTGGATTCTTCAATCTGCTTCGAAATCACTTGCGCCAAATAATCGGATTTTCCGTGGTGGCAGTGACGGTGAGGAAACAGAGAGGAACCGAGTCTAGCGACGGCGAATTTAAAAGCTGAGAGAAAAAGATGTAGTCGCCGGAGATATAGGTGTGAACCCAGCCCGACCGGGTCGAAACAGATTGAAATTTTGAAACACACGATAACCGGGATAAACCGAACCGAAAACTACACGTTCTTGTCCGGTTTTAGGATTTTTTTAGAAAAAAAAACAAATTCGAGAAGGTAAGAACTATCAGATCGGAAAGTCGTCGGAAACAAAAAGAAGTTTTTCATATCAAATTCATCTACAGAGAAAAACAGGGCAAGTATTAACACACTAACGTCTGTTTCTGGCATTGGATCACTCTGTTTCTTGGGACACTAAAGAATCAAATTATAATGTTGTCTTTCTGCGATAACTCAAATTTTCTTTGCGTTGTTTTGTGTTATCTTTACAATGAGCTGGAGAAGTATGGTTATGGACTCTATTGATAAGAAGAATGGAATCTGATCATCAACTGTTCTTCAATTTTTTTTTTTTTTTTTTTTTGTAATCGAGTTCTCGCATATTGAATAATTTTCTTACTGGCTTGATCTGCTGCTATGAATCTCTTACTATGTAAACTGAACCAGATGATTCACAAATCAGTGTAGAAAAAAAAATAATGTTTCCGGAAAACTTAGGTCACTCTGTTCTCATTCTCTCTTTGCTTGCAAGTTTCTAAACCAGGGAGGGAGAGAGAGATCATCCTGGAATTGAGGAGAGACACCCAGTAATTTTAGGGATATGACAAAAGTAGTCATTACTGTTTCAGGATTTTGATTAAATATTAAAACCTCTTCTCCCCCTTAAATCTCCCCATTGGATCAGATTAATTATTAAATTATTCCTCATATGACAAAACCCACTCTGATCAATTTACTAAATTCTGAAGTTTTTATTTCCCTTCTTTTCAACTCAATCCATGATCATTCTTTGCTTTTCTTGCAAGGATCATTTACCTAATAAACGCTTCCATTACATTCCTCTATCTCTTCATTTCCAGACGTCAATGGTGATGATAATGTTCATCTTATGCTGTCACTCGTGAAGATAAGAACCCCAGAAAGAGAAAAACCTGACTCTGAGAAAATTTCTTAAAATATCTTGTGAGAGAAGTTATCAACAACTTAAACTAAAATGTTGGCTTTCTCAAAGATGGCTAGATTCCGAGGGTTGCTTCAAACACGAGCTACCACATTCTTAATCAGAAACTACCATAAACAACCTATCGAAGTTGTGTGGCAGAAACCCGAAATAGGGTGGACAAAGCTAAACTTTGATGGGTCGAGAAGAGAAGGACAAGCCAGCATTGGAGGAATATTCAGGAACCACAAAGCCGAGTTCCTCCTTGGATACTCAGAATCCATAGGGGAAGCCACAAGCACCGTGGCTGAATTTGCAGCCCTCAAAAGAGGGCTCGAGCTGGTTCTAGAAAACGGGTGGACGGATCTCTGGCTCGAAGGAGATGCCAAGATCATAGTCGATATCATCGCCAAGAGAGGGAGATTGAGATGTGAAGAGGCAAAAAAGCATGTGAATTACATCAATGTGGTTATGCCTGGTCTGAGCAACTGCATGTTGAGCCATGTTTACAGAGAAGGGAATCGAGCCGCTGATAAATTGGCTAAGTTAGGACATCAGTTTCAGGATCCTAAAGTCTGGAGGCTTCAGCCTCCAGAAATAGTCCTACCGATTGTGCATGAAGATGCAGAAGGTAAGATTGTTCTTAGAACAAAATGAGACCAAACGAGAAAAAGTTTGTAATTAGGTTGCGTATATATCATTAGATTTTGTCAATAACCAGCTAACATGTGTAAATAAGTATTAACTTTTGTAACATCAAGATATTTACCAATTTCAAGAATGATATCAATGCTTCTTTATTATTCATCACTCAACAACAATCTGAATGAAAAAATGAATTCCCTTATGTTCTTATTTGTTTATTTCTATATATCTTTACATTTTGCTAACGCAACGGATGAATCTTTCCGAGAAGAATGTTGTAATTCTCAATGGTCAAGAATCAAGAATGGTACCTCCAGTTCTAGTTATAATCTTGATGCAGCGGTTGAATCTGAAGATGTGAGCTCCCGGATTTCCTTTACAGCTTCACTGATCTTATGGATCGCCATTTTCTTCACCTGGATTCGCAGCGATACATATACATAAACACCACTCCTTTTCAATCAATCTTGCTTAAAACTAAGGGAACTTACCTCAATCTTGTTTGCTTTAGTTTTGACGCTCTGAGGAAGTTGACTGAGCTCGCCCACTATTTTGATAGTTTCGCTAACGTGCTCAGGTGAAAGAAAATGCAGAACCGCATTTACACAAGACTAGCAGAAATATGCAAAAGTTATCTTAAGAAAATTAATAACTTTGCGATCATAAAGAAGATGAGAGCGTGTTGAGTGCTAAAAAATACCCTATTCTTTCTATTTTGGTATGGACATCCAGCAGGGACGATGACTGCTTCCCCGACACATTGATCAAAGCTCCATGGTTCAACGTCTGAAGAAACAGAATAAGCGGCATGAAACTGAGTATTTGTTACAGTCACAAAGCAACGGTGAGTTAAAACTAGGAGAAATGACGATATTATACTTACCAAACTCTTCCTTAAGCCTTGCTTTGTGATATTCATCAAGATAGTAACTCTGCTCAAGTAATGGGTGACTCACCTACAACAATGATACATAACATCAATTAGATTGTTCTCTTGTAAAAGCGTTTGAACCATCAACCCCAAAACTTACTTGTTTTTTGCTGGAATCCATGGTATCTAGCTCGAGAGAGTGCCTCTTAATATACTCAAGAAGTTTTGAAACATCTTGCTTCTGGAATACATCCCACTGGGCACCATAAGAGTTGCTTAGACTTTCTTCTTCACAAGAGTCGTTGCAAATTTCTCTTTCCTCTCCCTGACACTCACTGGCTTTGTATTTAGCGCCTAAGCTGAGTTGTGAAGATTCTGAATCAGAACTGGAACAGTCATCCGACCAATCCCTCTGAGCATATGAAGCTTCAAAATCTTGTTTCTTTCCCCCACCAAATCTGCTCTTCCTTTTCTTTTCTGGATTTTTAGATGTTCCTCTCCCTACATTTTTCATTAGCTTTCTTATTCTACAAATCTGTTTTGTAGATACCGGTGTATCTGTAACATGTAACAAGATATCCACCTGCAGGTCAAATATAAAGCTTGAGAAAAATACAACTAGAATTGAAAAGTTAAACCAGAAAAGTCAAAGAAAATGCTGCTGACCACGGTTATACTTCGCTAATAACCAATGTAAATCTTTAATATGTAAATTTAGGAATTGCAAAATAAGGGAAAACTCAAAATGGAATGACTCAGAAACTTACCGTATCACAAGTATTGAAACCTAACTTCTTCACAGAATCAGGGTTTGCATATTCTTCACCACTCCGGTAAGACATATTGAGGAATGGACCTAGATTGGGTGTTTGAATTATGTCAGGTAGGTTGGCAGCGATATTTAGTACACCGCGCTTTGGATCCATGTAACGGGAAATTGGTAAAATTCTCAGTATTTCAGCAAAATGATGTGGGAACTGTTCTTCAAACAAAGAAGGCGAAAGCCATCCATCCAGCTTCAGCCTCTCTTGACAAGTATTAGTCTCAGCCTTTCCTCGCAAAGGCCCCAAGAAAAATTGCTTTACCCCGATTTCTACCTGTTATTGAATAAGGTCTTAAAATCCAGAAAGAACAAGAGCAGCAGTAACATCACAGAACACAAGTTACTAACCTCAAACCAATCCATGCAATCGGTTGTATTACCGGTTATGCTATTTCTGTTCATAAGATAACTACAGAACATAGCTACGGGATCCCAGTCGAGGCTTGAACCACCCTTTAACACACTACGAACTATTACAGGATGTCCTTTACTCCAGTGTGTCTGAAAATGTTCTAGGTTGTTTTGTTGAAAATCCATCACTGTAGGGTAGTATAAAAAGTTACTAGTTCCGTCTTCTCTTCTCCTGGATGCTTCTTTCAAATGGTTGTCACTACTACTAGATTGCTTTTCCACTCCAAGACAAAACGGACATCCCGAGAATTTATCTAAGATTTCAGGCAACTCATAGCAACTGACTATTTCTTCTGCACTGATCTCTAACTTCCTTGTCAAGTCCAGAGAGAATAGACTTTTCAAAGAAAGGTTATTGCTGCACCCTTTGACTTGTTTCCACTTACAATCCGTTAGAGCTTCTTTTAGAGATTGGTCCCAAGCATTAGATAAGGGCGGCTTATAGGATTTTATACCATTCGAGCATTGGACTGTCCCAACCTTTTTAGATAAGCTCCCTTGACTCCGATCTTGGTCAGAACTTAGCCTGAGAACAGAGGAACGGCGTCTACACCTTTTTCCCAAATCCACAACGGTAGAGTCGCGACTGCTGCTACTCAGACAGATAATTAGATGAGTTTGTAAGAGAAAGAAAAAACACAAAGAGATAACATAATATGTCAAACTTAACAGTTGAAGAGAATAAGGTAAAAGAGTGAGCACCAGAGCTGTGGATCATCAGAGGTTGATTCAGCACTATGGATCCGAGGTCCAGCTGGATTTGGCTCTCACAAATGTGAAAAAAGAAACCCATAAGATTTGAGTAAATGAGTTTAACTTAACAGAACCAGGGGATCCAGAAAAGAAAGACTCTGAATAAGAGTAGTCTAATTATGGATATCTGTGTCTTAAAATATAGAAAGATTAGCAAATAGAAAGGATTTATCAAACTATTAAACACCTTTCTTTTCTGCGTCATTTTCGACCTCTACTTTGTCTTCTACATTGATTCCTTTAAGTACTGGAAGAAGCAAGCACACCGCATAATGTAGATGCAAAACCCTGTCAATATCACTCCTAGCATTCTGAGAATCCTAGAACATGTTATACAAGTAAGCAACTTCGTGTTACAAAATATCAGAAGAAAGAAAACAAAAAAAATCATGTAAGCTCTTTAGGGTAAAGAACTATTAGATAGTCAGACCTTACATTCAGTGACTCCAGAGATAGTAACTGAGCAAGCCTTGCACCTACATGATCCACTGCATACAGGGCATTTTTTCTTAACTTCTTCTTTTGACCCCTTGTTCCTAATTTATTCCAAGCAAAATTTCAATAAGATGACTGCTTTCTACCCCAAATGAGTAGCTCAAATCAATACAGCTATACAAATTCTAATGAGACCGTCATCAAAAAGACCAAGGCTTTCTGGAAACAAGATAAATAACAAAGCAAACATAACCGAACATACCTTTTCTCGATACAATCTAAGCAAAAGAACTCTCTTTCACAACTCAAACAAGTAATCAAATCCTCAAATCCTTTGGTTCCACACCAATGACACCTCTTCTTCTTCCCCTTCCCTGCATTAACCAAATCCCTCTTGTAAGGAACCACCTTGAAAACAATCACACAAAACCAAATGTTATACACAGATAAGAGTAAATAAAGAAACTATTTGCATACACACAAAAGTGTAAAAATTCAAGCTTTTTTCTATTACCTGCATCTTCCCAACAGGCAAAGGTTCAATGTTCTTAGACCTAAATCTTCTTTTAGTCATCGAAACCGGTTCTTCGCCTACTTTAACATCACAAGGAGAAGTCACATTGCTTGTAGTCGGAGAAGGTGGAGAAATCGCCATGACGCCATTAGGAAGAACCCTCGTTAACTCTTCTCCTACGAAATCACCAAAACCTTTACTACTACTACTTTCCTTCTTCTTGCTCTTTTTGTTTTGGACTCTCTTCTTCTTCTTCTTCTCAACTTCTCTCTTCAACACCATCCTTATCAAATCCAACTGCAAATCACCTCTCTTCAGCTTCATCTTCCTCACCGCTTCATCAACAGCCTCTGCCTCTCCCATCACTCGCTTCCTCTTCTTCGATTTCCCCAATCTATTAGCCCTAATTCCGTCTCCGTTTGGCTCGATCTCTGAAGACGCCGCTTCGTCTCCTTGCCTTGATCTAACGAGCCTCATCGACTCAAAAGCTTTCTCCTTGTTCCGCTTCTGACTAAGCTGCGAGGTATGAGTCTCGCACATCTTCTTCCCCTCCAAAGCTCGTCTCTTGCATCGCCATTGCTTACCATCGGACCGGTTGCAACGAAACTCGTCCGGGACAACCTCGTTCTCCGACATTCTCGAATTAACCCGGAAATTCTCTGAATTCAGATGAGAAATTCCGGCGGAATCTCTCGTGATTAGTGATCTGAAACCAGAGAAGAACGGCTCTGTAGTCAGAGAGAAAGAGAGAGAGGAAGCGTAAAAGGGAGGAGCTTTTATGCAGAGTGAGAGAAGTGGTAGTCTTGTAATTTTGCGGAGAACGAGAGTCTTGTTTTGGTAACGTAAGATCGCAAATATCGAGACTTCGAGAGGATCTTCAGTTTTTCAGTTACCTCCTCTCTGGTCTTTTTTTTTTCTATTTTGTTTCTATTTTTTCTCTACAACCCTATTTTGCTATGTTGAAGAAACACAAATCTTTTGCTAATGATTTTGTTAATTTTTTCTTTTTGATAATGATTTTTAGTTTCTTTTGCATATTGTAGTGGTTACTAGTTTTACATAAATTTCAGTTGATTGCACATCGATTCACTATACTAGGCGACAGAAGAATAAATTCAACTTTTTTAACTGTAAAAAGTGTTTTTCTCAATTTGCATGCGGATTAAAATTATTTAAATATTTTTATTTTATTTTTATTCATTCTACTAGCTATATTGCAAGAATTAAAGTGGCTTTAAACTTTTTTAAAAAAAACTTATTAACTCTGATTAATAAAAAACTGTATTGTTTGTAAAAAAGAAAATCATAAGAAAAAAAGAATATGACATATTTGTGAAAGTTTTCGAAGATAATAGAACATAATTACTCGCTAATATAAATTTATCATATTCAATACTATCAAAAGAACTTAAATCAGCGCCACAGGCCCACAAGCAATGAATATGATGATATTTGGTTTTATATTATTTCGTGCTTTATACTTATATAGTTATATGTAAAAGTTTAAATTGCTTGCACTTGATCTGTAAGTAGCATATATCATATGGTCAGAACTTGTAAGACATGATAGAGTTTTGAAAGGACTTAAGACTCGCTTATAAACAGTACAATATTAATGCTTTGCGATGGGTAAAATTTGATTTAATACTGTAAAGCTTGTACTTCTGTTTATAATGGCTTTTATTGGGCTTTTAGTTCGATTTTATAAACTTTACTAAGCCGTAGTATCTTCTGGGCTCCAAATTGTTTAGCATTTTTTGAATCATAATAATGCTAGATATTTTTTTTGTCATACTGTGTTGGCATGGCAGAGTATCTTTTGGGCTCCAAATTGTTTAGCATTTTTTGAATCATAATAATTCTAGATATTTTTTGTCATACTGTGTTGGCAACTTGGCATGGCAGCTTTTGATGGAAAACTTTTAAGACCAAATCCAATAAAATCAAGGGGTTTTTCAAGAGTTTATCAAAGGGTTTTTCAAAAGTTTATCAAGAGTTTATCAAGAGTTTATCAGAGGTTTTAGAGTCTATTAGGGGTTATTCAAGAGTTTATGGCGAAATCTAATAAAATAATAATAAAAAATGTAGAGGTTCATAGCCCAGGTTTTTTCCGACGAATCTAAAGAGACGGTATCATCATACGTGGAGCATCTGATTAGTCCAAAAAAATAATTTTCGAATTTAAAAAAAAAAAAAAAAAACCCAAAAAAAATATTATTATATTCAGATAAACATTTTTTTTAAAGGTTCACTGATGAAAATGCTGTAATCGACAAAAGTCCCTGGATTCAGATCCGTGTACTGACATGACATCAAATACCACCAACTTTGTGTGAGTTTCCTTCCGGTAACAAGATGAACGTATATTGTGGGATCGTAAGAATATTCCTCTTACATGACGATCAATATCTTAGACTGACCTATTTTTATTCATATAGAAAACTACATTTGACGAAAATGGTAAATTTTAAACAAAACAAAATCTTAAACATAAACTCTTTTTTGGCTCATCTATGAGTGTAAATAATCAAAATCATAGGTTTTCTTACAAACAAACACTGTCGTTTCATCTTAAAAAGTTACAATTTCTTATTTCTTAAACATGATAAAAGAAAGGTGGCTATCTAGATCCGAAATTACTATTAATTTACATTATTGTTACATACGTAGCTTTTATATAGTGGTGTGGATCAGTATCATTTGGTCAATGGGTTGAAATTAAAAATAATGCCTAAGGTCCGTTCGTTTATGTAAACGGATGACTCCATCCAAATGCATTATCTTTTTTTTTTTTTTTATAAACCCTATCGGCTGATCCGGTCGGCCCCGGTAAGAACGCACCGAAGTGCTATAGAGTGGACTTCTCCCTGGTTCAACGGATCAATAGACACCATGAACTTCGAGCATTATCTATAGAAGTTAAATGTAGTTTTCTTAGTTTGTGATTTCTTAAACTAATGTGGTATAATTTCTATCAGATAAATTTAATTGTTAGAGATAAATTTCAGTTTATGAACTAACTATCACAAAACTAACTATTTTACCGCGTAAGCACAACATAAATCTGCCATTGGTAACCATTATGGGGCAATTAGGTGAACATCAGTAAGTTAACAGTAACCTTAACAACATATCCCGCACAACCCGTCCTAGCGGTACACCTTGATTATTGAAATGTTTTTAACATAATGTATACCTAAAATACAAAATGGCATGTACTCAATCCCACAATTTGTTTAGTTCATTGCAGACCAATGTCGTAAGAATAAATCCTGCGAGCCAATATACGTTCTTTGTTTCATTTTTTATTTTTATTTTCCAACAGAGCTTCTTTTTATCTTCATCTTTGATAACTAGAGAATCCCAAATTTAAACTAAACTAATTTCGGGAATCTACATTCACTTTGTCAATTCCACACTGAAAAAAAAAAGAAAGATGTGTAGCGGAAGTTGAACTTGGTCTAAAGCCACATCATAATTCACCACTATATACCAACCATTACTTAGCTCTGATCTAATAGTTCTATTGCAATTCCACATATAATCTTAACAAACTCAAAGTCACATTGCTTCAAATCAAGTATGAAACCATAAAAATGCCTACGATATGCGTGCAAAAGACAAATATATATCCATTCCACTTTAGAGGTGCTTGCTTATCTTAACTTTTGAAATTGACTTTATCCGGGTTTCTCCCCTATGGACGGCTGGGACTTTTTTTCCATGTGTGACTAAATTGGTCTGAAAATTTTACTTTAGAAGAAATTGAGTTCTTGCTTTCTTTTATAAAGTTTTTCTTATTTAATTTTGCTTTTCGTACAAGAGAACCATTTTCAATCTATACTATTAATATTATGGACCAACCAGGATTGGATCATGCTTCAAGTCTTTTTATTTGACTTTAAAAATCTAAATATAGTATTGATTGCAGAACATAGTCAAGCGTTTGTCATGCAATTCTCCAATTCACAAAAAGTTTTTTTTTTTTTACAGCACAAAAAGTATCTGTGTAAGCAGCTTTTACACATTTTGATAGGTTTTCAGATATTTTCGTACTGCGCAGCTTCTATGTGATAAACTACTAATATGATAACTTCAATTCAATCTAGTTAGCTTTGGGTAAAGGCAAAATTAGGTATTGTTTATCTCAAAATCATTAATCTGAAAACGGTATGTCATTTGCTCATTTATATTATATTTGATATATCGGCATCTCTACTCTCTTGTTTTGCCTTTAATGTCTCACTTTTTCACTATAGTGTCTAATTTTCTATTATGTCTTTTTCTCCTTCTGTAACTATTGTTGAAAAAAGTGGACAACCTATTTTTGATGTCTAAATGACGTATGGAATACGTGGCCATCGAGCATTACAACAACAACATTTTGTTATCGAAGCTTCTGGCCGTACGGACGGCAATAATTAGCTATCAAAGTCCAGTAGTCCACTTTTTGGCGAAAATTAATTAATTGTTCGCACTTAATGCATAAATAGCTCGGGAAATTTTTTGACTAATGAATCATGTAATATCACATGATTTCTAAATTGACCCACATGGATGATATACATTACAGATGGAAATATATTGATATGATTAAATTTGGGCGGTACGTATGATCCACCTTCTACATTGGCCAAAAAGTTAAAATTAATCTTTAGTGAAGAAATGGTGACTACCCAAAAAATGTCTTTTTCTCTTGTTAAGCTTTTTTTTGGGAAGTAAATTATTTTTTTGTCGTGATATCTATATAATTACTTTTCTAATATCATTACGTTCACCAAACCATAATGGTAATACATACAACCAAAATGTTGTACTTGATTAGTTTTTGTGTTTAATCAAGGTTTATGATCGATTTTATTACTTGAATTATCACAGAAAAATTCACAAGATACTACTGTAGACTGTAGTTAACAGTTACATTCACAGTTTTAATATAAGCGATGTTCTCAGCAAGGGCATACAAATTTCAAAATGTTGTTAATACAGTATAATAACCCTACGTTTAACTAATGACTAACCCAATAATACAATTTTTTCATTTATTTAAAGAATTATTAAGTAAAACAAAACATATATTTCATTGAATCGAAACATAATGTTTTGTCTTTAGCATGATTTAGTAAGAATCATATAGTATGAATCTAATTACCCAGAAAGCTTAGTAGACAAAAATTAGATTGTGATTTGTGAATATAGGAGTGACTTAAATTAGGTTAACCCTATGACCCTCCAAATTTGACCACAAGCTATTGCTTTTGTATGATCAAGTGGCTACATATAAACACAACACGAAGTGTGCGTATATGAGAAAAACACGTTTTGTTGTTTGTCATGGTCCCATGGACATGGAGACACACACACACACGAAAACAAACGGGATCATGTAAAACAAAATTTGCCTTTTTGCTTTGGGTCAAAAAATTCATATACGCAACCGCCCAAATTTTTTTTTACGATTGGTAGACAATTTGAATCTTTGCTTTGAAGTCAATTAGATTGCACTTTGTTTCTCCCACCATAAAGTTTTGATCCTTTTACGACAAAATAATTTGTTTTGTTTATACTTCATAAAACCCTTTGGATATGAGAATATAAGTTAAAACTCCATCATATTTGAGTTAAACGATGCAACAAGAAAAGAGAGGGTTAACATTGAACATAAGAATTTAGTTTTTTTGTTGCGTTTAAAATATTTTGCAGACAACTAATAAAAGTTTTTGATATTGACTAATATAAACTCATATACTCTAGATCTTTATCCCATCTTTGTATTATCAAAGCTATATTGGTAGTTTGCTACTAATACTTCTCTAACACAACCCTTTTAATTTGGATTAATTATGTTTATGTTACACACAAAAACATAAGACTTTGCTTTATAAAGTGATAAGAAAATCATTAGGGTCTCTTAGAAGAAGAACCGCCAAAACAAAGTCATCGTCTAATATACAGCGAAAAATAGTTGACAGCGATAAAAATGTACAACTTTTGAAAGGTGCATTGAAAATTAATACATATGAAAGAAAAAAAAAAATATATGTCAAAATCACAGCATTTATTCGTTCACAAAGTATTTATGTTCTTTTTATTTTTATTTTCTTAAAAGAAAAACAGTTATGTCCAATCCAGCAGTCAAGAAATAACACAGCTCATCCAAAAAAATCGTCACACAAGCGGGACCCACTGATCTATTATTGAGTTCCACGTGTTGTCTATCTTAAATATTGCGTGTGATACGAACATGTGTAAAGCGATTACAAAAAAAAACCTACGCCGTGATTTCAATAATATGGAGCCTTTTTCTTTTTTTCTTTTTGCTTTAAATACATGCCAAGTCATCGACATTACATGGCACGTGTCTCCAGCCCATTAGGTACTTCAAATATCCCATGAAACTAAAGTTAGTAGTACTCCTTTATTTACTTCCGCACGTAAAGATGAAGAACATGTGTCCTCACGTTTGCTGCACGCGCCGAGAACTCTCGCCGGTCATCGGATTTTTTTTTTTTTTCAAATCATCGGATCTTTATATAGTAGACTTTAGTAGTCGTCTAGTCGACAATAATGTTGTAAAACACTTTGATTTTTTTTTTTAATCGGAGAATCTTTGTCAAAAAACATAGACTAAATTTATGTCAAAACCTAAACTAATCTAATGAAACCCATAGAATCTGATTTTTTTTTGCCACTAAAATCATTTATGAATAGCCAAACGTAACTAAATTAAAATGACAATAGAAAAATCTGAGAGAAACTTATTTTTCTTTCTTAAACAGCCTAGAAGCTGAATATCAAGAAAATTTGTTTAACTAGCTATATTATATATAGCTCGGAGAGAAAAATAGCTATATAGCAAGTGAAAATCGTCTTTCATTTCTTAATTTGTGCTTAAAGAGGAAAATGTGTAATAGAGTAATGGTTTGGCAAATGAAAATTCAAAATTATCATGAAACGTGTATTTCCTAATAAGAAAAAAAAAATATGTATGTAGCAATGATGATTGCATTATCAGACTTGTTAAACCGTAGAGATGAAGATGTAAAATGAAATACTGATGAAAAATTACTTGAGATCTCGCTGGAAATGCATGTGGCGGATCTTGTGACCATAGAAAAAATATAAAGTATACAGATTATTTGGTGAATCATTTGGACTATATTGGTTTGGCTCATACGTTTCCATTACTACCTTTCGGGAAACATGACATAAGTCAATGATGTAACTATTAAAGTATTAATTTGATGTCTATATCAGGAAATTTTAGCACCTCATATCAATTATACATTACATATCATTGAGTCAAATAAATTATTGATAGGAGACTATGCACATGTAGATGTAAAGCCGGCCAAATATCAATATTTAAATACAAAGTGGATATCAATAATGGAAACTCCTCCATTATGAGAAAATGGTTTATACTTAGATATAACAAACAGTATTTTACATGTAAACAAAATCCACATATAAGAAAGTCTTAAAATTACAATGAATGAAAAAACAAAAAACAAAAGTCTATCCCAAAGGATTTATATTTAGTTTCTTGGAATTATATAATAAAATCACTAACGTCCAAGAAATCAGGAATATCAAACTTCATGAGATTACTGCAATAGCTTTCCATTTCATCCTCAGTGCTGTAACTGCTACTATTGATGTAAGTCGTAGAACTCGAGTTTAACGTTGTCGGGCTGGAGGATGGCGTGTTCAAGACCGAATTAGCAAAGTTGAAGCTCTGGTCTGAATAAGAAGGATCCAATATAAAGTTAGAGCTTGATCCATAATCGTTGAACGATGGTAGATTGCAATCTTGGACGGATGTATTCGAGGTTGAAGCTAGAGTTTGTTCTCTGAAACCATTGAAGTGATGCTCCATGTCGTTGAACTGAGCTTCATGGGGGAATGGTGGCATGCAAGATTGGAGTTCTTGAGTTACCCTGTTCTCGAATTGGTCGGTTTGGTATTGGTTCACTCCGGTTTGGTTAACATCTTGTTGATAAACCATATGGTTCTCGTGGCCTTTCGAATCTTGATCCACCACGAAGTTTTGGTTTTGATTTTGGTTTTGGTTTTGGCTTTGAGAGAAGAGAGAGGTAGCGAGCTTGAGTATTTCAGGGTTAACCAATGGATGTTGGTTCTGCTGACGATGAGCATCCATCATGAATCTTGACATGTCCATATGATGTGAAGATGAGTTGTATAGAGATGATGCTAAGATGGATGAGATGTCGAGGAGATCGAGTCGCGGACTGTGAGTCACTGGATCGATCCCCATTCTAAGTAGCTTCTTTCTTATATGTGTGTTCCAGAAATTCTTGATCTCGTTATCAGTTCTTCCAGGCAAACGCGCCGCAATCGCAGACCATCTATAAAGATTTATCAAAGAAAAACACACACATAAGAATCTTGAACTAATTCAAAGAAATTAACTATTAACGGAGTGGAAAAAAAGAAAAATAATTACTCACTTGTTTCCTAAGAAGCTATGAAGTTGAATAATGGTTTCTTCTTCTTCAAAAGAGAATCTTCCTCGTTTTATATCTGGTCGGAGATAATTAGTCCACCTTAACCGACAACTCTTGCCACACCTTTGCAAACCTGATCATGATTAAAAGATTAACAAAAACAAATTAGAAAAACCAGTTACTAAAAAACATGATTAAAATGCAAATTATAAGGCACAAACCAGCATTTTTGGGGAGAGTTCTCCAGTTACCATATCCATGTTTATGGATATAGTCAACAAGCTTCTGGTCTTCCTCAGACGTCCATGGCCCTTTCTTGAGCCCGGTCTTCTCGCAACAAGGTGATCTTCCCATTTTGATTTTGTCGATGGATTTTTTATAATCAGAAAGAAATAAAACTTTGGTCAATGTTTGGCTTAATAATGAACTAATCAGAGAGAGTTTAAGGAAACTAAAGGAGAAGAGAGAGAGAAAGAAAAGGTCGTAGGGTCCGTAAGGGGAAGTACGAAGTATATATAAGGGGATGTAAGAAGAGGGAAGTCAAAATGGTTCGGTGCCGTCCTCTGTTTCTCAATTGGTGTACGTGTCCTTTTATTTTTTTCCCCAAAAAATAAAAATCGTGTGAATTCTGCGTCTATAAGATGCTTTTATCGTTTTATGATTTTTTTCCTTTCTTTTTTACTTCTATTGTATTTGTATCAGTAGCAGACAAGACATGCTTTTGTATTTGCCTGATGGTTTTCTTTTTGGAGTTTTAGTTTGTTTTCAAATTTTACATGTTAAATAAAATATTATAAAATGCAAATGTCATATGTTAAAAACAATCGAATCCATGGTCGGTATTTACACACGTACAAAAAAAGATTGTGAAATATTCTGCTTGCAAACAAATATTGTCTTTTTTGTTCTTCTTGAATCTTGATTATTGTTGAACTTAACTTAATAAGCTTTCTTGTTGTATTGGAACTTTGATGAATCTTTAAAGTAGCTGTAACGTTGAAAGAAAGCACTTTGGTTAGTCTCATTCATCATGATCGCGAAACATATAAATTGAGTCAAGTTACTTAAGAAAGAAAAACAAGAGTAATTAATCTTTATTCTAAGCAATAACCATCAATAATCCTTAAATATCTACTTCTAGAATATGAGATTCGTCGATTCGATGTACACCCGTATTTGAGATTGAAAATGATAGTTTCTTTTCCTAATTCAAGTCCAAGATGTTAAATTATTTAATCGCTTTTGATACAAGAGGGTTTTAACTTATACCTCAAACTCAAACGTAGAATTTACAAAAGAAATGCGTTTCAAATCTCAAGTTTGAATCTTCTTGTTAATTAAGTACATGTTCTGGTTCACCATGATAAAGAACAACAAAAATGTTAATTTATGGTACTTTCATATGCAATATAAGGAAATTGCTGCACACCGTTGTTAACATATAAGTACTGGTATAACTATGTTATTTAAATTATAAATAATCATATCTTAATTTAAAAGGAGAAAAACAGTTGTAATAATGGAAACTAACACAATCAAAGGGGTGAGGATTGAGAAAAAGAGCGTCGCTCTCCAAGCTTTATGGGAAGGTTTCACATTAGCTGTGGCCAACATGAAGATGCCACGTTCGTTTCTCCCTCTCATTTTCAACTCCTATCATGTTTTCTTTCCTTTGGACTAATTTGTCCACTTTCCCCGAAAAATATAATCAATACTAATAAACATGAAATAATAACAATAACATACGTTACTACGATACTTAATCGGCTCTCTTTCACCCTCACCTTTACAATTTTAGAAAGTTTAAGAAAAGTTGGATTATAGTAGAAATTACTGATTTTAGATTCCGAAACATTAGTGGTCTTACCATATACTCCATGAAGAAAAGTTTAAGAAAAGTTGGAGTATTTTCTTCGGATTATCGTATTAATCAAATTTCCATTTAGTCAAGTTTCTCCATAATTGAAATAATGATACGATTCACTGACTTTAAAAAAAAAAAATATTTTTCTTGTAAGATTTGATGAGTCTAAGATAGATAAATATTTTAGTGAAAATGTTGGACCAACCGTTTCGCTTGGATTGCAAGGTCTAAGGGCAAATTTATTAAAGTCAACTTCCTACTGTAAGTATGCACGTAGCATAATAAGAGCACATTTAATTCGAATGGCAATAATGGAGTTTGGTATTTGCCGAAATTTAGAAACATTAAATGTGGAGAGATTGTGATAACTTTATAGACAAAAAATATTATCCACCTATGAACTCTTGATTTTCTGTATGTTTGTTTTCTTTGTAATATGTATATATTAAATACACTCTCAACATATTATATTAGCTGTTGTTGCTATCTGTTTTCCAAAACAAATGAAGACCAATATTTTGTACCTATTAGCTTTTCCTGTGTGAGTTTTTCAATGGCTATATATATAAATATATAACTTACATGATGTGACGATGTGTGTTTAATTGACAATCTATTCAATTTCAAAATCTAAATCAATATCATATAACGGATGAGTCAAACGAGTAAATGTAATCTCATTTGGTTTCAATAATCAAACGATAAAGCCAAATTGAAAACTGGAAAAAACACCAAAATTCGAAAAAGGGGAAATGCTAACTAAAATTTAAAGACTTGGTTAAGGAGAAGTCTTAGCCGAGGACGCAGCAGCCGGCTCTGTAACAAACAAATCACTTAGCTCACGTGCTGTTGATATCAAGGGTAATACTGTCATTTACAATTAGAACTAAAAGATAAACGACTCTACATTTGCATGACATGATGAGGTAAGGTACCATTGGCCGCTTGTATCAACCACTAGCTTTTCGACTCGTGTTCTCATACAATTCGCTATCTCTGGATCCTTGTATATTTTTGTTTTCATAACTTTTGTTTTAAAATATTAATATCATATAAAACTTGAACTTTGGATAGTGAATTTCTTGAACTTGAACGCGGATGGCATATTGATGAATAGAATGCATGCAAATCAACGTTACGCTTAATTTCTTTCAGGTCTCCCTACAAAAGAAAGCGTAATATAGAAATACATTCCTTTGAACAAAAAAAAAAGAAAAAAGAAATACATTCCATAATGATAAGAATACATAAACACAAATTAATTATTGAACCTTGAATAACTAATTGGCATTGATATGAATAGTCGTATCACTCTCAAATCTATATATTGTTAAGTACATATAGTCACGCAGTACTAAATCTAATGTGAGCATCATACAATTATATCTTAATCTTCTTAGTCAAATTATTAGGAACAACACACATACTAAAATATAGGTACTCTTATTCTCCTAGAACCATTTCTCCCGGCTGAGATCTTGTAACCTATTATATACAATTTATTTAGAGAAGATTTATTTTTATAACTTAAACGATCCGTAATATTAGGGTTATGTCTCGGCCTTCTAGATTAAAGAATCTGTCAGGTCCAAAGACAAATGAAATCACTATAAAGTGCCAAATTATGCCATTGAACCAATAAATAATTTAGTCAATCCAAATTAAAAATTAAGAATAAGGTTAGGTGTTAATGCTATATTAAGCTATAACCTGTCCAAAATCTAGCTAGGGCTTTGCTTGCGCATGATCATTTGCCACAACGAGAAGCCCACGTGTATATATATAGTTGACCAAATCTCATTAGCTGATTAACATTTTTGACAACATAATTAAATGATTAATTATGTACATGTTTGGTCCGCATATGGCTTCATAACATTAGAGATGCAAAATTATATCGCAAATAACAGCTTTATTCTGTTATATGAAAAACATAATTCAGCATTAAGCCTTTTGTTTCGTGTGTTTATTACAAATTATTAATTAATTTGCGTTAATCCTGTGGTATTGTCTTTCTTCCGATTGTATCCAAACGGCAAACGCGAACGCATTCACCGTCAACTTCGAGTAACGACGGACAGTTAGACAATAATAAGGGCTACATAGATACAAAGTTTATCGAATAATTCTTCAAATAAAAAATATATAGGGTATAGATTCAATCTTTACTAATTTATTCAAAGTTGTCTGATTTGTATAAACAAAAGCCTCTGAACCCTAAACAGTTGAAAGTAGCAGAGTCAGCAGACAAGGACCATAAGATCCATTTGGCCATTTATAAAAAAACGATATAGTTTGATACTAAATCGTAATGGTTGTGCAGTTGATGTTGCCACTTAAGACACTTACGTAAGACTCCATGCAAATGATATTAATATACGTCTTGAATTTACGTATTAATCTGATTATATATTGGCTCAATTATTCTGGGATATGCTCGATAATAGAGTTGATGGATATCCTGATAATATTAAAAATTATCGTGACATTAGGAGGAAAGACAGCAACACACTCCAGAACTCTCTGGAAAAACTGAAGTGATTTTGTTTTAATTTACTGATTGTTTTCACGGTTAGTTGATCCAAAATCTCCCCAAAAAAATCATTCATATTTTAGTTAATTAGGTTTACTTATTGATATATATTTATTTTAATCAATATTCATGAATTATAAATGAGTTAATATTGATAATTTAAGATAATTTGGAATATTACTATAACGATCATATATCTTAGTCTTGAATACTTGATCCAACAGTTTAAATCCATTACAAACGAGATGTACTAATGTTTAGTGTATTTTTTCTATACAGATATATATATATATATATATATATATATATATATATATATATATCACTCCAATACGTTACATTTACATCTATTATAAGATTTGGGAGATATAAAAAAATTGAAACATTTCTCTAATCTGACTAGATTCACGTTTTCCAGTAAAAGTGTTTGATCTTTTTTTTGCTAACTAAAAAATGTTTGATCTTGTGTCTACAAACTGTGTGATCTTGTAGACACAACTAAAAGATGCATGCGTGACCTTGTTGTGGTCTACAACTAAACGAGATCCAAACTCTAAGACTGGTTCATTTAATAAGTCGAAAACGCCCAGAATCCCAAAGCCCAAAACACCAAAAAGCCCAATATATGAACTGATTCCTCACCACTAAAATATTTCCAACACAAGCAACGAACATAACGGATAAGTGTTATCCTCATCGAGAAAGAAAAGCAAAGAGAATTTGGTGTTGTCACTATGAACATCGCCAATTATTATCATCGCCACTCGAACGTCATCTTAAACCCTCACCTAGACATGACTTTAGCGAGGACTCGTCCGCAAACAAGAGCAGATAGTATTACATTCATGACAAGAACACAAGGAAGAAGAAAGATGGGATTGTGTTTGATAAGAGCATCTGCCAATGGGGGAGAAGAAGAATCTAGCGATCAAAGCAAGCCCGAGAGAAGAAGTTTCTTGAGCTTAGCAGAAGCTGGTCTTGTTGAAATCTCGGGCCTTGGTGCACACGAGAAGTTTCTCTGCCGACTTACGGTAATTGCAATTTTAATTTCCTTCCGTTTATATATTGTATATGTTTTGAGTGTTCACAAATAAGTTATTTGCAATACCAATTTAATGTTAGCCCATCAATTAAATTTGTTAATTTGACTAAGAATTACATTATACTGAATATAGTTTGTATGTGCAAATTATAGGAAATGAAACATTAACTTTATATAAGAAATTGACAACATTCATCTTTGTGAAAAGAGAAAAGAAAATTGAAACATACATTTACAAGAAATGGATGGAGTAAACTGTATACATAACAATTCATCATGCACTAGTATATATGTACATTCACTGAATAACTAGAATATTGTTTTTTTGAAAAGGCATGTACACTAGTTTTCTAGCTGGAAGTTCGTATTAATTTCAATTTATAATTTTGGAATTCGATTATAACAGATATCGTCGTTGAATTTACTAAGAGTAATATCAGAGCAAGAAGGATGTTCAATTGAAGAGTTGAATGCTGGAAAAATATGCGATTGGTTCTTAAAGGATAAGCTGAAGCGAGAGCATAACATTGAATCTGCTGTTCTTCAGTGGGATGATCCCGATTTTCCATTTTAGTTATTCTTATTTTTACAATTTAAGATACAAAAAGGTATATGATATCCATTAAAAATATTGTGAAAAGTTTTCACTCGGTTATATCAAGATTCAAGAACCATGAGTAACTCATAACATCCAAAAAAATTTCACCTATAAAAAAAAAGAAACAAATCCTACCCGAGCGAGCGTTGACCATATGTCCTACGATACATCTACTATGCACTAAAACGTATTCAACACTGCTGAATATTATCCATGACTTAGAATACATAAAAAAAATGTGAAAAAATGTTTGAATTTATCTGGAAACCACGAAAAAGACATGAAAGCGAACATTAAACAAGCAAAAAAAAAAGGACTTTGTAAGAGAATCCAAAACGCTGTCGTTTTTGAAGTATGTCTCTATCGCTTTATCGAATTTCACCCTCCACTTTCGATTCGATATGTTCTTCCGCTAATCAAGCACCCAAAAAATACACAATTATATTAAAAGAAACAAAATTAACGAAAACACGGACGTGAAATCAACCAATTAAATCCACTTTCTCTCTCCCTCTCGCGTCCGATCTCTCTCTCTCTCTACTCCATACGACACAAAACAACAAAGCTCTCTCTCACCACGAGTCAACTCTCGCCGTCCTTTCTCGCGCAAATCGCATGCCCTAACCGTGAGAAAAGAGAGATGACTATGACGACGGAGGAGAAACCGGTTTCCGATAACCGAGGTTGGGGTTTCTTCAAGATTCCGTTTCGAAACTCAAGTGGCCACGGAAACGCCTCGAGTGCTACGTCTCCTTTCCCATCGGGAGCTTCGTCTTCTTCTACATCTTCTCATCTCCATAACCACCATCCTCAACAACATCATCCTCACCATCATCATCATCATCCTCATCATCATCAGCTTGGCTATAACGGGCCTCATGGTGATGGATCGGGTCAAAATCAGCACCCGACACCTTCGCCTTCAGTTTCATCTGTTGCTAAGTCACTTCTGCCTACTAAACGCAGATTGAAGCTTGATCCGTCGGAGAAACTCTATTTTCCTTGTGAGTTTTTTTTTCGAATCTCATTTGATCGGAATTTCACTTTTTTTTTTATTAAAATTTCGATCTGATTTTCCTCTCTATATTTGATATTTCTTGTAGAAATTCAGTGTTTGACTGATCTGATTATTTGGATCGATATATAAAATATGGCATTCACTTAAGAGGGGAAAATGAAGTTTTAAACTTATTTTTTCATTTTTCAATTTTTTTTTGGGAATTAAGAGCTGAATCATGATATTGGTTTGTATTCCCAACTTTCCATATCATATCAGCGTTTTTTTAATTTCGGTTTGTTCATTTGCTGTCTTTTGTGTCTAAACCTTTGAAGACTAGACATTGACCTGAAGTTACTTGAAATAGCTAATCTTGTAGGTACCAGGCTAATATGGTACATTTACCATTAATCCATGTGATTCTTTCAAATGATATGGGCCGTTTTCAATGAAAGATTTTCTTTTTAATTGTTCCATAACTCAAAAGATGGCACTTTTTCAGCATTCCAAAGTTAGGTGTCTGTGTAAAGATAAATCATTTTAGGTCTAAGCGATTTTGCTGGAAGATTTTGAGGTATTTATGTAGGCCATGTTTTTTTTTTCTTGATTTTCAGATGATTAAATTTTCTTTTATTGTTTGCTTTGGATTTTGGAAGTTAGAGTCGTCAGTTATTTTCCCTCCAATTAACTCAAGAGTTCTAATTTAGATTATCACTTTTTTGTTTGAAGATGAGCCTGGGAAGCAAGTGAGGAGCGCTATTAAGATAAAAAATACCAGCAAATCACATGTTGCCTTTAAGGTATGTATTCCGATCTAAGTGCTTTTATTATCTGGTTTTTGCACTTGTAAATGTGCTTACTCGTTGCTCTTCAGTTTCAAACAACTGCACCGAAGAGTTGCTTCATGCGTCCACCAGGTGCTATCCTTGCTCCTGGAGAGACTCTTATCGCCACTGGTAATTGTTTCTTCCCGCATTCTTATTCTTCTTGGTGATGCTAGAGAAATGACTCTAGAGGATTTATGTATGTGACTAATTTTCTCCCTTGTTGAAATTTCTAGTGTTCAAATTTGTTGAGCCTCCTGAGAATAATGAGAAGCCAATGGATCAAAGGAGCAGGGTTAAGTTTAAAATCATGAGCCTGAAGGTGAAAGGTCCAATGGACTATGTTCCTGAGCTGGTATGTTGATCTTATGATCTTATCGATGAGCTGTTCTTTGAACTAGTGACTTTTCTGGTACTGTTTGTCATGCTCTTACATTTCTTAGGGTCTGCTGAATGTTGGTTCAATCTAAAAGAAATGACAATTACTTTTTGTTTTGTTTCCGCAGTTTGATGAGCAAAAAGATGATGTGTCTAAGGAGCAAATATTGCGTGTTATCTTCCTGGATCCCGAACGTCCCAACCCTGTGAGTATCCGAATCATTATGCTTTTGAAGATGATTCTATGTTACACTGAACTCTTTCTTACGGTCACTCTCTCTCTCTTTCTCTAATTATCTATGTGTTGAATGAAAAGGCACTGGAGAAATTGAAACGTCAGCTAGCTGAAGCAGATGCAGCAGTGGAGGCGCGAAAGAAACCACCAGAGGAAACGGGTCCAAAGATGATTGGAGAAGGACTTGTGATCGATGAATGGGTGAGTCACATTTGCTATCGTAGAGCCTCTCCTCCATTAGATGGTTATGAAAATCTGACATTGTTGTTGTTGTCTCTCCTCTCTAATAAAAACACAGAAGGAGCGTCGAGAGAGATATCTTGCACAGCAACAAGGCGAAGGAGTTGACTCTGTCTGAGACTAAAAGATCCTTTTCAGGACAAAAACAAGTGTGTGTTTGTGAAGAAGAAGAAGAAGAAGAGACCACGCTATTGAATTTCTCTGCTAACTTCCACATTCGTAATGCAATATAAGGATCATGCTGGTAAAAAAACAAAAAAAAATGAAAACTTTTTTCGTGTAAAAAAAAATGTAAACTTGGGGTTTGATAATGAATTGCTCATGTTAAGACTAATAAAAAAAAATTGACAGGAGAGGATGCTTGTGTTTAGCTTCGTGTGTAAAAATCAAAATTTAAATTCTCCGATAAGCCGCTGAATTAACCGGTTGATTTAATCTTAACCGAACTTTTTTACTTGAATCGGTCGATTTTGCAACCGGTCAAATGGAAGCATGTTTTGGTCTAATCTCGATGTAACGCATTTCATAAATTCATAGCTCTGTTTTGTTTTATTTGCGCTGAATCTCAATCATGATTATCCGAATTTGTACCGGTCAATCAGAAACTCGGTCAGGGACCAGGACCGGGATTTCGAATCGGAATCTCTAGTCCCAAATGATGCTCAACCCTATCTTACGTGTACATCTTCTCAACCTTTCCTATTCATCATTTGCTCTGCTGCGTGATTTTTTTCTCCCGTCGTCCTCAATTCGTTCGTCGGCGTTTTACGAGCCGCCGCGACGCTGAATCAGGTCGACGATTGTAAATTTACGGAAAGTATAGAAAGAAGAGTGTGAACGATCTCTCCCTTTGTAATAATGTCGATGAGCAATTCCTTGAAAAAATTCTCTTCTTGTGTTCTTATTGATCTCGATGGTACCCTAATCAACACAGGTATACTCTAATAAGACGATAACTTGTTTCAGTTTCTCTTCTCGTTACTCTTTGATAATAGGGATTGGTGTTTTTTATTTTTTATAAAAAATATTGTAGATGGTGTTGTGGGTGACATTTTGAGGAAATACTTGTGTAAATATGGTAAGCAATGGGATGGTAGAGAATCACTTAAAATAGTTGGGAAAACTCCATTAGAAGCTGCGACCACCATTGTTGAAGATTATGGACTTCCTTGTGCAGTTGATGAGTTCAATTCAGAATTCTACCCTTTGTTCTCTGCTCAGTAAGTTTGCTTCTCTTTCTCTTATCTTGCTCTTCATATTGTTGATTTCCTTTTGGTTTTGAGTTTTTTTCAATCTTTTGTGGTTTATAGGATGGACAAAATCAAATCTTTACCAGGTGCCAACAGGTTGATTCGACATTTGAAAGGTCATGGAGTACCTGTGGCCCTGGCTTCCAATTCTTCAAGGGCAAATATTGAAACCAAAATCTCTTATCATGAAGGTATGGATTTTTTGAAATGTTCCTCAATGCATAATCATGTATAGGTAAAAGTATTCTTGAAGTGATTCGTCGTTTTTCTGTAGGTTGGAAGGAATGCTTCTCGGTTATTATCGGTAGTGATGAAGTTCCCAAAGGAAAACCTTCTCCTGATATGTAAGATATTCATCTCTTGTCAGCCATATCCAATGTTATCGGTTTGTTTTATTATTCTTATCACGATGATCAACTTTTTTTTTTTCTCAAAGTTTTCTTGAAGCAGCGAAAAGATTGAATAAAGATCCAGCTGACTGTTTGGTTATTGAAGATTCTGTGTGAGTCTCATTTTTAGCATAATCGTTTTTGTAGTTGAGGGTTTGGTTCCTCTCTTGCTAATAGTTTAGTTGGAAATGGCAGGCCAGGTGTTATGGCTGGTAAAGCTGCTGGAACCAAAGTGGTTGCTGTTCCTTCTCTGCCTAAACAAACACATCTTTATACATCTGCTGATGAAGTCATCAATTCTCTACTAGACATGAAACCCGAAAATTGGGGACTTCCTCCATTTCAAGACTGTAAGATAAAAAAAACTCACTATTCAATCCTTCTTTGCCTATATAATTTCTTTCCTTCATCTCGGTAAAAGACTGTTTAACTTTGTAACCTGTATTGCAGGGATAGAGAACACGTTACCAATTGATCCATGGCGTATTGGAGGTCCTGTTATCAAAGGATTTGGGCGTGGCTCTAAAGTACTCGGAATCCCCACAGGTCTGTACAAAAAGTCATAGAATCGAGCTCTTTTCCTAGCTATATATATGTCATGGTCTCTTTTCTTATTGCCGCATTGGTTGTTCTCAGCTAACTTATCAACAAAGGATTATGCGGAAGAGCTAGTAGAACATCCTTCGGGAGTGTACTTTGGTTGGGCGGGCTTACCAACGAGAGGCGTCTTTAAAATGGTCATGAGCATTGGTTGGAATCCTTATTTCAACAACACCGAGAAAACTATTGTGAGTTGATAAAAAGTTTTTGAAGACTTTTTTTCACTCTTGCAATGGTTACTTTCTTTTAACTTAGCTCTTGTTATATATAGGAGCCATGGTTGCTTCACGATTTCACTGAAGATTTCTACGGAGAAGAGCTACGTCTTATAATCGTTGGCTATATACGTCCTGAGGTAATTTGTTTTTTACTTTGTTATTATCATCTCATCCATTCGTCATATGAGTGTGTTATGTGATGTAATGTGCCGTTCTTCTTCTTCCTGCAAGGCTAACTTCCCTTCACTGGAGAGTCTCATTGCAAAGATTCACGAGGACAAGGAAGTTGCAGAGATAGCTCTTGATCTTCCATCGTATGCTAAGTTTAAGGATGATCCTTATCTGACAAAGTGATTAAATAATCATTCATGTAAAGAATCAAAACTCTTGTTTTCCTCACATTCTTGATTATGAAATAATAATATAATCAAACTCTCTGATTCGTCGGAACTCAAAATCAGAAGACTTGTATTGTTCTTTTACCGTCAGGTTGGTAAAACAGTGAAAGTTGAGCAACGTTAATGAACAACGTAATAATGAGTAATTTACTAATCGAACATAATTATATAGTCATGGTTGGTTAATGAACTTTGCCCATCTCTACACGAGCACTCGAGCAGGCTCATTTAACGAACCTTGACCAGTACCAATGCGATCTCCAGACCTGATTCATCTCCTCGATCGGCACGCCTCTCGTCTCCGGCAAGAAAAAGTAGACGAAAGTCGACATCACCACCACGAAAAACGCGAAGAATATGAACAACCCGAATTTCATGTGACAAAGCATCATCAGAAACACTTGTGCGATTACGAACGTGAAGATCATGTTCATGGACACGGTTACGCTCTGCGCCGCCGATCGGATCTCCAGCGGGAAAATCTCCGACGGGACTAGCCATCCGAGTGGTCCCCACGACCAAGCAAACGCCGCCACGTAGATGCATATGAACAACACCACAACAATGGCGTACCATTTTGGTAGATCGCCTGGGTTTCCATCGACGCCGAACTTTGCTCCGATTGCCGCCGCAACAGCGACCTAAGAAGAAGACGATCGAAATGTTAAAGCGACTAAACCGGTACACGATAACCGGTCTAGAGATTTTTGATTTTTGATTTTAGAGAAGAAGAAAATTGAAAAACCTGAGAAATCAGCATTTGGAATCCTCCTTCGAGGAAGAGAAGTCGTCTTCCCCATTTGTCAACGCCGTAGATTGAGACCATGGTGGCTCCGAGGTTAACCAAACCGGTCACAACCGCCGACATCAGAGCCGCGTCGCTACCGAATCCGATCGTCTGGAACAGAACCGGCGCGTAGAACATGATGACGTTGATTCCGGTGAGCTGCTGAAAAGACGGGATCAGAATCGCCACCGTTAGATGCGGTCTGTACTTTCTCTGCAACAGGTTTCGCCATGGATGCTCCACGAGCTTCGAAGCTTCGCTGGCGGCGATCAGGTCGTTGATCTCGTCTTCAACGTCGTCGACGCCTCGGATCTTACGGAGTTTCTTTTCGGCTAGCTCAAATTGACCTCTCTCTACCATGGAGTTGGGTGTGTCCGGGAGGATAAGGGAACCGACGGTGATGATGAGAGCCGGAACGACGGCGCCGCCGAGGCTGAGCCGCCATCCCCATCCGCCGCGAATCTTCGAGAAGAAGAAGTTCAAAACGTTGGCGACGAGGATACCGATGGTGATTGAGAGCTGAAATCCGATGTTTAGTGCTCCTCTGAATTTATATGGTGCCATCTCCGAGAGATACAACGGAACAGACTGTGAGTGAATTTGAAAAAAGTTAAGATAATATTGAGGCTATTTTGTTATATTTTGAAACTTAAGGGGCACAAAATCAAAGGACCTGATTGGTGAAGCCGATACCGAAACCGAGTAATAAACGGCCAACGATGAGCATCCAAACGGCGGTTGCGAAACCGTTAAGGAGAGCTCCGGCGCAGAAGAGAACTCCGCCGAGAAGCATAGAAAGTTTCCGGCCAAACTCACGGGTGACGTAGGAGGCGACGACGCAGGAGCAGAGAGCGGCGAGGTAGAGAGAGGAGGTGAAGAGAGTGAGAGAAATGCTGTCGAATCTGCAGTATTTGCTCGATTCGTGATCGCTCTGTTGTTTCTCGTATACCGACGGGAAGAATTTCTTCTGAAACGACTCCATTGTCGTCACTCCACCTGCAAAAACGACAAAAATTGTTGAAATACTTTTTTAACTTTTCAAAAAATAAAGTTCTCGCCGGAGAAAAAGAAAGTTTAAAGTAAGTGGGAGAAGCATTACCAGAGATTCCGATGTCGTAACCGAAGATAAGTCCACCCATGGCGGCGACGATACACGTCACGGTGACGTAAGGAGTGAGTTTACCGGGATATTCCCGTTTGCCATCTCCAATGACAATTCCGACTGCGGGCATTTTAGTCTTTTTACTAGGAGTGTAACTTTGTAAGCAAGTTTATGGAGGCTGATGTGTGTTTATTTAAGGAGATGTATCGTTTATCGTTAATGTGTTTATGTAAGCAAAGGGATTCACTGATAAGCTGTGGATATTAACTTACTGTACTATTTTCCATTTCATTTATTATCATTAACCTTTTTTTTTCTTTCATAAATATGGCCATTCTACCAAAAGTGCTTGATATGGAATTAAATCTTTGGACCTTATAGACTTTTCATCTATCAATCCAGGCACATTGATTCGCATTTATTTACAAGTTAAGTACATACTGTATTTATTGCGCCTTTTTTTATAAACTTTATAATCCGTGGAAACTAGAAAGAATATCATATTTTTATTAAAAGTATTCTTATTTTACTATCCTAGTTTGCTAAACGTGTAATTTACGAATAAATTCAATGATATAGTGGAGAATGCATGGAAATTTGAATTTATTGTTTCCTTTTACGTTAAAAGTTACTGGTAAGTTTGCCATTTTAGTCGAGTTAAGAAAAGTGGTTGATAGGTTGTTAGGTTTTGATTTTTGTTAGATATGAGAAATATTAACAATTTCAGTATTACGTATTGGCAGAGGACTATCATCTATCAATCTCCATAATTAATACTCCGCTGATTAAAGCATGAAAATTCTTTTGCTGCTTTTTTCTACAAGAAAACAAGTAGATTTTGTGAATTTATTCATTCCCGAAATATGAATATAGATATCAAAATAGGAATAGTAGTGAAAAAAACCTCAGGAACGTTGTATGTTAAATGTTAACATTCCGCTAAAATGAACTCAAAAGTAGTGCAAAACCTCAGGAACGTAGCCAGTAAAGTTTAACTTCTTCCCGCGTTATTGACTTGTTGTTATGTAAAACAGCAGAGACTTTATTGAGAGAATTCAAAACAAAACCGAAGAGACCTGACTGAGATATTCAAATGCGACTTGAATCCCTCCCGAATATGAATCGCCTCATCCAGTCTGAGACCACCAGGACTCTCGTTCTCCAGCTCACTTGCTTACTATTGTTATCAAACAGTAAAACCAAATTTAAAAAAATCTTATACATGTATGTATGAATACTTTTTGTATTTCACTAGAGATTAAGAGAAAAACAAATCCAAATAACGTTACCTCGCGTAAACTGAGTACCACAACCATTGACTGCTTTGTCCTATCGAAACCCAGTCTCCTGGAAGTTGTGCTGCAGTTTGTTCGCCTCCTAATGGAGCAAATTGTCCCAAATGTCGATACCTATAACAACACAGTTTCCCATTTTCTCCATACCATTAGTCTTTATAGTTTATAACTGTGATCAAAATATTAATGAACACTTCACCAAACATTGCAGCAATCTCAGTGACTAAAGTGTTTTAGGATGCAGATTTGGATCCAACCTGAAGGGGCGGAATCGATGACGACCTTCTCCTCGAATCCTAATGGGACCTTCCGGATTTTTCTCGCATTCTTCCATACGATCAAAGCATTTTGCAAGGTAAGTCCCTTGTTGCGCAGCGACCTTTAAGCCATAAGGACAAATTGATTAAACCAATTACCAAACAAAGGGTGTGAGTGTGGCTGTATTTTTTTTCAGGTTAGGTAAAAATAGAACAAACCTGTGCAGTAGCTGGGAGAAACTTCACTTGCGAGTCAACTTGAGAAAGAGCTGACTTAAGTTCTTCTATATTGAGTTCGACGGACTTATTGGAAGCATTCTCAGCTTGGGCTTGTTTTAAGAGATCGGCAATGCCACGCATACCTTTGCTCTTCAAGTAGAGCTCCACTTGAGGGTATCTAACACATATGTCATCTATGACTTCTTGAAATTCTTTCAGTGTCAGTGTTCCTGAATTGTCCTTATCTGCTTTCTTGAAAATATCAGCTATATCTTCCTGAAAAACCAAAAAAAAAACTCAATCTAAAGCATAAGAAACAGAGAACCTACACACGGGTGCGTAACTGCAACATACAGCTAAATAGAATCTAGCATCCGGTATAAGCGAAAGAACACAATCTGCTACTTCATTTCATCTTAGTCCAGAAATAAAACAGTCAAAACGGTTTAATAGTCAGTCACCAAGACATGAGTCATGAGGAAGAGAAGATTTGTTTACCATGACTTTTCGCTGGTTGATTGTTGCACAATCACCAAGTGCATATATATTATCACATCCTTCAACACGAAGCCATTCATCTGTTGCTAAAGCACGTCTATTACCCTGCAATTACAAGAAAATTTGTTAGACCGAGTCGATATAACTCAGTTATTAAAGAATGATGAGCATTGTAATGCACAAAATATCCAATCATTGGAAATTAGTTACACACCTGACCAATTTGTTTCATAAAATCTTTTATCACAGGACGGGTCCCAATACCAGTTGACCAGACGATCATTCCATAAGGTATAGAAGAGAGCTCTCCTTTGGTTTTAGCAGAAATTTCTTTATCATTCACTTTGACCACCATAGAACCCAATTTCACATCAATACCGTCTCTGTTAAACTTTTCTTCTGCAAACTCTGTGATTCTCTTGTCAAACCTGTGAAAGAAAAAGCTTCCTTGTAATCATTACAAGCTTTTACGGAAAGTGAATCTTCGATATAGATCAAAAAGTAGCTTAGATGTCAAGGAATCTCACATGGTCAAGATGTGGTCTGCAGCTTCAAGAAGAGTGATATGCACTAAATTCTTGGCCTTAGGGTAGAGTTTGACTAGATCCTCGGTAACAAAATCATGCAGCTCAGCAGCAAACTCAACACCTGTTGGTCCACCACCAACAACCACAAAATGTAGGATTCTCTTTCTCTCTTCTTCGTTAAGATCTGGTAAACTTGCCTTCTCAAATGAATCAATGACAGTTCTACGGATTCTCTGTGCATCTTCAACCTCCTGTAATTCCACCATCATATCTTAGAGACATGTAAAAAAGTGTATAACCCTTTGGAAAACTTTAACACCCATATAAATAATCAGTCAGTTTACCCATCATATCTTAGAGACATGTAAAAAAGTGAATAACCCTTTGGAAATCTTTAACACCCATATAAATAATCAGTCAGTTTACACTTGCCTCGACAAACTACAATAACTAAAACTATCAAAGATCTAAGAGAACTTACTTTCAGGAAATGACAGTTCTCCTCCACCCCAGGAATGTTAAATGTGTTAGACTGAGCTCCAGTGGCAATTACAAGATAGTCATAGTCAACATCAAATTCCTTTTTTCCGTTATCAAGGCCTTGTTTAGATCGACAGTAAACTTTCTTGCTTCCTGGATCAATTCTGAAACATTCCGCCTCCAAGAAAGACATCTCAACATTTTTCTGTTCGTTAAGACACAAGATAAGCTTGCATTAGAAGGTTATCAACAGTACAAACATTACAATAAACTCGTTCAACTTAAACAACAAACTCAGAATGTTGTTTCCAAGAAATATGATTGAACACTTGTGGTTAGAAGATGTGAAAAGAAGGTACAGTTTCTTCTTACCTTCTTTCCAATGTTGCGAATCGGCTCAACCACACTGCGAGCTTCAACGGTTCCACAAGTAACACTAGGTAGCAGAGGAGTGAAAGCAAAGTAGTTTCGAGGCGATATAACCTGAATCTCATATGAGGAATTGTTCAAATCCTTCAAGAAACTAGCTCCAGCCCAGCCAGTTCCGAGCAGGACTACCTTTTTCTTTCTGGTTCCAGTTTCAACACCATTGTTGCTAGAGGATGCATTTGCCTCTGAGTAGGCTATAAGTCCCCCACCGCTATGAAACGAGAAATATTGTATCAGTGATTCAATATACAACAAAATGTCCCGATCACAAATCACAAGACAATTTAACAGAGAAATATTGTATCGGTGATTCAGTATATATCAAAATTTCCTGATTACAAATCACAAGACAAACACAAGATTCTTCTGATTACAAATCACAAGACAATCAATTGTTAAGAGAAGATCTAAAATCAGTGATCCATTTGTTTAATCATGAACATAAGCTCTGATCTAGAGTGTAGACACAATGACGAATCTGGTCTCGCAAACACATATTTCAAGGGAAAAACGTAAAAGCTTAACACGGTGTCAGAAGATCAAATATCAGAAGAAAAACTCTGAAATCAAACGAGCAACGCAAATTGATATTCATATAGATCAGGAAGTAACCGAGAAACTGAAATCGATTCGGCGAGATCAAAAAGAGAAAGACAGATGAATAATTGGCGAAGAAATGATACATATGACTGACCTGATGGTGGAGACGACGAGAATCCTGGAGAGAGAAGGATAATCATGGAAAGCTCTAGACAATCTCTCGAAGACGCTGAAAGGTCTCATTTCCGCTTGTTCGATTCAATCTCCTAAGACGGAGATTTGACTATTCTTCTTAAAAAGAGAGACGAGTGTTCGCAAAGGCCGAGAATCCTGGGGAAAGGAGAAAACGAACGGTGAAACTTTTTGAGAAAAGAGGGAGAGGAGAGAGATCTGGAGAGGCCAAGTGGGTGACGATGGGCAAATTCTATTTGAGAACCGTTCTGGTTGGCCACGTGTCAAGCGTGAGAAATTTTAAGAAAATAAAGAAATTAGAAAAGTGAGGCCAACGAGGTTGGGGATTTTCTGTCTTGAGAGGAGTAACAGAAAATGCGTGTCGTTTTTTGTTTTCCTTGGTGACGGTGGTGGTTTACCTGCTTTTTTAATTTTGACTTGGCGGATACGGCAAGAGTTTTGGTCATGCGCTTCTCTAATTTTTGTTTTTTAATTTTAATTATATTTGTTTGCAGCTTAATATAAGTGCATATCTTGGTTAATGATGTATTGAACCTCTAAATGTGATGAGTCAGTGTTTGTATTACGCTAAATTATTGTTCTCTAATGGTTGTCGTATTTGGTGACTGCGATTCCAATAACCTTTCTCGCATTTGTTTTTATCTAACTTTTCATATTTGACTAGAAACATAAAACGGAAATATTTTTTTAATGGTAAAAAAAATTGTAAGCAATAACAAAACATTTAAAACAATCAATGATGTTACCATTTTTGGTATTATTTATGAATTTTACTTCTGTTTCATATTTGCTAGTTTCCTTTATATAAAAAATTGAAAAAAAAAATTTGTAAAGTATTCCTGTTTTACATCGATTTTTGGTTTTTCTTATTCAGTCTAGTTCAGGTTAATTATCCATTGGAGATTAATCCTATGCAGAAGTTCAAAACTGAAATACCATGTATATACATACATATAAGTGATGATATTTGTATAGGATTTAACCCAGCTTTTAATTTTTGTATAATATCCACAAAAAATGCTTATGGAAAGAGATCGATCTCGATCAAACCATCTTCCTCTGCATGAAAATCCAACTCTGTTTGATCCCGTTTGCTCATCTTTTCATGGCTTCGATTATACTCACCGAGCTTGATCTCGATTAACCCGTCGTCTCCGATTCCATCGCCGTCCTCTTCTTCCCATCTGAACCCCACTTTCTCCGGCGAGATCCAGTTACCGATCTCCGGAAAATTGAACTCCGACGAGGAGTCCGAATCCGATTCCGAATCTGATTCTGGGTAACAGAGCGACAACGACGGGAATCTCTCGATTTCTCTTAATCGGGTCACCGACGGATTCTCTTCTTCTTCTTCGTCATCATCATCGTCGTCGTCCTCTTCATGTATCACCTCCAATGGAGCTCTAAAATCCCACTCCACAAAATCGGGTTTCGTGTCGGAATCTGTTTCGTGTTTGGTCTCCGACGAAGAATCACGAACCAAAGCCTTAGATTTTCCAGTCTTCTCGAGATTCACGGTTCTGGTTTCTCCTTCGTTGCTTTTCTCGGGTCGGGTATTTGATTCTCGGGTCGATCCGAGACGAAGAAGAGAGGCGAGAAGGGCAACGGAAATGAGAAGAACAGGGGAGAGAAGGAATCGAAGAAGCGAGTCATGAGAGAAATAGATGAGGATAAGACTGTAGAGAGTGATGAAACAGGAGAAGAGAGGATGATGAGAGGAGAAGGAGATCGCCGACGAGTTTTCTACGTTTTCTTCCATATGAGTGGGAAGCTGAGAGAGAGACTTAAAAGACTTTGGTGGTCGTTGCATTTAAATGCCCCGAGGAGGGTTTTTGTCTTTCTTTTTTTCTTTTCTTAATACAGTCAACATATAGTCTAACTTTTCAATAAATTTCATTGTTGAAACGTTGAATTTATTTACCAAATATAATAAAAATTGAATTATCTATAGTTGATACGGGAACAAAAACAGTTTCTTTCTTTCTAAACCTCATTTTTAATTTAACCAATAAAAAACACTCCATAAGTATAATACGAGTGATCATAAAACATCAATTTACTTAAATTTAGCATAAAAATTTCTACTAAATGAAACACAACTTTTTTTTCCAAAACATCTTTTATACTCCATCTGTTTAACAAAAAGTGTCATTTAAAAATTTTAATTTTTTTTACAAAAGATGTTACTTTATATTTCTAATGTAAAATATTAAACAAAATCAAAATTTAACCTTGTTTTTTAATGTATTAATTAGAAAGAAAAAATTGTTGTATGTATTAATAAGGAGTAGTGTAGAACTTTTGCTAATTTTTGTGAAATGTGTCAAAATGACACTTTTTGTGAAATAGAAAGAGTAAGATTTACTAATTATTTTCTGGATTACTTCATTTTTATTCGATTTGAGCGATCACTTGCCCATACATAATACATTTTAAAGCTTTTGGTGTAAGCAGGTTTCGTTGTACATTGGGAAGACTTATGTCGTTGTTGGTTTCTATTCTAGGATAGCTAGAAAGATCTTCGTTTAGAAAAGGTTGTCTTCTTATAGTGGTTTAACAATTAATACTATCTATCGTTCATGCAAATTGTTTGGATATTCTAATCTTACGCTCTAGAAATCGGATTACTAGATCTCTAGATGATGGAAAGGTTGATCACTTGTCGACTTTTCCACATAATTTGTAGTCCGGTTTATCGCAATATAATGGTCCATATTTGGTATCCAGTTTTTTTTTTTCAATTATATATTGAGTGATATCACGATGACAAGTAAGTACATGATTAATAATAATAGTAGCGGAAGAATATAAACATTTTAACCCATACATAGATAATGATGTATTGCCTAGATTCTCACAATGGAATTGAGAATTGATTTCTTGCTTTGGTTCTTGGGGTGTTGGTTCGGGAATTGTGGAAGCTTTAAAGTGCGTAGGACAAAGGCAACGAATATTAAAAGAAATTTTAGCTTAGACGTGGTCATTCTCATGGAAACTATAATCGACAAAGACGAAAACAAAGTCGAAATGTTTTTTTTTTTGGTTTATAAAGAAAATTTGGAAATGTTCAAAAAAGTTTAGTTTTATATGTACCGTTCTATGTTTTTCATTTTGTAAAAATGTTGAGGATGAATCGCGCTCAAAAAACAAAAACTTGGAAAATTATTATGAGATGCGTCGCGCTAACGGTACAATAAACTTCTATCATGTCTTTAATTCAATTTTATCGTCAAAGTGAGTTTTCTATTTTCGTTTTTTTTTGGGGTCTGAACATGTATATGTAAAATGTATTTTTGTCTTATTATCCATGTACAGATTTGATAATCACAGTATGGCAATGGCCTTACTTTATAAATTATAATAACCAAATAACATAAACATATTAAGTTTTTTGTTTAACAAAGGTTATTCAGTTAAAAAGCAAGTAACATATTGTGTTATAAACCGGAAACATATATAAGATCGAATTTATCCTAAATTTTACATGTTCAACTACCGAGTACGTAGATTAATTTTACATGTTCAACTTTGAATAATTTTATAAAGAATAAATTATATTTAACATAAGGGCGATATTGATACACTAACAACAACAAATTAGGGCGATGATACATGTATTACCTCAATAACCAGATTAACTAATTTAACAGTTTAGTTATCGAGATGACCGGTTGGTCCCCCAACAAAGGCTACAAGAAATAGAATATCATTTTCAAATTACATTTAAATTTTAATTAACTTCTTAAAATGAACTAAATCCCGTAATTTGCACTAAATTCTAATGGTTCATTTGATTTAGTGACTCGCTGTGAGCCTGTGACAAAATTAAAAGTAACTAGATTCTAACCCCGTGCATCCGCACGAGAATATTTTTTATTGTTTAATGAATTTTGTAATATAATTTGTGTTTTTTTAAGTTTAGATATAATTATTTTTATAAATATATTTTTTAATAAGCGAAAATATTGATTTTTGTGTTTAGATATATTTTTAAAGTATTAAAATTAATTATGATTATAAAAATATAATTTTAATCCGTCCGCTAATATTAATTAAAAATGAACTATTAAAAAACATAATTTTAAATTTTCCGTTCATATTACCGTATAATATAAATATTTGTTAAAAGTTTGAGATATATTAACAGTATTATTTAGCATTATAGTTTTCTAAAATTTAATCAACGAAAGGAGTGTACAATTGGTTTTTCAAACTATATTATAGTGTATGCAATAATTTTCAATTTTTTTATGTTTTGATTTTGTATGAAAAATATATTTTCGATATACATGTATAATTCAAAATTAGTGATATTAGTTACCAAAATATTTTTAACTCGATTTTTTATATATATTTTTAATTCTATGAATTTTAAAAAATATATTTTTAATATTTAAATTATACATTTGAATTTTATCTATTATTTTATTATTAATTTGTAAATAAATTATAATAGTAAATATATTATATAAACAACATAAATATCATATCATTTACATCATTATAAATATTTTATATTTCAAATATGACCATTATTTTTCATATGTGAATTTTTTTTTTCAAAAATTCTAGATATTTTTGATAAAAATGTTTAATAGTATAGACATTATTTAAATTAGAATCTTTAAATCAAATCTAAATTAATATCTGATTTATTATTTTTAATCAAATCAAATCAAATCTAAATTACTTATATTTAAGGAACTCTAAAAATATTTAAATTAATAACTAATTTTCGAAATTAAATATAAACAATTATTAAAAAAAATTTTAAACACTTAAAAAAAATTAGGAGTGTTTGGAAACAAGTACTAAATGTGCTTCTGTTTTAATATAATAGATTACTCACTGCTGGTTAAGAGAGAGATTGGTTTAACCAATATAAAATTTTATGCATTATCAAGAAAATAAATGGATAAATCATCTTGTTAATTTCATTATCGTTTCATTAAAAATGTCGTTTAAATTTTCTTTTTTTTTTTTCAAAAAGTTATGCGTTCTATAGACTATCGTAGAGTTCTTAACTAAATCTCAATTTTTTATTTACTGTTCCAATAATTTAGAGAAACTTACTTATCCTTTTGATAAAGTAGAGAAACTTACTTATCGTATAAACAAATAATCTAGTAGATCATTTCTATATTTTCTTTAATATATATGAAAAATTTAGAATAACATTATGTGTGAAATGGAGGGAATCATTGATATTCTTTTAAGTCTTTTTCTTATTAATATAAGAGATTTTCACTGTTATAAATATAGGATGTTTTAGGATTTATTTTTTGTTTCAAAAATCGTTTTCGGTTTTTAATGCAAATGTTTGATAATTTTCTATTTTTATCTATATTCTCTTTGTTTATCAATTAGTATGAACACAATATGTAATATATTAATGAGGGATAAGACAGATAATTGAATAGTTTTTTAATATGTGTGAAAAAACCTACAACATTTATATTTAGAAATGGAAGAAGTAAATTTTTTTGGGAACAAAAGGTATCTATATATATATATATATTAAAAGTTATGTATATATATATTTACCATGGGTCATCATTGTTCGATATTTATTGTGTCTAATAACTAATATGGAGGAAATTTCCAATTTTAATACTCAAACACATATAGAAATAAATTGTTATAGTTATCTTTTAATCAAATTGAACCTTTACCAAAAAAGAAGAAGATAATTAAACAAAGCAAAGTAGTTCCGCTTTATGTTTGTTGAGAAAGACTGAAAGAGAAAGGTGAGAGCCTGAAAGTTCGTAGTTGTGGCGGTGGTAGTGGTTCTTTAGCCCATGTCTTGCTTTCTTTTTGTGTGTGATATATCTATATTTTCCCCCGATCCTCGTTGTTTTCCACAAAAAATATGTTTTGCCTGAGCCTAAAACGGTTTATATTGAAAATTTGTAATTAGCAATTATATTTAATATTTTGGTTATACTAATGAAGCTGAGGATTTGGACTGCAAGCTTTCGGGGATTTGTAGATCATTTGACTTTGAGATTCATAATATATACAGGGTTATTAAAGATATACAGGGTTATTGTGTTTTTTATTTTGTTTGGTTATAAATAATAAAGCAAGGGCTTTATATAAAGTCGAAAAAAATAATCAAAGTTTTGATGATTAGGGAGAATGGACCCAAAGGACATAAAACCACGTGACTTGGAACCATTTTGGACCGACCACATCCATCACCTAGCCTTGACTTCCACGCAATGATTTTCAAAGTTGGATGTCCAAAAGTTTATAAAGCACATGAACAATTGGTTTTTGGATTGTGATGTAATATATAAAGAGAAATTAAGACATCATTTCTCTTCCTCCTTTTTGTTGGGTCTCTTTCAAAGGTTTCAATGACTGTGTAACAAAGCTATTCCATTTACATGGATGATAATGAGAGGTAGAACTGCATATGGACTGTTGGCATATGGATAAAATGTAAAGCTTGATAAAGTTAAAGTTAATCATATGTTATATCAGTGAACAATGTACTTGGAGTCTTGGAGATAGAAATGATTTGGGTACACTTTTACGATGGGTTATTTTCATCGGTTAATTTGGCAAATAACAACAATATTGGAAACATAAATTAAGGAGCTAGTTATTAGGGATACAGAATCAATCTGTTTACGATTGATTGCGAATCTTTGTATAAAAGAGATTTTTTGTTTTTGTTTTTGTTTTTTTAAGATAACCAAAGTCTGATTGTGTCCAAGCTTTCATTAGGTTCAGAAAATGATAACAGAACAAGAATTTTGATTGGTAACATTCTCTCAATACAGGTAGTGAATATTTAAAAGAAACTAAAAAAAAATTAGAATATTCTCAAAAAAAAAAAATTAGAAGAATATTTAATTGACAAATTTGAAATTGTGGTTTGAATTGATTTAATTAAGATAAATTAGTTTCTAAAATAAAAACACAATCACTAACACATTAGATATTTAAAATAACAAAAGATAATTCAATATAAATTTTTGATGTTGTGGTTTAATATGATTTAAAAAAAAAAAACATAATTGGAGATCATAAAAAACTTGATTGACCAAATAGATTTCAATGAAAAGAAGTAAAAAACATGTATTATCTCCAATGTGTAGAACGCATTCCCATTTTTAATACTTAAACTTTCAATCATAACTTCTATTGATGAAAATGGTGTAATTAATGCTTCATTTGTATTATCGTCTTGTAACTTTTTTTTTTGGTGACATCAGTTATCATCTTGGATAAGTTCATTGATTGGTTGCTCACTTGATATTACAAGTCGTATAACTTCCATATTGGGAAGTAAACCAATCAAAGCCAATATTACCATACGTGAATGATATTTGTTTAGATAGGTAAATAATTTAGAATTTAAAATGTTATGGCAGTTCATTAGATTGATCTAATTTGTTGACATAAGATACTGATTGATACTCGACCAAAAGAAAAAAGATACGAATTGAAAATTATTTATTGCAGCCTAAGACAAAAACAAAACAAAAAACAGAACCTTGGATACTCTGTCTCTGACTAATAATCCAAAAGACTGATACATATATATAAAAAATACATTTCAGTTCCGATGTATGCAAATGAAATAAATAAATTTGGTCAAAAACTAATCTCAAAAACCTAAAAAGCTTCTGAACCAAAATGCATACTAATCTTAAAAACTATCATAACCGTCAAAGAGAATTTAACAGTAGACAAAGTGAATGTCATCATTTTCAAGTAAACAATGCGACAGGAACCTTAGATTCTCGTTCATTGCTCTTGGCTTTGGTCCAACGATAGTGAATCGGTGCATTAGGAGGCTCAATGTCTTCCACTTGATGGTCGTCGAGATCTATTTGGTTTCGAAAAGCTTGTCGAGTCTTTTTGGGTGTGGTGTACGCAAAATGTAAACTTTTTGCTATCAAACTCTGTTTAATAATTAAAGAAGAATCATGAATCAATCAATCAATGAAACTTTGTGTTAATCAAGAAGAAAATCTTACCAAACGATTGAACTAATCAAAACTTACAGCTTCTCTGATTGATTTAGATACAATATTTAGACTGTTGAGATCCTCATGATCAACACCAGAAATCACTCGAATCTATTTACAAAAAACAAGATTAGATAGGTAAAATCCTATATCTCAAATGATAACAGATATAGAAACTAATCAAAAACTTAATTTTTTACCAGGAGTTCTTGAGGCAGAGATTCGAGGGGAGATTCCTCAGCAATTGTTGTGAGGCTTCTTTGTCTCTTCACCTTCACCGGCGGCGATTCAGTTGCCGGAATCTCAACGGCCGATCTGGACAGAGATTTGCGGACTCTGCTCGACATCAAAATCCTCACTGTTCCTAAACCTAACCCTAACTCATCTTCCTCGCCGTCTCGCTTAGACTTCATAACGAATCCTTCTACTTTCGTCAACGCCATTGTTCTTCTTCCTCCACCAAGAAGATTCTTCAGAAACAGAGTTTCCGAGAGCCACTCAAATAGTTTTGCGGCGCTCGAGGACCAAAACTCACCGATATAATGGAGATAATGGATCATTAGAGCGCGAAAAAGAACACACGGGGCTAAGCAAGCAAGCAGCACAAAGAAATGCGGAAAAGGAAATAAACTGGAGTGATTTGTGGGGAAGAATATAAAATCCTGGATTCCAGTGGAGACACGTGGCGGATTATTATTGGACAGCCGTCATTGGCATTTTTGTATTTCGATCAGTCCAGTCCAAGTTAGCTCTGTATCGGTTACCGTATAAGATAACCCGTTTTGTTCGGGGAGGGAAAATTGGGGTAATGCGGTCCATGGGATAATCAGTGTATTGTCCATCGATTGTTTGTCACGTGTCAGTAAAACAAAGTTTGAACGATGTGCATTTAATTAAAAAACAGAAGAGTGTGGTGGTTTTGAATTAGATGAGATTGACTTTGGTTTCATTGGATTCGAAAAACAGAAGATTTATTTGATTGATTTGGTCGAGATAGGTATGGAAGTGTTTGGTAATTTGTTTTTTTTCTTTTATTAAATGCACACAAAAAAATATGCCCACATTATTTTTGGATAAGACTTATAGTATAAAAATAATAAAATTACGTCGTTTTCCCAATATGTTAAGCGTTTTCGTCTTCACAAAACGGTATATTATCCATTGATCGGTGTATTGTCCATTGATCGTTTGTCATGTGTCAGTAGAACAAAGTTTGAATGGTGTGCATTTAGTAAGAAACTGAGGAGTTTGGTGGTTTTGAAACAGATGAGATTGATTTTGGTTTCATTGGATTCGAAAAGCAGAAGATTAGTTTGATTAATTTGATGTCGAGATAAGTATGGAAGTGTTTGGTAATTTGTTTTTTTTCCCTTATTAAATGCACACAAAAAGAATATGTCCACATTATTTTTGGATAAGACTTATAGTGTAAAAATAATAAAATTACGTCGTTTTCCCAATATGTTAAGCGTTTTCGTCTTCACAAAACGGTGTATTGTCCATTGATCGTTTGCCACGTGTTAGTAGAACAAAGTTTGAACGGTGTGCATTTAGTAAGAAGCTGAGGAGTTTGGTGGTTTTGAAACAGATGAGATTGACTTTGGTTTCATTGGATTCAAAAAACAGAAAGTTTGTTTGATTGATTTGATGTTGAGATAAGTATGGAAGTGTTTGGTAATTTTTTTTTCCCTCCTTAAATGCACACAAAAAGAATATACCAACATTATTTTTGGATAAGACTTATAATGTAAAAATAATAAAATTACATCGTTTTTCCAATATATTAAGCATTTTCGTTTTCACAAAACGGTATATTCACCATTGATCGGTGTATTGTCCATTGATCGTTTGCCATATGTAAGTAGAACAAAATTTGAACGGTGTGTATTTAGTAAGAAGCTGAGGAGTTCAATGGTTTTGAAACAGATGAGATTGATTTTGGTTTCATTGAATTCGAAAAACAGAAGATTTGTTTGCTTGATTTGGATGTCGAGATAAATATGGAAGTGTTTAGTAATTTGTTTTTTTTTCTTATTAAATGCACACAAAAAAATATACCCATAATATTTTTGGATAAGACTTGTAAAAATAATAAAACTACTTAAAAGTTTTCGTCTATCACAAAACGGAAAAAAAGATATATTTGTTAAGCGTTTTCTTCTTCTACCGGGACATTCTGGTGATGAGAATTGCTTGCAAAGCCATTGTCATTTTCATCAAAAGTGTTCTCTTGAGATGTAACGTAGAAACTCCAGAGAGATACACAGTTTTCATCAGCTGTGTGACCACAAAGAGAAAAAAGAAAGATTTAATTTCGGAAGTAAATATGAAGCTAATTAGGATGTATTGCAATTTGCAAATGTACCTTTCAATTGAAGATCGTTCTTATCTTCATCATCATCATCATCTGGAATTGCGAATCGTCTGTGACCAGAGGATGTAGCAGCCATTGGAAGGTATGGGTGGAAAGAAAAAGCATTGACGGTATCTGCAAAATACATTGTAAATGTCCTATAAAGTTTGGATCTCATCAAGAAACTGGAGAGTTTACTCAAGAACCAAAGTGTAAGCTACCTGAAGCAGCTTGATATCCAGAGACCCAGTTTCCGGTTTGTAAATCATACATGTGAACGAGACCATCCTGGAGAAATAGACAAGTGATATGGAACAATTTCACCATAAGTTGCTTTGAATCTTCTAAACAAAAGCCAGGTCTACAGAAAGGGAAGGAAGATCGATAGTACCTGACCACCGGTGCCAAGATGTCGACCACATGGCTCAATATCAAAGAATACACGCTGGTTTGTGTTCTCTGTTGCTCTGTACAATCTGATCACATATACAATATCCATTCAACCACATTTCACTTGGACTTATAAAGTAATTGAAAACGAGAATTTGGAAAGCAAGAATCAAATCTGAAGTTCAAACAAGCTTAGACTTCTACTAACTTGATTCAAACCAAAAGAAAAAACTAAATACTCACTTATAAACTATCTCAACAGATTTCCGCATATCCCAGCAAAGAATGTAAGGATCCTGAAAAGAGTAAACAAAAAAAAGAAACAGTTATTTGGGAAGCTTACTGGAAACATGATTCCTTTTTCATATCATACTATAGACGATACTTTCTTCCCCTTAAAACAGGCGATCTTAACATGGAAATCAAGTTGGCATAAATTTGCTCAAGAAAATTAATGTTACCTTGCGACCTCCTGTATATAAGTAGTTCCCATCCTTTGAAAACTGGACCTGAAAGCAAGAAAAAATTCGATTAATGATAATATCATAACCCAGAGCACAAAAATAAAGACAAAATAAATGAACCCTTGCTTACATGTGTGACGCCGCCTTCTTGACCATGTAAAACATACAATAGCTCCATGTTGTCTTCTCTATAAATCCCTGTAGTCTGCCCGTAAGAGCCCACAGCCAACATTCCAGATTTGGTTGGGGAGAAAGCAAGAGTAGATAATATACCTGCAAATTACAAACCAGTAAAAGGTTGTTCTTGTTTATGCATAAACTGTAATATTGATACTATGCAACGTGTGAGTGATAAACTAAGAAAAAACCTGCTTGGCCCTCTTTATTTCTCTGTAGAGTTGAATACTGCCCAAAATCTCTACCGGGACGATGAAGATCAAACACTCTGATGGAGCTGTTATAACCAGCAAAGATCCTAAAGAACAATATACAGCCAAATGAATATAGATACTGTTAATTAAATTCTCTATCATGTGCGACAGATGGATTAGATTGCTTACTTGGTTCCACCAGGATTAAATCCAATTGAAAATGCAGCAGTGATTTCATCCATAGCATCATAGGCCCGGTACGTGCATCGAAGCTGCCATTGTTACATTCACATGTAAATTATCAGATACACACTACTACATGATGGTAGAATAGCTCTCCAGTAAACATGTTAAAGTTACCTCACCAGAAGTACTATCCCAAAGATGGATTGGATGGTCTCTAGTGGAGGTAGCAAAGACGCATGTTAATGGATCTGAACAAAGTCAACAACCAAAATCAGTAATTCAAATGATGAAATTATTAAGCAAAAAAGAAAGAACCTTTTCATGATGAGCTTGTGTTTGATTATTACCTGAAACTGACATGTATGGATACCAACAGAAATCATAGACAGATTCACCCTCATTAACAAGGAGACTCGCACCATACGAATCTAAAGTTCCAAAATTTGAAAGAAACACATATAAACACACCATAAATTACAAAATTTCTTCACGTTTGACACAAACATGCAAAATTTAGGTTGCCAAGCTCACCTTCTTCAGGGATTGGCACTCCATAGCCATTAGAATCACCTCCATCTTGAGGCCTGATGAACAATTTTGCAAAACGAGAAGATTCAACAGAGAACTAAAACTACCCAACATACAGAATTACTGATGCTTAAGCTAAAAAGACTTACAGATAAAACAGACTAAGTGTATTGTCCTCGGAGCTTGCAAGGAAACAAGAACCATCAGGTGACCTGTAAGAAGCAGTAACAAATCAGTACCTCAAGAGTTGAGGAGAAGAAGAAAAAAAAGTTTCAAACTTTGAGAAAAAGACAAAAGAACCTAATCAAGAGAATGAAATTAGAAGAAAACGTCCTACCATTTAAGACCCTTGAGGAAATTGTTAGGGTTTCGAGCAGCTCTAAACTGCTCACAGAAATGATGCGTTCTGTAAGGAGAGACATCGAATCTCATGGTAGGCAACGATGAAGTTTGCTTTACTGAGTCGACCGTTAGTCCGCCATTTTCTTCTGCTATTGCTTCTTCTTCACCCATCCTCTTCGTCGTCTTCGTCAGAGCTTTTGGAATAGTAGCAGAGAGGTTTAATTTTTGTTCTAAACCCCAGTGAGAATCTCCGAAACCCGAACCGGATTCTTTAATGTCAAACCAACAAATAAAACCGGGAGATTTCTAAACAGAAAAATTAAAACCAAAACATTTAAACCCGAAATCAAACCAAAAACCGGATTAGGTATCTTATTCTTATGGGAATTTGGAAGAAAAGCCCGCCAGGTTTTGTCATTAGTGCGTCTTTCTGCTCCCGGCGGATCCCGGCGACCGCCGTCTGCTCCTTCCGTTCTCTTTTTTCACTCTCTTCAGATTTTTCTCTCTGATCCCTTAGTTCCTATAGCTTTAGAAGTAATTGAGAATTCCAAGAACCCTCAATTTCTCTACTTTTTCCCCACTCGCCATTATTTACTTTGTAAAACCCTCGGATTTTCGGAAATGGAGAGTGAAGAGGGTGAAAGTGTCATTCCTTTCCAGCTCCAGTTTGACAAGCCGATTCCTTTTCAGGTTTTGTTTCACTTCCTGCTCAAATTTCGTGGTTTTTTTCTTCTGATTTAGACATATGGATATATGTTTAGATGGATTCATGTTTGCTCTGTATTTGTTGCTTTGCACTGTTCAATTTCTTTAGATTAAGATAGCTGAGTGGAACCCAGAGAAGGATTTACTGGCAATGGTTACGGAGGACTCAAAGATTTTGCTGCATCGTTTCAATTGGCAGAGATTATGGACTATTTCGCCAGGTAAACTATTCACTTTGTTTAATCAATACATACATTTTTGAATGCAGGATGATTATGTATTCTATGAGGTTTAGCTTTGTGAACATTAATCTATTTGCTGAAACTGAAACTGAAATGCAATTCGAAGTAGATAGTCAAATATTACTCATTTATTCAGATGTTCCTGGTGCTAAGTCTATTTTCCTTTCTTTTGGCTTATAGGAAGGCCCGTTACTTCCTTATGCTGGCGTCCTGATGGTAAAGCCATAGCTGTTGGGCTCGAGGATGGAACCATTGCGCTTCACGATGTTGAGGTAAGTTTTAGATTGAAGCTAATCCATGTTCTTCATGATGAAGCTGTTGATGGAATGGCAATTCTTTTTGAGTAAACTAGTGATTCTTTTGTCGAGGGGTGGAAAAGAAACAAGATCATGCTTAACAAAAAGTAGTTGGTACTGTTTTCGTGCAGAACGGGAAGCTATTAAGGAGCTTGAAGCCCCATGCTGTAGCTGTCGTGTGTCTTAACTGGGAGGAGGATGGACAATCCAATACCGTATAATTTCTCCTCTGATTAGTTCGTTGTACAATACTTTCGCTTATATTGATATTGAGAAACAAAAAGCAAGCATCTTTTACCAATCACAGTTGTAGAATTTTGTATTTGAGCTTGTGCTTACTCTTTGAGTTTGGTTTTCAGGATGAAATTGGGAATGTCTCAGCTTATGAGGACCGGACCTCGCGTTTTTTCCCTCCTGCTCCAAGAGCTCCAAAGATGCCTGGACTGGTAGCTGGTGACTCCAGTTTCATGGATGATGGTGAAGATTCTTTAGCAGAACTATCTAATACCTCATTCCGGAAGTTTAACATTCTCTGCAGTGGAGATCGAGATGGGAGCATATGCTTTAATATATTTGGAATATTTCAGATAGGGAAGATTGTAAGTCGCTCTTTTGACTTTTAAGTAATTAGTAAGGCATTAATGTATCATGGTTGCTGATATTTCATCACCTTCCAATTGTGCTTGCATATAGAGTAACAGGATGCTTGATGAATTGTCAACACTATTTGCATATGTAAATTGTTTTCGAAAATATTTAGTTGCTTCTTTATTACGTATTTTTATAGCAAGATAATGTGAGAAGGTATATTTTAACAAATTGTAAGATTCATTTCTTATCTTCATTTCTAGCTACGAGCAATATTCTCTTGTTTTATTTCCAATTATAAGTCTTATTTTTTTCTGGTTTCATGATCAGAACATACACGAGCTGTCTGTTCCTGTGCCACATCTGGATGAGCGCGCCTCCCGCAAACTATTTAATGCTACAATTTGCAAGGTACTTCGATCCTTTCAAGAGCCATGCCTTCCAAATGATACAGATGAGATTTCCTTAAGTTCTATGTCTCTTACAGTAGATGCCTGTAGGGGAAATAAAGAAAAGGAGGGATTAAGAGTCTGTAGATTCAAACTAATTATTGTTAATTGCATTTCTTAGGTTGCGTTGTCGAAAGACCTCTGTCGCTTGGTAGTAATGTGCACAGGAGTGCTTAGAGATACCGAGCCAAGAGAAGAAAACCTTAGTGTACAAGATCTGCATGGTTTACATTGCCTTGCAATGGACACATCTATATTTTGGAAGAGGTAACTTTTCTTCAAAATCTATGAGTACAGACCAAATTATCTACATTTCGCTGCTGCTTCTTTCCTTCCTTCTTTTTCATTGTTTTAAATATGGATTTCAACACCGGAAAATATTATTAAATTACACAATTTTGGTTTTTTGTCTTCCTTGCATCTGTCATATTCGTTCACTCTTCCAATTTTTATTTCAGGAAATATGAGCTTCATCAGGTTGCTCAACAAGCTTCCAACATTGAAGATTTGACTGAGGTTATTCGGGAATCCTTATCAGTTATGAGCAAACAATGGGCGGATGCCATGAAAACTTTTCATGACAAGTTTTATTCCCTTTCCACCTTAATCGTAGATAATGGTATGTGCCACTATTCGCTTGTTGGTTGAGGTTTTTCTCGTTGGCTCATAGATTTACAGGGCTGTGTTGCTTTTCTCTCAGGACTCGAATCATCTCCTCAAGACGAATTTCTTAGCCTGTTGGGTGGTGCGCGGATAAGTCCAGCACTTAATCAATTTTTAGTTAACTCTCTTGGCGAAGTGGTAAGCTTCACTTGCTTGTCATCTTCAAGTACTAGTTTTATCATAATCCACTAAGTAGTAATCTTGTTTAATAGGGTGTGAAGCGCGTCTTAAAGTCAGTATGTGGTACAGGAAAAGAACTTCAGCTGGTTGTCCTGGACCATCTTCAGGTTTAGTCTTCTTCACACTCCTGGAAAAGATTTTTTTTTACTGTTAGACTGAGTAAAGTTTGCTTACCCTGCAAATAATTTTTAGATAGAGTTTTGTGACGAGTAGTTTTTTTTCCCAGCCTGCAGCAGAAATTATTGGATTCAGAATGGGTGAATTAAGAGGTCTCTCGAGATGGCGTGCACGGTACCAAGGCATTGGTTTGGATGAGAAACTTCTTAATGAAGCAACTGAAAATGCTGGTCTTCTACTTGTACAAGTGCAACGGTTTATGATGGTACTATCATCTATTGTCAACCAGGTACAGAGGCGTGCCCAACGAAAACATAGTTATTCAGAATAATGTTTGTCCCATGTTTCCCACCCAATGTTCATTTCAATAAAAATATTAGTCTTTTTGTTTCAGTTCTCAAATTTCTTCAACTGGCTCCTAAAAAGCATAAAGTATCTTATGCAAGAACCAAATGATCAGCTTATGTCATACAACAGGTATGCACGTGTGTTTCTATGTTGTTTATGACGTTGAAAGCCAAATATTTGTAGTTACATGGTTTGCTTCTGTGGCAGCGAACTCCTTGTGGTGTTCTTGGAGTTCTTATATGATCAAGATCCGGTGAAAGACCTCCTGGAGCTATCTGAAGCTGATGATGACATTGAAATTGATCCGTAGGTTACTCTTTCTCTATTTGCGCTTTTACCTACCTTTTTGTCTGCGTAATGTCTTTTAGTCGATCAGAATATCATATTACTTCTTCTTAAACCATCCATAAGGGAGTCCAATGTGATCTCAGAAAAGCAAATCCAAAGGGCTTTAAATCAAATTCAGATGTGGGCAATGTGTATGCGTTTTTATGCTTCCATATGTGTTTGAGAAGTTTCTGCATACTAGTCTTTTCTGCATGCATGACTAAGAAATGACCACAAATCAGCATAAACGGATGAAGCATGAAGTCCATTGAGTCCTCCAAGGCTGTTCATTCATTATAATTTTTTCCAATTCTAATAAACTCTTATGGTTTCCATGTCTCAGCAAAACCATTGAAAGAGTCAAAAAATTAATTCAGTTTGGAGGATTTTCAGACTGTGATTTTCTGCGGAGAACATTGGCTAAGGAATTCCAACACATGGAGTCTAGGTAATTTTCCTTAACGGTTTTCCAGTTATTCAAACAAATCAGTTACTGGACATGCTATTTCATGGCGCACAGCATTAGTAAACTGATATAAGTATAAGGCTATGGTAGAGACAAAAGTCTGATGCCATAGTCTTGACATTTTAAAAGTATTATTGCTGAACAATCATAATAATATGTTTTGGGAGTTTTACTTGCAAAACAAAGTTTGCTGATTTTTTAAAGTCTGATCATACTCTCGTATGGTTTTCTCTTAGTGACTAGACATCAGAATTTGATTTTTATGCTTTAACTATTTTAGCTTCAAGATGGCTCTTCAAATGCCCTTTACAACCATATCAAGAAAGATATCATGTATGAAGTTGTTGCCGCTTTGCCCTCTTCAGCTGTCAACGACGCAAATGCGTTCGACCATTCCCATGTCTCTTTCCTTCTATAAGGTACTTGCAGCATCAATCGTAACATACGTTATCATAATCTCATAGAAGATGTTTAAGAAAAGATTTTTGCGTGTTGTTCGTTTCTCTACAAAGCTGAAATTTGCTCTTGATATACTATAATCTTGATCTGCATGTGCAGAATGAAATTTCTGCTGATAGATCTTGTCAAAGTGGGTACACTGATTACATATCTTTTCAAGTCCCTGGTGAAGCTTTCACGGATATTCCAAACAGTATTGGCATAGCTAAGGGTTTTAAGCAAAACTCCAACATCGAGAAAAATGGTTATACTTCTATGGAAGCTGTTTTGTTATCTGTACCTAATGGCTACCATTGTGTTGATTTATCTCTCTACAAGGTAAATATTCAGTTTCTTCTGCAGCTCTAGCTAAATAAAAATTGTATATCTTGTTTTGCTATTATCTGATTGTTCCCTGTAACCCTGTCTAATGTTGAACAGGATAAAGAACTTGTTTTACTATTGAACAAATCAAGTGAAAATCCCGAAGGCTCAGGAGAAGCCTGCATGATGGTTGTACAAACTGTTGACCTTCCATTCATTTCTATTTCAAGTTCTAGTAGTCTAAATCAATGGGAGCTAGAGAATTTGAAGGTAATGCTAATTTCAACCATTCTCATCGACATTCACTGCCCTCCATGTTGGGCTATCTTGGAACGTATCAATCTTGAAACGGTGTTATTTACTAGAAATCCTCACAAATGTTTTCCCTGCAGGGCTCCATTGTTCACCTAGAGATGGAGAATGAAAAGGTCCGCAAAATTCCACATTCTACAATTGCTCCTCTAGCAGTAAGCGGTAAGTTCCCATTTTCTCATTCATATTCCATTTCCGTCTTAAAATTTTGAGACTGAATCATCAAAGCTACTGCAATTTTTAATAGACAAGAGATTGCCTATGTACTCTCACTAAGACTAGTAAAAGAATTAAGAAGCAAACAGAGAACTTTACTCGAAGATGCTGATCAACGTAGGAAAAAAAAAGAAAAGCTTTTCAAGTTCACGTAATCTTTTAGTTAATTCTTTATAATTGTTACAGCTTCAAGAGGAGTGGCTTGTATATTCGCTGAAAGAAGACGTGCTCTGGTGTATATATTGGAAGAAGATGAAGACGAAGAAGATGTCTCTGAAGACAAGTAAACTTCCTCCAATGCCTGGCTTTGATTGTTCTTGTAGATTATATTTTAACTTATTAGTAAGAGAGATTTTAGTTTGTGAGAGTCGCTATTCTATTGAATTAGCAAAAACGGTGACATTTTATTAGTTCTTCACAAGTTTGTATCAATTCTTCTTTTTAATAGTCTAATCTAATCATAATTAAAGAGCGTTACGCCACATCATCCCACCCACCCGCCAATTTGAGCGCGTGGTTTCCAGTTGCCATCTATAATCAGACAAAAGTGCCAAAGTCAAAATCAATTCTTTGTTCTTAGCTCACCTGCGAAGCTAACAACGCTCTCTCTCTTCTCTCTTCTCTTCTCTATCACGGAAGCTGTGTTATGGATCATGAGCCGGAGAATAATCAGCAATCGTCTCCGGCGATAATACTCAAGGACATAGCTCTTTTAGATGATTATCACGTGATGATGACGTTGACTGCCGAGGGAGAGTTACAATCAGTTGGGTACGAACGCTGGAGTTTGTCGATGAAGAATGTTCTTGGTTTCATCGTCGAAGGTAAGCAGATTAGATTAAAAGCAGTGGTGAAGAGAGATGGAGGAGGAATCTGCTGCGGAGACTCAGATGGATTTTATTTCGCCAGGAAGGACTTCGTCATCGAGCCTCTCTATGAAGATGCTAAAGATCGATGGTGCTACAAGCTCCGTCAGTTTCTCGAATCTCTCGGTTAGTTGTTTTATTAGTTAAAACTAAAAAACGAAAACTTGTGTATCACGTAGCTTAAAACCTAAGGCTTTTTTAGTTTGGATGCTAAATTGGTTGATTGAAAATATATAAGGTCGGCCCAAGAGATTGCTTGTATTCGTGAACCCATTTGGCGGGAAGAAATCGGCGAGAAAGGTTTTTGCAAAGGAAGTAAAACCATTGCTTGAAGATGCTGATGTTGAACTTGATGTTCGAGGTTTCTTGCATTTTTCTTCCACTTTGTGTGTTCTTCCTGATTTCAAGAACTCTTGTCGGAGAAAAATAACAACAGGTTTATTTATGATGGTTCTTCAGAAACCAAGTATCAGTTGCATGCAAAGGAGATTGCTAAGTCCATGGATTTATCAAAGTACGACGGTATTGTTTGTGTCAGCGGTGACGGTGTTCTTGTTGAGGTAAAAACGAAATCATCATCAATTTTGAGAGAGATTATATAACATCATGTCTTCGAAGAAAGCAGAGGAAAAAAACAGAGTTTTATAATTACTTTCCTGTTTTTGACTCTTTTTTAAATTGGTTCCCAATTTAGTAGGTTGTAAATGGGATGCTCGAAAGAGCAGACTGGAGAAAGGCCGTGAAATTGCCGATTGGGATGGTCCCTGCAGGTCTGTGGTCAACATAATATTATGAAGAATCATCAATCACTTTGTCTCATTAGAAAACCTCAAGACATTGCTTCTAATAAGGTATCTTTGGAGGTTTAATCTGTCTCGTCCTTCTCTTGTTGTGTTCTTGATGTGGCAGGAACTGGTAATGGTATGATAAAGTCAGTGTTGGACTCGGCTGGGATTCGATGCTGTGCAAGAAGTGCTACTATTTCTATTATCCAAGGTCCTGCTCCATGCCATAAAAAAAAAACTCTTCAAAAGCGTTATCTTTTTCCTCAGTAATCAGCTCCTGTAACTATATTACTATATTGTCAGGTCATACACGTTCTGTAGATGTGGCAACTATCTCACAAGGGACTACCAAATTCTTCAGTGTCTTGATGCTTGCTTGGGGTATGCAAGCCTTCTAACTTACTCCATAGTTGAGAAATTTATTTGCAAATGAAATAAGTGCCTGAGCTTGCTAAAAACTATACTGTTTATTTGTATTGAACTAGTCCAATTCAATTCAGGTTTAGTGGCTGATATAGACATAGAGTCAGAGAAGTTCAGATGGATGGGAAGTGCTCGCATTGACTTCTATGTACGTTACACATTTTGACAATAGTTGCATTGTAGACTTATAGTTGTCAAACTGCTAGTAGACTAAATCCTTATTGGTTCTTGTATGTTCTGCTCTGCGGCTTGTATCTACAGGCTCTTCAGAGGATAATATGTTTAAGACAATACAACGGACGAGTACTATTTCTACCAGCTCCCGGGTTTGAAAGCTGTGGCCAACCAGCCAGCATCAGTCTATACAAAGACCCGCCTGTTAGCGATAAAGTGCTTGGGTACCAAGGACCTGAAACTAAATTTGAAGATCTTGAATGGAGGGAACTCAAAGGTCCTTTTGTTTCAGTATGGTTACATAATGTTCCCTGGGGTGCTGAGGACACTTTGGCTGCTCCTAATGCAAAGGTCAGTTACACATTTCTAACGTTGAAACCAAGAATCTTGGATCTTCTTTAGTTTTAAACGGTTAAAAGCTTATTTTGTATATGGTATGTTGAACAGTTTTCTGATGGCTTCCTGGACTTGATTGTCGTGAGAAACTGCCCTAAGCTTGCCTTGTTATCACTTATGACAAAGTTGAGTGATGGAACACATGTTCAATCACCGTATGTAGCGTATCTAAAGGTGTGTCATCCAAACCCATGAACCCATTCATATACTTGTAATCTCTCATTTGATGTCCCTTGTGAATCTTATGTTTTGACGATTTGACCTGATGATTTTCTTACTTTCAAAAAGGTGAAGGCATTCGTGCTGGAGCCGGGTGCACGGATAGATGAACTAGACAAGGAAGGAATCATAGATTCAGACGGAGAGGTATTGGCAAGAGGAAGAAGATCATATAAATGTGATCAAAAGGCTCTAATGTCTTACGACAAGCTTCAGATAACAGTTGATCAAGGTTTAGCTACTCTCTTCTCTCCTGAATAATCCTGGTTGATAAAATGTCTACACATGAGATGAACATTCACATCATAATTCCATAAAACCCTGATTGATTTTTTTTGTAAATGTTTTTCATTCGTGGGAGTAATTTGTTGATTGATGCACATGTACCGGTTACATTACAGGAAATGCGAGCAAACAGATGTTTGTTGTTTCCTTATACATCAGTTCTTGAGATTCCAGACAAGATTTTCTTGATCTTGAATAATTACTGAAAGTAGACTTATATTGGGCCAAGACTGAGATATCATGAGCCGAACTTATAGGCCCATTAACAACCCATATATATATATATTTTGTGCGTCTATGTTAAACGCTCTGTTGAATCCTTTTCTCTTCCCTCTAAAATCTAGAAACCCCAGAAAAGCAAAGAAGAAGTAAAACATGGCCTCCGGCTCCGGCAAAGATTCCTTCCGTACCCTAGGGTACATGACCCGGAAGGACGCGGAAGTGAAGCTTCCACCGGCGACGCGGGTCAAAAACAAGACTCCAGCGCCGGTGCAAATCTCCTCCGAGCAGCTTCTAAGGGAAGCTCGCGACACCCAAGAGCCTGAGATCCGTCCTCCTAATCAGAAAATCGCCGATTCGGATGAGCTTTCCGACTATAGACTCCGAAGTCGGAAGGATTTTGAGGACCAGATCAGTCGCGATAAACGGAACATCCAAGTATGGGTCAGATACGCGCAGTGGGAAGAGTCGCAGATGGATTTCGCGCGTGCTCGGAGCGTGTGGGAACGAGCATTAGAAGGAGAATACAGGAACCATACGCTCTGGGTCAAGTACGCCGAGTTTGAGATGAAGAACGAGTTTATCAACAGTGCGAGGAACGTTTGGGATCGTGCTGTGACGCTTCTCCCTCGAGTGGATCAGCTTTGGTACAAGTATGCTCACATGGAGAAGATGCTTGGGAATATCGCCGGAGCTAGACAGATATTCGAGCGGTGGATGAATTGCTCACCGGATCAACAAGGTTGGCTCTGGTTTATTGAATTCGAACTTGATTATAATGAGATCGAACGTGCTAGATCCATATACGAGAGATTTGTTCTTTGCCATCCTAAAGTTTCTGCTTATATCTCATATGCGAAGTTTGAGATGACGCGTGGTGGTGTTGAGCTTGCTAGGAAGGTTTACGAACGCGCCGTGGATATGCTTGAATACGATGAAGAAGCTGAGGTTCTATTTGTGGCATTTGCTGAATTTGAAGAACGATTCAAGGAAGTAGAACGTGCTAGGGGTATCTACAAATATGCTCTTGATCGTGTTCCTAAAGGAAGAGCTAGGATTTGTGCAAGAAGTTTGTGGCGTTTGAAAAACGGTTTGGGGATAAGGAAGGGATTGAGGATTCCATTGTTGGGAAGAGGAGATTTCAGTATGAAGATGAAGTGAGGAAGAACCCTTTGAACTACGATTCGTGGTTCGATTACGTTAGGCTAGAAGAGACTATTGGGAACAAAGATAGGATTAGAGAAATCTATGAGAGAGCTATTGCTAATGTTCCACCTGCAGAAGAGAAACGATATTGGCAAAGATACATATATCTTTGGTGAGTTTTTTTCTATCAATATCCTTTACAGATTTGGGTAGTAACATTATTGGCTTCTTAGGCATGAACTGTGTTTGGGTTTGGTTGTCTTAGGCAGTCTTTTAGCACATTAAGATCACTAAGTAAATCTACTAAAACAGATTCTTGCATCCTGTGGAAAGCTTTTGTTGTTTGTCTTTTGTAGCATTTTCTCAACCACTGACACTGATGTGACTAATTGGTGTAGGATTAATTATGCATTGTATGAAGAGATTGAAACTGAAGATGTGGAGCGTACACGAAATGTTTACAGGTGCATATTCTGAAACTTGTGAAGTTACGTTCATCTACGTTTCACTTGTGGCGGTTTTGACTGACTGTTTGTATTTATCTTACCAAATATTACAGAGAATGCCTCAAGCTTATCCCCCACACCAAATTTTCTTTTGCCAAAATATGGTTGCTCGCTGCACAATATGAAATCAGGCAATTGAATCTCACGGGTGCACGGAAGATATTTGGAAATGCAATTGGGAAAGCTCCAAAAGATAAGGTAAGCCTGACGATGGCTAATCTAGAAATGGTTTACATTATTTCTCATTGCTCATGTTGTACTTACCATGGTGATTTTCTTACTGCAAAACAGATCTTCAAGAAATACATTGAGATGGAACTCGAGTTGGGAAACATAGATAGATGTAGAAAATTATACGAGCGGTATCTTGAATGGTCTCCTGAGAATTGCTATGCTTGGAGAAGCTATGCTGAGCTTGAGATGTCTCTTGCTGAAACAGAACGAGCTAGAGCTATCTTTGAACTTGCAATATCTCAGCCTGCTCTAGACATGCCTGAGCTGTTGTGGAAGGTATATTTTTTGCAGTCTAATGCATCCAAAAATGTGAAGATTTTTCAGAGTTTTGAGCCGATTGGATCAATAATTTCTCTTTTTGTTTGTTTGTGGCAGACGTACATTGATTTTGAGATATCAGAAAGGGAATTAGAGAGGACACGGGCTTTATATGAGCGACTCTTGGACCGTACAAAGCATTGCAAGGTGTGGGTTAGCTTTGCAAAGTTTGAAGCTTGTGCTGCGGAATACAAAGAAGACGAGGAAGAAGAAGATGTTGTTGAACGCAAAAAAGACTGCATCAGACGTTCCAGAGGTTTGTTCAAGCTACATGTTATATTATGAGTTTTGATGATTCCTTGTGACATGTTTTAACTTTTTTCTTTCTTTCTTTGCTTCTACTCAGCGATCTTCGATAGAGCCAACACATACTACAAAGACTCCACACCGGAGCTGAAAGAAGAGCGCGCTACGCTTTTGGAGGAGTGGCTTAACATGGAGACGGGCTTTGGTAAGCTCGGGGATGTTAGTATCGTTCAATCGAAGCTCCTGAAGAAGCTCAAGAAGAGAAAGCCAATCAGCAGAGAAGACGGATCTACAGAGTACGCATTGTATACATATACTTTGTGGATATGTTATCTTTAGAATGTGAGAATCGAATGGTAAAAGCTAAATGTGAAAAAATTGTCTGAATCTTTGGCAGGTATGAAGAATATAATGATTATCTCTTCCCAGAAGAGTCACAGACGACGAATCTTAAGATTCTTGAAGCTGCTTATAAATGGAAGAAGCAGAAGGTTATTGAAGCTGGGGAATGCGCCTATAGTGGTTAACATAGTGTTATGCAATACTACAGCTGATGTTGTCTCTTGTTGTGCATAGACTGAATTGAATTGATATTATGATAAAAAAAATTATATTTAATTGTATCAGAACATATATATTCTATCTAATTAATTTAGAAGCAGAGACGTAAGTAGTCAAATTGCAAAAACGCCGTCGCTTTACGTGTAGCTGTTTACAGGTTTGTTTTAGTGCCATGTCATTACATCTGATCGGGGAATCTTACTAAAGGTCAGATTTCAGGTCATTTAAAAAAAAATTCTTTAGCTCTCACCAACGACGAAACTCTTCTCTCTCTCTCTCCCTCTATGGATCATCAGCCGGAGAATGATCAGCTGTCGTCTCCGGCGATTATTTCCGACCGAGTTCAGGTAAATGGTATTGTCACGCCGTTGACCTTGACTGCCGACGGCGAGCTCTGGTGGACGGAATCCGGACGGCGGAAATCGACGGCGGTCAAAGACATCCTGAGTTTTGTCGTGGAAAGCAACAAGGTTAGAGTGAAGACCTTGGTGGAGAGAGGGGGAGGAATTTGCTGCGGAGAAACTGCTGGAGATTACGCGAGGAAGGATTTCGTTTTCGAGCCTCTCTCTGATGAATCTAGAAAGCTATGGTGCGATAAGCTCCATCAACACCTCGAATCTCTCGGTTAGTTGAATAATCGAAATCATGTCGGTGCAATTCTTAAATTCTCGATGCTAAAATGGTGATTCCATGATGTCAAAATATTAGGTCGGCCAAAGAAATTGCTTGTGTTCGTGAACCCGTTTGGCGGGAAGAAGTCGGCGAGAAAGATATTTCTTGAAAAAGTAAAGCCATTGTTTGAAGATGCTGATATTCAACTTGAGATTCAAGGTTCCAGATTTTCTTATTTTTTTGTTTCGTCCTGATTATTTGAACTCTTCTCCGGGAAATTAACACTTGGATTATTGATTTTTCAGAAACCAAATATCAGTTGCATGCAAAGGAGATTGTTAGGTCCATGGATGTATCAAAATACGACGGTATTGTTTGTGTAAGCGGCGATGGTGTTCTTGTTGAGGTAAGTAGGAAGCTTTTCTGTTGTGGAAGTATCATTTTCTCTTTGTCAGTTTTAGTCGGAAAACTTATATTAAAAGTGATGACTGATGATGCGTGTCTTCTGTGCTATTCTCACATGATTCAAACTAAACTAAAGGAATTTTTTTAAAAATCGTTTCTTTGACGAAGTTAGAGGAAAATGATATTGCTTTTTGGAAGTATCTGTTCTAGGAAACAATCTCTTGTTTAATTATATGTGTACTGTTTTGCTTAGGTTTGACTCTGTGATTAGACAATTATTTTAGTGTTGATGATTCTTACAGTTGGTTCCTAATTTAGTAGGTTGTAAATGGACTGCTGGAAAGAGCAGACTGGAGAACTGCCTTAAAATTGCCTATCGGAATGGTCCCTGCAGGTTCGTTCTGCTTCATCACCCTCGTGTGTTCCATGTGAAAGTTTAGATGTAAAGGTTATTTAACAGCAAGATAAACTTTAGCAAAATCTTTTACCTTGTTATTTCATGTGCAAAATTCTTGATGGCAGGAAGTGGTAATGGCATGATAAAATCATTGTTGGACACAGTTGGGATTCCTTGTAGTCCAACAAGTGCTACTATTTCTATTATCCGAGGTCTTTCTCCATGCCATACAATACTCTATCCTACGAAAACTTTGGTTTTTTCCCCCATGAGTCAGCTCACTCTCAAAATATATTTGTATTGGTAGGTCATACACGTTCTTTAGATGTGGCAAGTATCTCACAAGGGACTACCAAGTTCTTCAGCGTCTTGATGCTTGCTTGGGGTATGCAAGTGACTTCAGAAATTTCTTTGCAGACGAAAAAAGTGCCTAAGTTTGGTGAACTGTACTGTTGGTTGTATTGTGATAATTTCAATTTACTTCAGGTTTAGTGGCTGATATCGACATTGAGTCAGAGAAGTTCAGATGGATGGGCAGTGCTCGTTTTGATGTCTATGTACGTGTAGTTGAAAAAAATTGAAATATTTTTGCATTGTAGGTCTTAACATGTGTCTTTAGTCTATTCAGATATATTCAAATATATCCATTAATATTCCTGTGGATTGTATGAATTTAATCGGATGTTGTCTTATTCAACTTTGTGTTCTCCTCTACGGTTTGTATTTGCAGGGTTTTCAAAGGATTATATGCTTAAGACAATACAATGGACGGATTCTTTTTGTGCCGGCTCCTGGGTTTGAAAGCTATGGGCAACCAGCCAGTTGCAGTAGTGTAGACAAAGAGTCACCTATTAGCGATAAGGAACTCGGATACCAAGGACCTGATGCTAAGCTTGAAGACCAGGAATGGAGAGAAATCAAAGGCCCATTTGTTTCAGTATGGCTTCATAATGTTCCGTGGGGTGCGGAGAACACTTTGGCTGCTCCTAACGCAAAGGTCAGTTACACATTTTGTAACATTTTCAAACTATGAAAACACACAATTTACGGATCTTCATATGATTTTTTTCTTGGAAAATAAAAACACCATTAAAGCTTATTTCGTATATGGTGTGATGAACAGTTTTCTGATGGCTTCCTGGATTTGATTGTCATGAAAGACTGCCCTAAGCTTGCCTTGTTATCACTTATGACAAAGTTGAGTGATGGAACACATGTTCAATCACCATATGTAGCGTATCTAAAGGTGTGTCATCCAAACCCATGAACCCATTCATATACTTGTAATCTCTCATTTGATGTCCCTTGTGAATTTGATGTTTTGACGATTTGACCTGGTGATTTTCTTACTTTCAAAAAGGTGAAGGCATTCGTGCTGGAGCCGGGTGCACGGATAGATGAACCAGACAAGGAAGGAATCATAGATTCAGATGGAGAAGTTTTGGCAAGAGGAAGAAGATCATATAAATGTGATCAAAAGGCTCTGATGTCTTACGACAAGCTTCAGATAACAGTTGATCAAGGGTTAGCTACTCTCTTCTCTCCTGAATAATCCTGATTGGTTGAAATGTCTACACATGAGATAGAAGACACATTTTGTGGCGATCATTTGATTGATGGACATGTACAGTACAGTGCAGCAGCTAAAGAAGCAAAGAGATGATGTGTATCTTATATGTATTCCTATGATTTGATTCAACGGAGTTTTGTTTCTGATTTTTTTGTATCTTTCAAGTGTAAACTTTGTATGTTTATTTTACCCAAAAAAAAACTGTGTTTTTGTATTGCAGTGTAGAGACAAATGTTGAAAGTTGTGGACCCTAATTATAAATAAGACAAATATCAAGTCATAATATATAGCCTCTCGTTTTTGTGTAAACTTATATTTATGATAATATCCACATTTCGATGAAACAAATACGTAACAACAATACGTAACATACAAAACTTGTTAAAATCACAAAAAATAAGTTTTGTTTGTTACCAAAAAAAAAACATACAAAACTTTGTAAAAATCAACTGGAGTAAGACTAAAAGTAAGAGATTCTATTCTATCCACAGGAAACAAAAAAATTGATGCGACATAACATATTTGATCAATAATATATTGTATCATCATATGGTCCATGGAATTTCAATTTGGACCTACCAAACGCATGATGACTTGGCGTATAGATATATTACTACGGAGTATATGTTTAATAATCAAAAAAGGAATAGAAAAGCATAGAAAAAGTGGAAAAAAAAAGAAATAAGGGAAAGTCATAATAGCTTTCTTTTTCCGTAAAACCTCAGAGAGTATTTTTTAGCTGATCAGGTAACACAAACAATACCCACCACTTCACTATTTCTCTACTTTCTTCCTTCTTCGCTTTCACCATTTTCTTCTCTCCGTCATCAATCTACGCTTTTCTAGGGTTTTTTTTTTTTTTTTTTTGCTTCCCGTTTCCACCATGTCTTCTTCTTCTTCCTTATCCTCTAGATTTTGCTTCAACCGCGAATGCTCTGAGTTCAAACTCGAGCATTACCGGCCTGGTTGGCGTCTCCAAACCGGCGATTTCGCCGACCTCTGTCATCGTTGCGCGTAAGCTATCGCTTGCTTACATCCTTCTTCGTTTAGTTCATTTTGTGTTCCATTTGTTTTTGAGTGATCAGTTCGTTTTGTTTTCGATTTTGAAAATCAGGTGGAACGTTGTTTCCTTGTTTTTTTTTTCTTCTTCTGTAATTTGGGTTTATGTTAGTAATTTGTGGTAGCGTGTCTCTTCTCACTGGTGACAAATTTTGAAACTGTAATTTCTGAGTTATTATATTTGTTGTTTCGTGTTAATGGGTCTGCATGTATTGGCTACAATCCGAGAGATTAGGAGCCTAGCTTTTGTGCTATTTCTGTAATGTTGATCGGAATAAGTTTATGCAGTTGAATGAGAAATGGGATTGTGGTTTCAAATGGAAGTGTGGACTAATTTTTTCATGTTGCATCAATGCTGTGTACCCAAGTAGAGAGAGTCTAGCTGTTCAAAGTCCAGGGACAGGAAGGAGATAAAAGAAAAATAACTAGGGGACATGAAAATTAAACAAATAGGAACCTACATTGCATTCTATTCACCAGAATAGAGAATTTGTCCACTAATGGGTTTTCTCAATTTTTATATTCTTAGTTAGATATTATACGTGATGGGTTTCTTAGGCTTACTTTGTGCTATTTCTGATGCTTTATAAGTGACAGTTTTTGAAATAATATATTGGGTATGGTACTGTCTATGTAAACAAAAAGGCCTATAAAAGATCAGATATTGAAGAGAGTTTTTACTTATTTAACTAGAACGGGAGTTCTGCTCTCACAACGTCTTGGTTGTGAAAATGTCTTTTGTGTTTGATAGGTTTATATGGGAAAGCATTTCTTCAATTTGATGATACTGGGTGCACTGCAATGATTTTCGTCCCTGTATCTAGAGTGTTTTCTAGAGATAATGTGTGTATTTTATGAGCCTTTAGAATATTCTTTCCAAACTATGGATGCGTGGAAACTATAGAGTTATAGTTTCTAGAGACTTATGTTTCTGTAGTGAAATGTAAACTTCATCAGACTGTCTCACTTGCACAAGAAGAATAAGACTAGTTGAAGTTTGCGAGTAGTTCTGATTGCATTATGCATTCGACACAAGAGGTGGTTAATCTTTGTCTGATTTCAGTATACTGCAGACACAATTCTGTTACCAGCTCACTGCATCAGTTTCATTAACTCGTTATTGTATTATCAAATTTGCAAATATATAATGACTATATTCTGGTTACAGCTCTGCTTATGAACAAGGAAAGTTTTGTGACATTTTTCACCAACGGGCTTCCGGATGGAGGTGTTGTGAGTCATGTGGAAAGGTAAAGACATGGTTTTTAGTTTAATTCTTGATAGTCTGGTTGGCATCACAAAATCGTACCTGGGAATTCCTGATATGAAGTATCTCACTATGAAAATTCTGTGCAGCGAATTCATTGTGGTTGTATTGTTTCTGCATCTGCTTTTATGTTGCTGGATGTTGGAGGGATTGAGTGCTTGGCTTGCGCAAGAAAAAAAGTTGCTTTGGTGAGGGAGGATTTTACTTTTCATTTCCTATTCTAGAATTGTATCCATTGATATTTTTTCGGAGGCATGAGGTTACCTGAATCAATAATGGTTCACGATGTTCATCAAGACATCAACTCTTACGAATCATAGATCTTAAGCTAGCAAACAACTTCACCTGTACACAGATCCTTTTCAAGTTGAAGATCTATTTTGAGCTGTAGTCCATGTGCCATAACAGTCTTGTATATCATGTGTTTCAGGGACCCAATTATCTGCCACAACTGCCCATTTTCTTCCAATCTCCCATTGCTGAAAAATTCAAGGACTTGTCGATCAATTGGAATTCTTCAACCGGGTCAAATCAGATAAGCTGCCGGCCTCCTAGTTTCTTAGGTCAATCGGTTCTGCAGTTTGATTTGCATAATCGTGGAGATAGTTATGAATTTAGTCGACCTACTTCTAAAGATAGGGCTACTGCATGTTCCATCGAGAAAAAATGGGGAATGAATGACTTGATGGGGAAATTAATGAGTGAAAAGTCGAAAAGTCACACAAGCGACATACTTAATAATCAGAATGCAGGTTCATGCTAGATTTTCTCTTTACTTCTATGGCAATCTCATTACTTCTCAAAGCAAGCTGCTTAAGAGTAAATTTTCAATTGCAGGACCTAATTGTGAAGTACTTCCTTCTTCAAACGTCAATGTATATCGTCCACTGATCTCATTAAAGGAGGGGCCATGTGGAACACAGCTTGCCTATCCTGTGCCACTTACAACACCAATTGAGACAAATGTTCACTCGAGACTGAATGGAAGGAGCTTATGGCATACACCTAAATCTTCTTCACTGAATTTCTTACGCAATGACTTGAATGGTGGAGCAGACTCGCTATGTTCGTTGACTCATCTTGATACGCCAGGAAAATATCAGGTGGTTCCACGATATTGGCCTAAGGTTTCATATAAAAATCAAGTTCCGCAGAATCTCTCCAAAGAGTATCCTTCTTGGCTTATAGAGACTACATTGGCATATAACTTTGTATGCTCACCATAAGCATATAAGTCATGCTTTTATTTTCATACATCGGTGATCTATTTCTTTTGCTTTTTGTTTTCTTTCAAATTTTTTATGTGAATAAGTATAACTAGGTTGTAGAATAGGGATGTAAGCCTTTCAGATAAATAGTTTTATAGATTGGTCTTACCTTTTTGCTTGGATGCTTTATGCTTAGACGCTTAGGTTCATGACATGTAAAGCTAACTCAATTTGGCAACATTTAAGTTACCAAACCTTAATGATGTGCAAGATCTGAATCCGTTGTCATTCCTCTCTTTGAGAAGATGCTGAGTGCAAGTGATACTGGACGAGTTGGGCGATTGGTGCTGCCAAAGAAGTATGCAGAGGTAACTAAGTATTTGCATATGCAATTACGAATTTTTATTTTCTTTTAGAAACAGGTGATTCATTGGAAATAATTGGGGATGTGACTCCCTGCTGCTTATATCAAATTCTTCGCGGCTTTTTTTTTATCATTAATGTAGTAGTCATAACATCTGTAAACTTTACAGTTGTCTCTTATTAAATAAAAGATGCTAAATGAAGAAGGCGTCTGTTATGTAACAGGCTTTCTTGCCCCGACTTTCCAACACCGAAGGTGTGCCTCTTAAAGTACAGGACTCAATGGGTAAAGTGTGGACATTTCAGTTTCGCTTTTGGCCCAGCAACAATAGCAGAATATATGTTCTAGAGGGAGTAACTCCATGCATACAGAGCATGCAGCTGCAGGCTGGTGATACAGGTATGTCATTGGTGATATGGTAATTTGGTTTATCATGTAGCTAAAGCTCAAATATGTTTTATGTGGTTACATTCACTGTTCACACGCCATCTGTTTAATGCGGAAGCATATTTTTCTCACTCAATTAACATTATTAGTTGATATGTTTTGTCAAGTATGTTACACTTCTTCTGAGTTAGTGTCCTTTTTTTTGAACTTATGCTTGGAGAACTGAATTTATTCTTTTTTTAGTCATATTTAGTCGAGTAGATCCAGAAAGGAAGTTAATCATGGGATTCAGAAAGGCTTCGGTTGCTCAATCGGCTGATCAGGTTACTTTCTAAATTAACTAGATAGATTTTGTTTGTAAATATTTTTCACTAAAACTACAAATTAATTACTAGTCAACTTTGACCCCAAAAAAAAAAAAAATTACTAGTCAACTAGTAGTAGTTTTAAAAAGCTTTCTTGAATGTCAGCTTCACTTTATAACATAGCCAACACATAAATAGGAAATAATACGGCGAAAGGATATTGAGTGAAACCACAATCTATTCTTCTCTACAATTTGTTCCTTTTTGTTGGATAAAATGTGAAATTATTACCAAAAAGGGACCTGAGTTGTGGTTACAAAAGCTTTAATACCAAGGAGGTTCAATGGCCAACTAATTTGTTCAGTTTGTGTAAAGTAATTAAATAGGTAGGAGAAAATTCTAAAGTATGCAGGCTGACTCGGGTTTATGATCATCATTTCTTCTCTCTTGCAATTTGTGTTAGTTCTACATGGATTTATCTTAGAAGCAGACTTTGTGCTATTGCGAAAAGGGCTTATTTCTAGAATGCCGTAGAAAATAATTAGTTATTTTCAAATGTGTCTTTGCAGGAAACTGACTCAACGAATAACAATCGTGACAGTTGCACAAATGGAGATGTAAGTGTAAAATCCAAACTGACACCCTCTTTTGACAAGATAGCTTGTGTCAGGAAACATAATGTTTACATCTCTTCTGCATTTTCATTAGCAGGGTGAATCGATTGATAATCATTCACCATCTAGAGCTAAGAAGTCCGCGTACAAAGCTAAAGAAACTCCAGGAGTAGGATTTTCTTCCCGAAAGAAGAAAAGCAGCATGATGATTACAAGAAGCAAACGTCAAAAAGTTGAAAAGGGAGACCACACTGAGCTGAAGCTAACATGGGAAGAAGCTCAAGGATTTATCTTGCCTCCTCCCAGCCTCACTCCATCTATTATTAAGATAGAGGGTTTTGAGTTTGAGGAGTATAAGGTACACCCATATGATTTTTGCTTTTCCAATTTGCATTTGTGGTCTATGCCGCTTTAGAATCTTATTTCTGTATCGATTCGATAGTTTCTTCTGGAAGAATATATTATTTCATGATATTGAAAATAATCAAGATATTCACCAGATAAGGGTTTTTTTCTGTTGGATTTTGAATTCAAGTGGTGCGCTCATGCTAACATACACATTGGTTGCTCGAAGATTCAAAGCTCAAATTTGTTTTGGTGCTTTATGTGCTTAGTTGAATTAAGACTGCTCTGACCTACTCCGATAAATGAAGGTGTACTGACTGGAAATTACAGTTTTTACTATGGTATGACTAAGAATGTTAGTTAATAATTATCGTTTTAGATGTAACAATAAAGAAAGATGAAGCGACACACTTGATTTGAACACCTGAGTTGTTTATTGCCCCCCTTTGATTTGCCATCTTTTTTTGTTTCTTATTAGTCATTGTTTGTTTTGTGGTGTTTCTGGAATCGTGCATTACTTATTTTTGGAACATATCACACTCACTGAGTTAATTCCTTTCTGTATGTACTGTGTCAAAATAGGATGCTCCAATCATCGGGAAGCCAACTACAGGGTAAATTGCCTAATACTCAATAACCCATACATTCTTTGCTTTATTGGCTTTCCTCTTTGCTTCCAGTTGTTCGAAATGGTGAATCCTATCTTAGATGATGCTGGCAGAATTTAAAATAGGTGTACTGGTAACTAATCATGGTCCGAAAGCATGTTGCCAGATAATGAAAAGTATCTCCTAGCATTAGATACAGTAAATAGCCTTTTTGAAGCTCTTGAATATCTACTTATTATTGTTTTCTTTGAACTGTTACTTGTTTCAGATCAACATGCTCTGCAAATAAAAAACTCTTGGCTGAACAGTACGACGAGGAAGCCATGGAAGAAACTGAAGGACTCATGATGTCACCTAAAGAAACAACGAAGCACCCACGGCATAGAAGGGGCTGCACTTGCATCGTTTGTATACAATCCCCAAGTGGGACAAGTCCCAAACACGACAACTGCTGTTCTTGCACGGTCTGCGATGCAGTAAAACGCCGTAGGCGTTCTCTGTTGCTAGGGAGGAAGAATAAGCAGATAGAGAAAGAAAACAAAGCACAGAAGGAGCTGGAGTCACTGAACTCTGACGAGGAACTTCACCAATCTGCTAACAACAGTGGAACCACCAGTAAGAGCCATGAGCATGATGCTTCGCCTCAGAAAGGCCAAATAGACTTGAATTTTCAACCAGAGAAAGAGGAAGAATCCCTGCATAAAACTACCAAGGACAAGTCCCTACATCATGATGACACTAGCTTCAAGCCATCAAGCTCATCAAGTGCACATAGCCAAATTGAAAAGCAAGATTGAAGGAAAACTCAAGACAAACACAGAAGTTGCAGACACCACCAAAAGCCCCATGTAGATTTTGCAGACTAGTGTTGCTGCAAGGTGAATAGATTATGATGGCAGAAACCCAGAAAGCTTCTAATAATTACCTCTTTAACCCCACAGGCATTGCGCATTTTGTAGATAAAGGGCGGTTTAAATACTTGCTGATGAAAGCTCTTCACTTTTTTGAACTCTAGCTAATGCAATGGGTAATTTAATTTTCCTTTGAGGTTTCATATAATTGGCATTTTGATTTTGCCTACAGAAACCGATCATGGATTCTTCCATTTATATAGAAAATCACAATTTAGCTTGGGAATATCATTACGCTACGAACATTCATCTCTGGATTGAGCAGATTGTCTTAAAGCCATTCATACATTTCAAAAAAAAAAATAGGCATAATCTTTTACACAACAAAAGAAAGACTTGTTTTTGTCTACAACATTCATCTCCGAAATGTAGCAAAGTGTCTTGAACCAAAATCATTATCCTAAAGCCATCATTACAACTACATAAAGCCAAGTACTCTAAGCAAAAGAAACCGAAACACACATCACATCGGTTAGTTACCAGCATTAGGCAAAGCAGCCATGAAGGAATTGTAGGAAGACTCAAGGTCAAAGTGAAGTTGCCGAGCCTGCTGCTCAGTGAGCTCATCTGAAGCTCCCATCTTAGACAACCTCAAAAGCCACTCTTTCATCTTCATCTTCCCTTCAAAATCCGGTGGCAAAATGCTCAGTTTGTTAAGAGAAGCAGAGAGATCAGACAGCAACGGATACACCTGGTCAACAGCGACCATGTTGAGCTTCAGTGAATCCATGGAAGTGATAAAGTTCTGAACACACTCAGCAACAACAGAAGCAGAGCTTGAAGTAGAAGCCATTGCTGCAGCTCGATGCTCAACAGTAGCCGGAACACCAGAAGTCACAAGCCGATAAACAGCAGCCGAGCAATCCATCTTGTATGTCTCTGCGAACCTCTCAATGCTTGGGACCATGTCTCTGAGCGTTGCGGAGAGTGTCTTGAAGTGGACAATGAGTTTCTGACACTCGGTCTCGTACTCGGATGGAGAGATGAGATCACGGATATAAGCCTTCTCGAGCTTCTCAGTAGCTTTGATGATAGCGTATAGCTCAGCGAAATTCTCATACATTTCTCTCTCGCGCTTATCGTTCCATAACTTGACCTCCATCTTTTTAGAAACTTTAAGAGCTGAACTTGATGAGCTTTTCAGTGTTAGGGAACTATGGAGAAGAGAATGGGACACGCGCAAAGACGGTAAAAGCAAAAAAGCTACCTCACTGTATCAAAATCAATAACTTCAAGTTAATAAAGAGAAATGCAACATGTTTAATCCAGATTACAGAAGTTGATTACTCCATCAAGCTTAATAAATCGAAAGATAGGGAAAGCGGTGAAGCTTAATATAGGAGTCATTCAGCCAAATAAGCAAACAAAAGAAGTAGAAGAAGACATTGAAGAAAACCAGAGAGATCACTGATCATAACCAAAGAAGCGAGAAAAGGGGCAAAATGAGAAGAGAAAACCCAAATCAAACTTACCCTAAATCATTATAATCTATGACACTCAAAATCTCAAATTTTTTAGTTCAGTACTGAAATAAAAACCACAATATATGGAGAGAGAAATATATTTATAAATATATAGAGAGAAAGAGAGAGAGATGAAGATATTTACAGGAAGCAAGTTGGGGGATTTGATTGTGGAACAACTCTCTACGGATTAGAGGAGAGGATATGGAGATTGCGTGTAAGCAGAGGGATCTTTATGATTTTGATGACGAAAGCTTCACGCGGGGGCAACGAACTCTGTCTGGATCAACGAATCAATCAGCATCGATTTTCCCCAAAAATTCTTAAAAGAAAAAAATTTAAAAATAAAAGATTTTCACTGATTTCGAAAAACGCGTGCTTGAAATTCGATTAAACCCTAAATTCAAAATTAATCTAGCTGAAAGCTTAGCAAATGAATAATTTTTAGAAACGCAAATGAATTAGGAAGCTGACCTGAGAGGCGTTGACAAAAAAAAGAGGGTATGGGTGGAAGAGAGAAAGGAGTTCTCAGAGAGAATCAGAATCGCTCGAGCAGAGAGCCACCATTAAATGCTTATCTCTGTTCTCAGATTTCGAGAAGTATGGATTGGTCCCACCAAGAGGAAGAGGAAGAAGAAGAAGAGTCGGCTGCGTGTTGAAGTTGTTATGATCAGAAACGCTGTATTGTCCCTTCGCACGCCTTCCCGTATTTTACGTGCGTCTTTTTTTTTTTACCCCTTCTTCTCTCTTTTTTATTTCTTTTCTACATACCTTTTACTAAATGACAAAAATAAATATACTGTATAATCAAATCTGTTGAATTGGTGAAACGAGTACATGATTTGTCAAAGGAAAAAAAAAACAAAAAACAAAGAAGAAGAGTGTTTTAATTCTAAAATAATGGACCTAATGTCCATGGCATCATGTTTTAGTTTCCACTCAAGATCATTTGTTAATGAATAATAAGAAAGAGCAAAGAGTTAACAAATAGAGAAAAAAAAAGAATTATCATGTCGTGATTGCTAGAGGGAGATTAATGATTTAATTACGTGTGTGGTTTGGAGGCAAAACTAGACTAATTAGTTTATGTATGATTCTCCTTCCATTTGCTTTCGCGGTTTCTGTTTCACACTTCACACAAAACTCAAAATCTTTTACATTTCTTATTGCTTTCATTATGCTCTTCGGTTTTGTCAGTAGTGTCAAACTCCTGAAGCAAGAGTTCATGATGAAAATTATATCTTAAGATGTTTTCTTCATAACCAAATCTTTTAGGCAACCAGCTAAGTTGTGAGTCTTGTGACCAAGAAAGTAAATTGAATGTATTTGTGTGAGTTTACCAAACAAAATGGAGACAAAAAAAATGTATTGGTTCAACATAATTGTCCATTCCAAATAATCTAAATCTTTAACATTATTGTATTTTTCTCAATCATGACAAGCAATCTCCAAACTCTAGATTTGCTATATGTAAATGGCTGATGAAACCAGTCGATAATTTCCACTCAAACCGGGCGGCCATGATCATTCGGTCTTCTTATCGAGTTTCTTCTTGGTCTCGCCGCTATAAGGACCAACATCATAAGCATGCTTCTGCACAGCGGCAAAGATAACCATCTCAACACATACCAACACATTCTGAATAGCTTCCTGGATTTGTTCTACCTCCAACCAGAAATGGTGAGATTTGATGACTCCCATTGCCACCAGAATGTCTAGTGCTATTCCCTGCAGTTTTCAGAATCAAGAACAATCTAATGAATATCCGTCTCAGTGACTTTAAAAGATGAGCTTCTTGCTTTGAAGGGTTTACAACATTACCTGCCAAAAGCAAAAGAAGACAATTCCTTTGATGCAGAGGAACTTTGCCAGTGGATTATGAGGTGCAAGCTCTTTGGCAAACACGTGGTAGAAAATCACAAGCGAGTATAACGCCAGAGACACCGAGAGATTGAGAACGATCGTGAATGTCCAGCTCAACCAAGAAGGGTAAAACCCGATGATTTGTAAAGCTATCATCAAGATCGAGCACACGGGTCGGATGACAACAAATTGCCATGTCCAGTATTTCAAAAGTCTTAAAGTGCGATGATCCAGACGGACTACATGAGGCTGTCAAAACAATAGACACAAAGCTTTAAGAATACAGAGGCAGATAGATACAGAAGAAACCATGCGATGATAGATAGATAGAGACAGACCTGGAAAAGAGTCATTGGGAAAGAATGGTGAATCTCTCTTCCTTTGATTCCATCGGGTACGATGTTATTGCTGATAGATATGTTTAAGTAACTATACATCAATGCCAAGAACTTGGCAATGACCTGCAAATAAATGGAAAAACTTGGCAAGTGTCTCTACATTATGTTGAACATAACCAAAAAAAAAAGAGAACAGAATACTCACGAGAGCTTCGTAGCATTCCTTGATGGATTCTAGAAACAGGAAGAAGGTCTCACTTCCTTTGACATCTAATAAACCAACAAAGGAAACAACGGCATAGATAGGAGCCATAAGAACAATGATGAGTATAGCTTTTTGTTCCTTAGGGTTCTTCCAGTGAAAGAGATGCTGCGATACAAGCTGTATCGTCAAATGAAGTGTGATCAAGACAGAGAATGCAGAGCAATAAAAAGTGATCTGTGGAGGCTTCAGCTTCGTTAGGTCCATCATTGTTTTTGCTCACTATACCTGCATCGGAATTTTCAATACACTCCTTAGCTGTTTAGCATCAAGAAACGTCTAAATCTTGACAAACGTTTGAGCATCATATTCAGCCACACATCAAAATTAATACTCCCAATTGTTATCTTTGCTGCAATTTCTTTCCTATTCTCTAATCTAACACCAATTTGTTTGCACAAATAAAAAAGGCAAAACATTTAATGAGATCTAGATTGCTAAATACGAACTAGAACTCGAGGAGCAACGAAATATCGCCGAATCAAAACAGTATATAGCCGCATAAAATAAAAAAACTCAAACTTTTGATTGATTGGAAAGAAACAAAAATTGTCGATAAATCAGTAATCGATGAACTCCCTAAACCCAATCAGACCCATCAATTTGAAAAGACGATGCTCGATTTATCTAAATTCCAATAATTCCGATTCAAAGCTAAATCAATCTTATCAAAGCTAAAGATTAGAGCTAACCAGAATGAGAGAGACAGAGAGAGAGAGAGAGGGAGAAGACCTTACCAGAGTGAAAAAACTACGGAAGAAACGAAGATGAGACACAGTGATAGTGTGATTAGAATGAGAATCAGATCTCTCTTGGTAATAAGATCATGAAGAAGAATTGAGGAGGGAGCAGAAAAGAAGACAAGACCGCCATTAATGGAGTCGCAGTGGGACCTTTAAAAATAATTTAAGAACACGTGAGAAGCCACGATTTTGCATAAACAAGTCCGGTATGGCTCGAAATCCACCTGTTACTCTGTGAGTCGTTCACACGGCCTGGATTTGTTGGATAAAAGAAAAGTCTTCCAAAATCTTAAAATGAAAAGAAGTCGGCATGATTTTTTTTTAACCTCACACGTTTGGTAGGTTAAGGCGTTTGGATTTCTATTTGTGTAAAATTCTATACCACTTACTTTTACCGCGCTATTTGAACCGTTTAATTTATACCGTAATTAGTTGCGGTTAAATCCCAATCGCGGCGGTTGAGTGGTCATTGGTCTCAACAAACACTTTTCCTTTTAGCTCTATTGTTCAGTCTTTTAATAAAAGAGGGAAAATAACCAGTCTTTTAATAATGTCGAAAAAGAAAAAAAACAAGTCTTTAAATAACAAGTTTTGCTACGGAATCGAGAGAAAGAGAGAGAGAGGATGAAGGCGATCGTGATCTCGGAGCCAGGAGCGCCGGAGGTTCTGCAACTCCGAGAAGTCGAAGACCCACAAGTGAAGGAAGATGAGGTTCTCATTAGAGTTCACGCCACTGCTTTGAATCGAGCCGATACTCTCCAGAGACTTGGCTCTTACCCTCCACCACCTGGCTCTAGCCCTTACCCTGGTCTCGAGTGTTCTGGAACCATCGAATCCGTTGGCAACAGCGTCTCACGTTGGAAGGTCGGAGACCAGGTTAGATCACTTCCCTTTTTCCTTCTGTGATTTTCGGAGACTAGGTACTCAATTTAGGGGTTTTTTGGGTTTGGTGTCTCTGTGTTAAGTTTCTATGGAATCTATGAGCTCGACTTGTGTGAATATGCTGTTCTGTGCTCACACTCATCTTCTTAGTGATTTAGGATTTAGTGGCAGAACATATGAAATAGAATCGGAAAGGTTTCTGTTTGCAATTCATTTTCATCTGTTTTGCCTTTAGCCTTCAGTTTCACTTTAGGTTTTAGGCCACTAAATTACTTTTGAAGTATAAAGGTTCTGTCTTGAAATACACTTTTGACTCTCTTTCTCTTTCTTTGTCCCAGGTATGTGCTCTTCTTTCAGGAGGAGGCTATGCTGAGAAAGTTGCTGTACCTGCTGGACAACTCCTCCCTATCCCTGCTGGTATCTCTCTAAAAGATGCAGCGGCTTTCCCTGAAGTGGCGTGCACTGTTTGGTCAACTGTCTTCATGATGGGCCGTCTCTCCCCTGGTGAATCTTTCTTGGTATTTCACTTCTCCTCTTCTTACGTATAAGACCGTTTCCACGCTTTGTTAGGAGCCAATACTAGAGACTTTGCCTATTACTCAGCTTTTCCTTTGTCTTGTCTCCTTGCTGAGATTTTAGGTTCATGGAGGTTCAAGTGGGATTGGGACATTTGCAATTCAGATGGCTAAACATCAAGGAGTGCGAGTATTTGTCACAGCAGGTTTGGTCTCAGCTTCACATTTTTTCGATAACCTCCTTGTTTTCTTTTGTTGATAATGTTCCAAATTTTCTTTTAACTAACAGGAAATGAGGAAAAGCTAGCTGCTTGCAAGGAACTCGGGGCTGATGTTTGTATAAATTACAAAACCGAGGACTTTGTTGCAAAGGTTAAAGCGGAAACCGATGGGAAAGGTGTGGATGTTATCTTGGACTGCATCGGAGCGCCGTATTTGCAGAAAAACCTGGACAGCTTAAACTTCGATGGAAGGTTGTGTATTATCGGTTTAATAGGTGGAGCCAATGCAGAAATAAAACTAAGTAGTCTGCTTCCAAAGCGTCTTACTGTCTTAGGTACCTAACACACAGTCAATCCAATCGTATCTCATTATCAAAATCGAGACCTTTTGAAAACCTTGATCTGTTTTGTTCCTACAGGAGCTACGTTAAGACCAAGAAGCAAGGAAAACAAAGCGGTTGTTGTAGCGGAAGTCGAGAAGACTGTTTGGCCAGCGATAGAAGCAGGGAAAGTAAAACCGGTGATTTACAAGTATCTACCATTGTCCCAAGCAGCAGAAGCTCATAGCCTTATGGAGAGTAGTAAACATATTGGCAAGATTCTGCTTGTGACTTGATTCTCTGCAAAGGGAGAAATGTTCAGAGACGAAAATAAATCGTTGTGGATAATAATAAAATCTGGTGGATTGTGTTCATAGATGTACAAGAGTTTGTTCATTGGCCTTATGTATTTCTGTTTTTGTCAAAGAGACTCTTTAACTATGGAACATATAACCAAATAAGCTGTCTACAAGTATACTATACTTGTATACCAAATATCTACATCTCTATATTTCTACCAAATATCTACTTCTCTATATTTTGCCTAAATTTAGTGTTGTATTATTGAATACTCAAGAACGACAATTTTCCAGAAGAAAGATCTGAAATAAGGTAAATCTGCTAACCTAATATGATCACATCAAATTCGACAAAGGACTCACGTCACTCACCTATGTCAAATATGTCATTTTATTTGGTGTAAGTGGTTTTGAAAAATAATTTATGGACTAATTAATATTTAAGGAGCCGAAGAGATAAATTACTTTGGAGTGAGGCAAAGACCAAGATCAAGGCTTTGTGAAGGTATCTCTTTGACAATTTGACTTCCCCAGTTTTTAAACCCGAAATAGAAAATCCATTTCTAATTCTGCAAAACCGAGCACACACACAATCTTTGATTCGATTCGACTAGTGTGGTGTTAAAAAGTTGGAAACTTTTGTAACTTTTACAGAATGGGTTTGTCGCTGCGATTGTGGTTTGCGAGAGTACTCGTGCTTTCACAGCTCATCCATGGAGCTTTGTGTTGGGGAAAAGAAGGTCACTACGCCGTCTGCAAAATAGCCGAGGTTAAATTTGAAACTATTTTGTTTAACTAGAGCTAGAATCCTAAAGTCACTGGAATCACTGTGATGGATAAAAATGAGAACTTTACTACCGAATTTAAGAACAGTTCAGCTCAAAGAGATTACTGATATGGTGGAGACTGGCTAGAATGAATATTTCTGCAGACAAGGTTGTATCTTTGTGATCTTTCTGATAATGCCAATTTTGATCCTCAGAGCTACTTTGAGGAAGAGACTATAGCTGCAGTGAAGAAACTTCTACCTGAATCCGCTGAAGGAGAATTAGCATCTGTTTGCTCATGGCCTGATGAAATTAAACACCATTGGCAATGGCGATGGACTAGCCCTTTACACTATGTTGACACACCTGATTACAGATGCAACTACGAGTATTGTCGTCAGTTTATTCTTCCCCTTTCAAATTCTTACCTTTTCTCTCTCTCCATATATACATATATCCCAATTCCAATCTATATGTTCGGTCTTTGTGAAGGGGATTGCCACGACACTCATAAGCATCAAGACCGGTGTGTGACAGGAGCCATTTTCAATTACACTATGCAACTTATGTCGGCTTCTGCAAATTCGCAGAGTATAGCCCACTGTGAGTGAGATAGTTGTGAATCCGATACTAAGCTTCAGTTTGAGTTCTGTAAAGTATAGAGCAGTGACTAGTCTTTGTCTGCAGACAACTTGACAGAGGCTCTCATGTTCTTATCACATTATATCGGAGATGTTCATCAGGTAAATTCCTTTGCCATTCAAATGAATCATATCAGAATAATTTCTGTCTTAGTTATATGTAATTTACACAGCCCTTGCATGTTGGTTTCCTGGGAGATGAAGGTGGAAACACGATAACAGTCCGCTGGTACCGTCGCAAAACAAATTTGCACCATGTAAGTGTTTGTTATCGATCATATTGATGGTTAAAAAAACTATCTAAACTCTTGGAAGTTACCAGATGGAGAAAATGTGTTCTTACTACGTTTTAATGATGCAAAATCTAAAAGGAAATCTTTTTAATCATGAAGGTCTGGGATAACATGATAATTGAGTCGGCTCTTAAAACATACTACAATAAAAGTCTTCCACTCATGATTCAAGCAATTCAAACCAATCTTACGGTATGATCTTTCTTTCTTTATGGAGCTCCAGTGCCAGTACGTTATAATACTCAATCAACTGACATTGAGTATTTGCTTTAACTGCTGTCTGTTTATAGCACGGTTGGTCTAATGATGTTCCGACGTGGGAGTCATGTCAACTTAACCAAACGGCGTGTCCAAATCCGTAAGCATCATTTTATGTCAAGAGTCAAGATACGCATATAATTAGTCCTTTGCTGCGATGTTAAAAGCAGAAAAATGGAGAAAGTTGCATTAAGAGATGTAGTTTGATTGAATAGAAGAGTTGTAGCTGTCATACTGTGTTTCCTTACTACATCATTGGTACGGTTTCTGGGATGTATTCAGGTATGCATCTGAAAGCATAAATCTGGCCTGCAAGTATGCTTACAGGAATGCTACCCCAGGGACTACGTTAGGAGGTATACTCTCTTAGCTTGAACTCTGAAACAAGATCTTAGCTTTCTTTACCGACACAGTTCTTCATCTCAGTCATGCACTTTGAATTTAATGCTGTGCTCCTCTGATTTCTCTTACGTTGTTCTGCAGATGATTATTTCCTCTCTCGATTACCCGTTGTAGAGAAGAGACTTGCACAAGGTGGTATTCGCTTGGCGGCCACTCTTAACCGTATCTTTTCTGCAAAACCAAAGCTTGCTGGAGCATGAAACTAAGAAAAATATCCCCGAGAGCCATATGCAGTCACTCTATTAGCTCCTTAGCTTATGTAATGCTAATTAACTTTATGCGATGCTATTGCTCCTTGATTTATATAATCCATCCTTAAGTGCCTCTTTTCCTAATACACTGAAGAAAAAGTTTCTACTCCCATTAAAAATCCTGTTTAGAGATTCACGAGGATGCTTTTGTTGGATCACTTCCTTGATAATTTGAATGTAAAAACAAAAACGGTTTGTGATTTTCTTTTTCTCTTCAAAATTATCAGACTTTTTGTTCAACTAAAGTTTCCCTTCAGTGAAAATTACAGGTACTGGAATTCAACGAGAGAGCAATCTAACTAGCGAAGGGAAGATTCTCTTCTTTTTATATTCTGTTTTGGCTACTACTAGTTCTAAACCAGAGTCTAAGAAAATATTATCTGAACTAATATTCTTTTTAATCTGTAAATCATTGAAATCATCCTCATGTGTTGTGTATTGAAGTCGAGGGTCACTCAGTTTTCGAGGAATTTATTGTATTCTTTATCACCTAGTACAATACTAATATTTTTTGTCCTTTTGTTTTTGTAGATAAGATTTCAACAGAAATACTGTCCATTTTGTTCATTTCACTTATTATTTTTTGTAAGGTAAAAATCCTCTATTTTTCTTTTGGACGTATGAAACATGTTTGTTAGTTATGAAATGTGATTGGGAAGGAAAGAAAAAAGGGCCATGTTGATTTGCGTGTCAATTTGATATCTCTTGTCAGGTCTATTTTGTAAACAGTTTAAATATAGGTCACTTAGAGTAGAGAAAGTCAAACAAAAGAAGCTGAGGCAGAAGAACCAATTTCAAGGTTTTCGAGGTAAGAAAAAAGTACTTCTGAATCCGCCTTTCACTGTTCAATCTTTCGGTTACAACCCATTTTTGCTTTCCTCTCCCTTTCTAATTTTGGAAATATAAATTTCAGAATGGGTTTGTCGCTGAGAATGTGGGTTGTGAGTATACTTATGCTTGCACAGCTTGTTCATGGAGCTCTTTCTTGGGGAGACGATGGTCATTACGCTGTTTGCAAAATAGCTCAGGTGCATATATTTGTTTATAAGCTTTAGCTCTAATACAAAATGTTCTCTGTGAGTAGTGTGACTATAGATCTGAGAGCTTTCATACTTAAAAGAGTGTAGTAAGATCGAATCTCTGTATTAGATTGTGGAAATAGGATAGTTAACATTTGTGTGATCTCTCAGATAATGCCATTTTTTCAATCCTTAGGGCTATCTTGAGGAAGAAACTGTAGTTGCTGTGAAGAAACTTCTGCCTGAATCTGCAAATGGTGAATTAGCAGCTGTTTGCTCATGGCCTGATGAAATCAAAAAGCTCCCGCAATGGCGATGGACTGGCGCTTTGCATTTTGCTGATACACCTGATTACAAATGCAACTACGAGTATTCTAGTGGGCTTTTTGTTTTATCATTTCATTAAAATTCATACATGTTTTCTGTTTTGCCAGTTGGAAATAATTTATATGTTATTGTCTTGCTGTGTAGGGGACTGCCCTAAAGACTGGTGTGTGACAGGAGCAATCTTCAATTACACAAACCAACTTTTGTCTGCTTCTGAAAACTCACATAGTATAGTCCATTGTGAGCTAGCTTTTCATAATCTGATATTTTGTTCTACGTTTTAGATTTTTAGTGGAATCTGATAGTTTACTAATTTGTGAGTGTTACATAGAGCATAGTGTGACTAGTCCTTTTGTTTGTTTGCAGATAACTTGACAGAGGCTCTCATGTTCTTATCACATTATATGGGAGATATCCATCAGGTTATAATCCCTTTTGGAAATTCGGAGATTTCTGCAATGGAGGCAACTCTATTTACATTGCAGCTGCGAGTAGTGTTTAGTCACAACACAGAGTATGGCTAATTACTAATTTGGATTTTGGAATTTTTTGTTTTTAGCCCTTGCATGAAGGTTTTCTTGGAGATCTAGGTGGTAACAGAGTAAAAGTCAACTGGTACAATCAAGAAACTAATTTGCACCGCGTAAGTGTTTTGTTGCCGATCATGTTGATGCTAAAACATGATCCTTAATCTTGTGTTAAAAGAGTCGCTTTAATTGTGAAGGTTTGGGATGACATGATAATTGACTCTGCTCTAGCAAAATACTACAATTCAAGCCTTCTACTCATGATTCAGTCCCTTCAAGCCAAACTCAAGGTACCATCTTCTTTTCTTTATCCAGTTTAAGCTTCAGGGCGTTCTAAGCATATCCAAGATAAACTTACCTCACAGTGGTTGTTTGTTTTTAACTGCTGTGTTAAAATAGTACGGCTGGTCAAATGATGTTCGGTCGTGGGGGTCATGTCAACTTAACCAAATCGCCTGTCCAAATCCGTAAGCATATATATAATGCGCATATAATTTGCGGTGAAAGATCTGTAAAACGTGCTAGATAGCAAAGAATATGGTTTTAGATGTCATATTTTTTTTGTCCATTGTTGATTCTGTATGCTATTGATTTTGTCAGATATGCATCTGAAAGCATTGATCTTGCCTGCAAATATGCTTACAAGGACGCTGCCGCAGGAACTACTTTAGGAGGTATACTCTCTGAGCACTCTTAAAAGATTCAGTATTCACTATCATGAAACAATGCCTTGATGTTCTGATTTCTCTCACATTTCTTTCTGCAGATGATTATTTCCACTCTCGGTTACCTATTGTAGAGAAGAGAATTGCACAAGGCGGGATTCGCTTGGCAGCCACTCTTAACCGAATCTTTTCTGGTAAACCAAAGCTCGCTAGAGCATGAAGCTAAGACGAAGAGGGCCTTATTGTTTTTTGATAAGCAGGCACTCCTCCTAGCTTCTAGACTCATGTTATGTTATGCGTTGCTTTTGTTCTGAGTTTTCACTATAATGTAATGGTAGTGAAGGTTTTATACCTAAACTCTCATGTAATGTGTAGTTAAGGTTATGTTATACGTTGCTATCACTGAGGTTTAACTATAATATAATAACATAAGTAGTAACCGAAAACTCTCAACATCCAAGAGCAGCTCCATAGTCACATTAATTAAATAATGTTATGTTCCAATTGAAAACCAAACTGGAAATTAAACATAATCAAACCGAAAATGCATCAAATTTGGTTTTAGAAAACGATTAAAGTTATAACGAAAATACTCACATGCATGGAAATGCTATTAACATGCATATGCATCATCAAGTAAATGTAGCAGAAAGCATATTTCAATGAAACTGCAAAGCTTGATCACAACGATGATGATGATGATGATATATAGATGGAGATTTGGAGTCTGACATCGAAGAGAAGAGAAGGAAACAGAGCCAAGGTCAACTTGCCGAACACCAAAATTAATCATTTTAGATTCATTGGTAAAGAAATCGGCAAGTCATCCTTGGCTCAACCTCATTCTCTATTCTTCCATGCAAGCCTCTCTGACGTAGCCAGAGACACTCATCATCATCATCATAATCATCATTTTTTCTACCTTTAGTCTTAGTTATCTTATGATCTTGTGATGTTAAAACCCTTGCTCGTGATGGAGGTATTTATAGGAACATGTAGAGGGAAATGTGTGGATTAATTTTAATTGACATTTAGATTTTATATTTCATGCATGGTTTTTAGAATTTTAGTGCATGCAAGCAAGAAAACGAATGGAATTTTGACCACAGCCGTATATTGAAGAATATAAACTACTTTAAAAGATTGGCTGACCTTATATTATCAAATTCGAATTCCATTTTTTTGTGAATAATTAATATTCGTACTATCACTACTCCAAAGGCATCAATTGTAAATAGTCTGCGACATTAAAATCCAGGTGTTGTATGTTTGTGTATATAATAAATTTTGTGGTTGATCAATAAGAAGCGGTACTACAATATTAGAAAGATTCTTTAGAATCTTTATACTCTGTTTTCAAAAGAATTGCCAAAATTTCAAATTTTTTAGGATAAAATGGAATATAAATAGATATAAGAAAAAAAAATTCGACATTCTCGTTTGAGTTGAGAATATATTATTTGGAGGCTCATCACAATGTGAAAGGAGCACTAACAAATACATCATACATGTGATCCAAAACTATTGACAATTGTGTTATATAGATCCCGACCCATAAACCCTCATTTTATGTCATGCGATTCCATAAATTCATTATCAAATAAATCATATATTTGACCAAAAACCTTCAAGTATTCAGCGTTTTTTATGGATACCCATAAAAAACCTTCAAGTATTACTGTATTAGAACTCCTAATTGGAAGAATTGCATGTGACATTGGGAGGGTAAAATATTAAATATTATTGCTGGAGTGTGGCCGACAAAATAAAAAATGTTTGTGTGTGAAATCACTCAAGATCGTTTAATGCTAATTACTAAAGAAAAATCAATGCGAAGACTAATTAAAGCGAAAATGTTCGACTTTTATTCTATTTATTGATGGATCACATCATAAGATTATGAAATGTCATATCCAATTTGACAAATAGGTACCACAACTCGGTCAGCTCAAAATACGATAAGATTTGTCGGAACATTGATAAAGATAAGAAGATTCTCAACTCGGTCGGACCGAAATTACTGTGAATCAAACCAGTTTTGTGACTAAAAACCGGACCAATATCTGTTTGTTCGGTTCCAAACTAAACAACCCGAAGTTCCAAAGTTCCAAACCGAACCGATTCCAAGTTTTCAAATGCCCAGTAAGTTAACGGAACAACGATTTCCGATAAACCACATTGATTAATTCTAACTTTCTGTGAATTTAGGGTTTAGAATTTTATCATTTTGGCTCCATTTCTTGCTCGAACTATATTCAAATTTGCAATTTAGAGTAGATTTTTGTAGGAATAATAGAGAGAACCCACCCAATATCGGTTACGCGAACAATAATTGGAGATCTGCAATTTTGTTCTGTAGAAATGGCGCAAATGGTATGTGGATCTTGCAGGCGATTGATTTTGTCATCGAAGAGAATCCAAACAAGTGGTATCAGACTGCTTGGAAGCTTCTTCCATGGCTTTATCTGTTACGCTTGCAGTGAAGCTTGTGCTGGTTTCAGTCACCTGAAGCTGTAAAGGAAGGATCTTGGGAATGTTATCTCAATTCTCATGCTTGGCTTTTGCTAGATTAGCATGTGAATGACACAACTGTCAGTTTATAAATTTTGATTAAATAATTCAAACGTGGGAATTAAAAAAGAAAACATAAATAGAAGAATTAGTTTTTACTCAATCCCGCCAATGGAAAGGAGAAAGTAAAGCAATCGGATCAAAGAAGCAAAGCAAAGAGCAAAGATTAAGGCTTTTCGAGGTAATTCGTTGACTTTTTGTGTTCTCTTTGTTCTTCGATTAACCCATTTCTGCTTCCGGGGATTGAAACCGCTTCTATGTTTCTGATTTTGAAAATTGAGCACATACAATGTTTATTTGGAAAAGCTAGACTATAGATTGATCTGACGTTATGTGATTGTTAAGAAACTGAAAGCTTTTTTTTGTTCAGAATGAGATTGTCGTTGAGATTGTGGGTTGCGAGTGTACTCGTGCTTACACAGCTTGTCCATGGAGCTCTATGTTGGGGGAAGGATGGTCATTACACTGTCTGCAAAATAGCCGAGGTAAATTTTCTTAATTTAGTTTCTGTAGTCATTTCTGAATTCTGATTATTATTGTTTAATCAAAATTTTGGAGCTTATTGTTAGGATGGAGAAAAATGTGTTTTTTTTTTCTGAGTTAAATCGAATTTGTTGGGATTGGATCTTTCTTTAGGCTGACAGATATGGTGATTTTGGTTTTCCAATTTGCTGCAAATCCTCAGGGATATTTTGAGGAAGAAACTGTAGCTGCAGTGAAGAAACTTCTGCCTGAATCTGCTGAAGGAAATCTAGCAGAGTTTTGCTCATGGCCTGATGAAATCAAAAAGCTTTCGCAATGGCAATGGACTAGCGCTTTGCACTATGTCAACACTCCTGAATACAGATGCAACTACAACTATTGTCGTGAGTTTATCTTTCCCTCCTGTTTTCTGTTTCCATTGCTTAACATATCCGTATGCTAAGTGCAAATGTATGTCCTCTGTCTTCCATGAAGGGGACTGCCACGACACTCAAAAGCATAAAGACTGGTGTGTGACCGGCGCAATCTTCAATTACACACAGCAACTTATGTCGGCTTCGGAAAACTCGCATACTTTAGTCCAGTGTGAGTTTGAATTTAGTGAATTTGACACTTCTTTTATGCTTTAGTTTACTAATTTGTGTACAGGTTACATGGAGCATAGTGTGATTGGTAGTCTTTTGTTTTCTATTTCAGATAACTTGACAGAGGCTCTCATGTTCTTATCACATTATATGGGAGATGTTCATCAGGTTAACCCCTTTTGCCAATTCAGACGAAACCATATTAGAGTATGGGTAATACTTATGTGAATCTTGATTTTCTCAGCCCCTGCATACTGGTTTTCTTGGAGATCTAGGTGGTAACACGATAATAATCCGCTGGTACAATCTCAAAACAAACTTGCACCATGTAAGTGTTTTGTCTTCGATCGCATTGCTGTTAAAATGAATCTTTCCTGACTCCAGAACTGAAATAAATATTAACTTGAAGGTCTGGGATAACATGATAATTGAATCTGCTCTCAAAACATACTACAATTCAAGTCTTCCACTCATGATTCAAGCTCTTCAAGCCAAACTCACGGTACCATCTTACCTTCTTTATCCTGCTTCAGCACATTAAAATCATACATACTTAAAGATAAATTCAGTGATAGTTTGTTTTTAACTGCTGTCTTCATATAGAACGGCTGGTCAAATGATGTTCCCACGTGGGAGTCATGTCAACTTAACCAAACAGCCTGTCCAAATCAGTAAGCAACTATCTTTACAAGAAATCTTGTCCTTTTATAGCGATGTGAAATGCAAAGAAGAGAGAAAATTCTGGTTTTAGTTATGCGACCATTGTTGAATACAGTACGGTTCTTTGATGTGTTAAGGTATGCTTCGGAAAGCATAGGTCTTGCCTGCAAGTATGCTTATAGGAATGCCACACCAGGAACTACTTTAGGAGGTACAGTGAAGCAAGATCTTGTTAGCTTTCTAATATGCAACAATGCCTTGATCTTCTTCTTATTTGTCTCTCGTTTCTTTCTGCAGATGACTACTTCCTCTCTCGGTTACCCGTTGTAGAGAAGAGACTTGCGCAAGGAGGGATTCGCTTGGCAGCAATTCTTAACCGTATCTTTTCTGCAAAAACTAAAGCTCTCTAGAGCATGGAACTTGTCTTTTGATTTATACAGTGCTACGTTTTTAATATTTGATTATATGAAATTATGAAACAATGTGAGTTTTTTCCTCCAAATCTTATCTTTCTTGTTTGTAATTCTCAATTTCAACGTTGTACGTTCACCAAAAAGCACATGTTCATGTCAATCATTAAACCAAGTTAATAGAGATGCACTGTTGTGTTTTGTGTATGTAACTCAAAGGAAAAAAAGTCAACTATTAGTCAACGCTGAGGTCAAGTTTAAGATGTAAAAAAAAAGAAAAAAAAGAAAAAATCTGTGAGTGTTACAATCTTCGACATTTTTATTTGAGAGTGTGATGATCACCGGAGCCGAGACCGAAGGCGTGATGGAAGAGATACAAACGCAGAAGAAGGAAGAACAAAATCACGGAGAGAAAGTAGAAGAAGAAGAAGAGGAGGAAGGTCCTCCTCCGGGATGGGAATCTGCAGTTCTTCCTCCTCCTCAGCCTACATCTCCTCCTCCGACCACCACCGTATCCGCCGCCGTAAACCCCACTCCCACCACCGCCGAAATTCCCGGTATTCTAATAGTCTGTTTCAGGGGATTGTTATCAATCAAATTTTCCCCATTTCATGTCCAATTTCGTGGTATAGTCTGATGCAATTACCGATTTTGAGTAGATTTTAGGCTTTTTAGAGGGAACCCATTCTCGATTTCGGAGATAAATTAAAGATCTTCTGCATTTTTTGTTTTTGTTTTGGGTTGCAGAAACGGCGCAAATGGTATGTGGATCTTGCAGGCGTTTACTTTCGTATCCAAAAGGAACCAAACACGTGAAGTGCTCGTGCTGTCAGACTGTAAATCTCGTTCTTGAAGGTTCTTTCATGTCTTTTTTCATCTCTTATCCATTTAACTGTTAAAAGGGATAATCTTGGGAATGCTCTCTCTCAATCTTGTTTTACTTTGAATGTGTCAGTGATATCTTTATGCTCTTGCTGGTTTCACTTCGTCATCATTGTTCAAATTCATTATCTGTATGTGAATTTCCTGAGGCTTGCATGTAGATTCATTCAAATGATATGGGTCTTTTAGCTGAAACAGGAATTATCTTTAGCTTGGATTCTTCTCTTAAGCTTGTGAAGTGTTTTAGTGCCTACTCTAATCAAAATTCCTCCATTATGGACCATTTGTGTTATCTTCATCCTTGGGTTATTACCATTCTTAAGATTCTCCATATTCAACGTATCCGTAATTGATGAATATACTCTTCTCCTCTTATCGGTTTTTGATTCTTCATTGTTTGTTCGCAGCTAACCAGGTTGGTCAGGTGAGTTGCAGCAATTGCAAACTGCTCCTGATGTATCCTTATGGAGCTCCATCTGTTAGATGTTCCTCCTGCAATTCTGTCACTGATATCAGAGTATGTAACCTCTCGCAAGCATGTTTACATGGTTTTGTTCTGGTTTCTTTGGTGATGGATATTAGCTAAATGCTGGATCTGTTTGATCTCTTAAAACCCTTATACCGATCCTTTTCTGTTTCATCATGTCGACAAATCCAATTGTGTCTGCTCGAGTCCTACTGATCATGAACCGAAAATTATTTGGAAGATACATTTCGACATACATACGAGTTAAGTAGTCTTCTGATGAAGCATTTGTTTACTGTGTTAATTTTCAGGAAAACAACAAACGACCTCCATGGTCTGTGCAGCAAGGACCGCTCAAAACTTTCAGCAGTGTCCGGTGAGAAGACTAAACTTAAACCGGTTTGATGACAAAAGTTGCCTTTTTTTTGTCAACTGATGAAAAAACTTGTCATAGTGTTAAAAGGACAAAAATCTGAATCACCAATCTTTTAGATACTTGTTCACTTCTCAATTTCTCATTAACTCTTTTAACTTGATGCTTTAGATTTACTGTCATTTGGTATTTCTTTTTAAGAATTGTGTGATTTGTCTTTACATGGTAGTGGTTTAATGTGTGCATCCACTAAAAATTCGATTTCCGTACCGGACCGATGTATTCAAACACAGCTCAACTATAAAATTTTCCATTTTCACAGGTGAATTTAACTACTAGTCTCTTTGGCCCAATTTGTCAATGAAGTTCAATAATTGGGTCGTTTAAAGAATGGCAAATATATAGTGGGTCCTCTATAGAGAGACAACAAGGGCTGTCTGGTGAACCAACTTGTCAACAAAACCAATTTAATGTGGAGTAATCAACCCTAAATTTAATGTAACCTTGGACAAAAAATTACTTTAGTAAGCCTTGTATTAATCAGACGTACATAGATTTTGATTTAAAGAATATAAAATGATTAATGAATATGGTTGGGTTGCATTAATGAGTGGGCCTTATGCATCAAATTTAAATTAGCAACTCCATAAGTTTTCATTTTGTGAAATAATGAAACAGTTGCTTAGTAAATGGTTATGTTTGGTAATAGATAGACCATATTAAATTAATTAAACTGTATATTAACAAAAGTAACCTCTCCTAGAATTAAATTTCATCCAACTTTCAATAAAAAAGACTTGAATCGAAATGGGTTTCCCTTTCACCCAACTTTTGGTAGATTTATCATTTTAGTTCATCCGTTATCGTGAATACATCTGTCAATAGCTCTCCAAGATTAAAATTAAAATTAAGCTAAACTATATGTCCATTTGATTAAACACATGCTTAAATTAAATGTCGCCAAGTGTGCATACATATAAATATTGTACAGTCTCTCAACAAGTTACGGAAGTGATAGAGAAAGAGAGAGATACAAGAGTCTCTTGCAAAGTGCTGGTGGCATTAAAAGTGATCTTCAAACACTAAAGACTAAAGTCCACTAATCAATGCCTTAACTGTATTTTCATATCTTCCTCCAATTTAATGCTCCTCTTCTCTATTTATACTCTCAATCCAACTTTTTAATCATCTCCTCAACCAAAAATGTTTACTAAATCCATCTTTTTAGCTTCCCTTCTCCTCATCATCTTCGTCTCTGCAACTCAATCAGCTCGTCAGAAGAGCGGGAACGATGGTTTAGGATTCGGCGGTGTACCCGGATTCGCTGGTATACCCGGATTCGGAAACGGGTTTCCGGGTAACGGAGTTGGCGGTGGATACGGCGGAGGATACGGTGGTCCGAGCGGCGGATCCGGGAAAGGAGGTGTGGTTAGGCCGACGGTGACTTGCAGAGAGAAAGGGCCTTGTCACGGGAAGAAGCTGAGGTGTCCGGCCAAGTGTTTTAGCTCTTTCAGCCGCTCAGGGAAAGGATACGGCGGTGGAGGCGGCGGAGGTGGATGCACCATGGATTGTAAGAAGAAGTGTATCGCTTATTGTTAAAAAAATGATAAAGGTCGCATCTTTCTTATATATTTGCTATGTTGTTGTAGCTATAGTTAATGATCATAAGGATCCTTTTGTCTGGATTCGATTGTAGCAAGTTTTTTATATGCTTAATATATGGCTGTGATGAATAAATGAGGAAACTTTACGGTTTTCTCAGTTTGTGTGTTTGTTGTATGAGAGATTCTGAGTTTTTTTTTTTTTGTGATTTGATCTTTATTACATAAAGACACTTCGAATTGAGTTTTGCAATAGATTACAGAAGAGCAAAGACCATGAGCATCATATGGCTCTTTTTAATACATAGAATCGATCGAAATTGTTTAATTTTCAGATAGTATTGAGTTTCTTTGTTAAGACTTGATCATGATCGTTGTCTTAACAGAGACAGGGATTGTAACATCATGAACACCATCAGTCCATGTTAAGCTTCCAAAGAAGTAGCCAGTGTTGACTTCATGGCTCGTTTTAGCCTTCACTGTGTAAGTGAGCACGCTCTTAGCAGCAGAGCTAAACACGAGTGTGGTCGGGCTCACGGTGAGATTTATACCGAGGGGAGACTCGACCACGGCTTTATAGACTGACTTGATGGGTCCAACATTGGTTACAGTTCTTGTGAGTGTGACTTCTTGCTCAAGATTTGGAATTGTGATCGAAGGTAAGTTGATATCAAGAACTGATGGCTCAGGAGTTGGGCAGATAGTCTTTTTACCAAGAACACGAGAGATTGAGGAGTCTTTGTAGCCAGCGGAACACATATAATTGATGTAACCTTCGATTCCCATATCGTAGACAAGTCCAGGTTTTGCAGCTTTTTCAGGGTTTACAAGTCCTCCTCCATAGTCAAATGGATCTGCAAGTTTCTTGTTTGATCCTTCAGCAAAAATGGGTTCTCCAGATGGACTTGTCCTCCAAGCTTCAAAAAAAAATCAATTAGTCGAAAACATTAGTCTTAAATGAAGAAGAAGATTGGATGAAGACATGAAGAAGAACCTGTTGTGACCAAAGCTGATCTAATAGCAGCAGGAGACCAATCAGGGTGTAGAGATTTGAGGAGAGCTACGATTCCGGAAACAACAGGAGTCGACATTGATGTCCCTGAAAGGAGTCCAAATCCGTTATGCGCTTCAGGATCTCGCGGACTTACTGCCGCGAGTATACTCACACCCGGAGCTGCTATATCAGGCTACAGAGTAAAAACTTGATCAAAAAGGTTTCAACTTTAGAAGTGAACATAGACTAGAGACACAATGGCTTTTTATTTAGAACCTTGAGGATGGCTGGTGAAACAGAATTAGGCCCTCTACATGAAAATGCAGCAACCTTTGTAGTTGCAGGCAGACCTGTTAATGTTTTAGCCGCGCTGATTCTCACTGTGGGCGATCTGTGATTCAACGTTGGATAAATGATGTATGTAGAGAAAGAGAATTGACTTAGAAGAGTTTCTTTGGTTTCAAGATAGAGGACCTGGTGGTACGTATGTATTGTAAAATGTCGGTTCCAAGCTCGTAATCTGTGTAAATGCACGGAAAACCATCGCATCTCTCAAGAAGATCATCAGGTTTTAGGCAAAGATGACTCCTGCTGCACCTTTCCCCACAACTGGAGTGATACTATCGAAAACAAGAACTGTTTTCCCCTCCACATCAACATTAGCATCACTCGTCGAGGTTAAGAAAGCTAAACCCGTTGAAATTTTCGGTCCAGTATACAGAGATTCAGCCTAATTAGACACCAATCAAGAACAAGAAGTTAATCAAGCTTGAAACTTCGAATTATTTCTTACACTAATTCGAGCGTTTGGTAAATAAACGTCGAAACTTTGAACTAATGTTTCTAACCAACTTCAGCTTCCGGTAAAGAAAGTTCGAAAAGTTGAGCTATATTTTTAGTTTAAATAAAAAAAAGGTTGAAACTTTGAACTATATTTTCAAACTAAGTTTAAGTTTTTTTTTGGGTATAAAACGTACGAAGAAGGTTTGGTTATTGCCAAGTGTGATCTTTGTAGGAAAAGACCGGTCAAGAGTAGTTGCTGCAACTGTCAAGAACCAAGGAGCAACATTGACAACAGTCTGAGCACCAGGCCCATCGTTACCAGCCGCAGCCACAACCAGAATCCCTTTAGCCACCGCATGAAATGCCGCGACAGAACCGAGGTAAACGACCTCGGAATCCTCGGGAAGTTTTCCGCCAAGAGAAACAGACAGAACATCAACCCCATCATGCATAGCATCATCAAAAGCTTTATATATATCAGCATCAGTGCATTTTCCAACGGTTCCACTTCCATCGTCTCGCATTATGTTCCAACACGCCTTGTACACGGCTATGCGGGCCCTAGGAGCACCGCCTCTAACCATACCTGATAAGAGTCCCACATTGGTTAGGAAGGAAACAACAAGTAGAATGTCTTATAAAACAGGTACCTTCACTCTTAAGCTAACTTATGTAGTGATTAATACACTATTTAGAAGAATTATTTGAGTCCAACTGCTACATATAAATATACCTCGAGCTAGACCGTAGAAGCTCACGTTGGGGACGAATGAACCGCCGGCTATTGTGGCTGTATGTGTGCCGTGACCGTTTGCATCTCTGGTGGATTTGAAATCGAGGATTTTCGTTCTGTTGAATATTCCTCCATTATCGGCGAGTAAGCCATCTAGGTAATACTTAGCTCCTATTAGCTTGTTGTTGCAGTGAATTGTAGCGTCAAACTTTTCTCCTGATTCACATTTTCCTCTCCAACGTTCAGGTATTGGTCCAAAACCCTGATCGTTGACTACCTCTGACTCTGGCCATATCCCTGCATAATAATACACAAATGATGCGAGCCAAGGTAATGAGAGAGAGAAAGAGTGAGTTAGATTTATAGAGAGAGGGAGAAACCACTGTCGATGACGCCAATGATAGCTTCACTGCCCATGTTGGTGTTATGAAGAAGACCTTTTGCTGATGATGAAGAAAAGGAAGTTGGAATTGGAGAGAGGCCAAGGTAATCCCAAGTTCTTGTAGTTTTCAGTTTCAGAATCCGGTTTGGTATAACATGGACTACTTCTGGATGCTCTGTGTTTATATATAAGATTCCGGTTTAGACACTAATCCTCAATGTCCAGGATACGCAATTTTTTTAGATTTGAGTTTGAGTTTTGTTGAGAACCTGATATCTTCTTTGCTTGAGAAGATGTAAGAAGTGCTGCGAAACCAGAGAATCCATGTTTGTAGCTGTAAATCATTGATTTTTGTGCGTCTTCTTTGCTGTATATAAACATAAGATATACCGTACGTGAGAGAAGAGCTCGTGATAGACCAAAGAAAAAACAGAGTATGCCGGAAAAAGTTTCTTGGGAAACAAGAAACAAGTGTAAATACTTATCAGCCTATCAGATGTCTTAATATTTTTGTTAACAAATGAAGAAAAAAATTATACATGGCAAGTTTACTGAATTCACTGAGCATGCAAACAAAAGTTCAGTAGGTATCTATAGAGATTTGGCTTTTTTTAAAAAAAAAAATGATCAAATTAAAGTAAGTACCTTTCAAGAAGTGATTCAAGCATTTGATGATGAGAAGCAGTGACAAGTTTGGGATCATCGTGTTCTCTTTCGCCAAGGTAAACTATATAAACCTATTAAATCCACGAAAGAAACATCAGAAAAATACCGGAAAAAAAACAAAAAATTAAAAAAAAAAAAGTATAAACTCTAGCGAATTTCACAGATAGAGGAAAACTCGTTTGTGTTACCTTGGAATAATTTTCTAGAGCTCTTGCAGATGCAAGTAAACTCAGCTCCGTGTTAAGAAACAGGAATAAAGTAAATGCCAATAGAAGCACGAGTTTGTAACTTCGTAAAGAGTTCTCCATTTTCTCAAGTGAGAAGTGTGTGTGTGGCATAGAAACCTCTGTGGTTATTTATAGAGAACAATCAATTCATTTCTCTTTCAATTCACTCGTGACCCCACAAAAACTGCGATATGTGGAAATCTACTCTAATAAAAGTACCTATTTGAGGCTCCTAGAGATGTCCACATCAGCCAAACAAAACTGTTCTAAAATGATGCCACGTCACCTATAGTCTTTGCAAAAAAAATTATAACTTTGCAAATATCAGTCAGCGTCTTCCAAAAAAAAAAACTCAACAAGCGCCTCCTCAGCTCCTCTTAAAAACGTTATGCTACAAAACTCTATTTAAAACCGGTCGCCTCCCACAAAGCCACGATCTCATATTCATCTCTTGTGGTTTCTCATATCTCTCAATTTTAAATCCCATCAGATAATTTATATTGCCCATATATTTTGTGTTTCCGAAGTCGATCTGACCTATATTGTATTCATCAGGTTGTTTTGCTCATTGTACCAGCATCACTCTAATTTATTGGTTTGTGTTGATATGCAAAAGCATCGAGTCTCATGGGAATGATAAACGTAAAAAAAGTTGGTCGGATGGGCTACTGCGTATCTTATTCTCGATTTTGTGCACCACACCCTGAAAAGGAACCAACGACGGTATGAAGAAATGCAGTGAAGATGGCATGCAGACGAAAGCAGCAACAGTTCGAACTGGGAATAAGTAAGCATCTAAACATTTTTTAAATTTGTTTCATTAAATTATCTTATGTTCCACAAAAAATAAGATCTCTCTTTCAAAGTTCTTTCACTAGCTCAATACTTTTTCATCGTTGTTGGGTGTCATTTTTGTTAAACACTAGAAAGACACCGATATCAAAAGATGAAAGCAGGAGAATAACGTGGCAGAGACCAAAAAATCAAGCAGAAGCGGTGGTCATAGAAGTTTCTGATTTTCATGCACCATAGCATTAGTGTGGCAAAGAGATGAGTTATTCCAATATTTTCCCGAGTAATCCAAAAAGTAAGCACTTGGTGCCAATTGAATATTCAAAAGGATATATTCTTTGAATTAGTGTAAATGTGTGAATACACTAATAGAGCCAATTCAATAATAATGATCCATGTATAGAATAGTTTAATTTAGTGGAGTTAAAGGTAACTCTGATCTAATAGCTGCAGTAAACTAATGTCTCATTTTGTCTATATATATATTGTTTTTTTATTGAATTGTGTACAAATGTCCACATTGAGCTAATGCAAAGATGAATGTTTACAGTTGCGTAAAAGATAATGATACAAAAGGTGTAAACGACCATCTCTACCAAATTCAGGTCCCTCTCAGTCTTTTTCTCTACTTTTTTTCACTTAGCCCGCACGTTTTACTTTTAGTTAAGGTTGATAGCAACAATGGTGTAAGTGATTCACTGATTTTCTTTGTAATACATACAATTACATAAATCAATGCAGTCCATGTTCTAACACCTAAAATTCTACCTTTTTTCGTTTTGTTTGCATTGTATTTAAGTTTGGTTGGAATGATAACGATGAGGAACCACAATCAGTCTCTCCAAAATGCAGCGAGAAAGCCGCTTTTAGAGTTGGTTTAAACACCCATGGAAGTTGTCCGCTGTTCTAATCTTCTGAGTGAAACTCTGCTCATTACTATACTCGCAAGTGTAACAAATGAAACATTGTCTTTTGATCACAACATTGTGAAGAGACTGATTGTGGTAATTTCTCTTAAACAGTTTTGGTAAGACCATACATGAAATCTATTTACAAGTTTACACGTTCATTGTTCTTATCTCTCTTTTTGGTTTGGCTGTGTAAAAAAAAAAAAGTAATGGTAGGGGTATTTGAAGTGTACATTTAAACAACATGGCTGTATTGGGAAAAACATAGATTTGGAATCCTGCAGGGGCTCTGATTTTTCTATTTAAAAACTAACTGCAGTGAACAAAAGCAAAAACAAATTCAAAGGGAGTTCAATCTTGTGCTTGCATAACTAGAGCGAATAGAGGGTGAAACAAGAGCTTGAGTAGCCGACTCGAGTGATCAGATTGCGTAGGAAGTATGGAGGATGATTAGTAGTTTTATGGTGAATCATTTTAAAAGAAAAAAACTTAATGGTGAATCGTTCATTTGATATCCTTTTCCCTTATGAGAGATGGAGGATGGAATGAACTTTTTGTCCACACATCGAAGGATGACAACCTCAAAGATTAAAGATGTTAAAGACTAAAGACGACAAAGAATGGAAAGCATTGTGAAAGATTATTATATCATCGACCATATTAACACGAAAACAAATTAGTTATTATTGGCATAAAACTGAAATTAACTATATGGACACCAGGTTAATTCAGAGAGAGTGTTTGAGGCTGTATGGCACATGACATGGGTAGATTACGATTAAAGATGTTGTGGGTATATGAGGAAGAAATGACCGAAAATAAATAAAGAACTTTAAGAAAGGCTTGATATTTTTGCCATACCTCGAAGGTGTTAGTTAGAATGTGAGGAAGGATTCCTTTCTTATGTGTAAAAAAGAAAGAAAAGAAATAAGAAAAAAAACCAACAAAAAGACATGAGTTTGATTGTACAAGAAGTGTTTACAACAACATTGAAGTAACATGTGAATATTATAACAAAACTACTGGATCATTGACACTGTAAATTCTTTAATTATTTATTACATATAACAATTGACAGTGTTAAAATTAGAAAACCACTAAAATGTAAATTGTTTTTGCAAATCATCCTTATTTATTTGGTTTATATTGTTGTATGAAAAAAAGAAATATATTAGTAATTTACGTTCATTTTTTTTTATAATTAATAGTAAAATATACTCTTTCTGTTTTACTATGATTGCAGTTTTATAAAAAAAAATTGTTTCAAAATATTAGATGTTCTTATATTTCAATGTAGTTTTAAATTTATTTAATAATATATTACCAAGTATATTATTTGATAGTATTTGTTATTGGTTTAATTTTATTTAATTATAACATTAAATGATATTTTTTGAAAAAAAAAACTAAATTTTTTAATTTTTGTACTTTTTGTAAAACATCTAACAAATTGAACCGGAAGGAAAACCATGTTACTACATATTGAAATCTCAGGAATGAGTACTATGTTACTACATATTGAAATAGAATTCCGGAACAAAACCGCGCATAGCGCAGACAGTCCTTAATATCTTAATAAAAACAAGAACTGTGGAAAATTAGGATTTTAACTGTGGAATAATCTGAATAAAACCAAACCCAAAAAATAATTATATTTCTTTTTCAAATGTGAGAAAACATACTAATAAAACAAAAAAAACTGAGGAAAAAAAATTAATTCATAGAAAAGTGTGGAGAAAAAAAAATATTTGAAAATTTCAGTTAAAAAAATTAGGATTATTCGAGTCCGAGCCGTTTTAGAGCACTTCTAATGGTAGTTTCTCATAGAAGCTTTCATGATTGAACAAATAGAAAAAATAAAAAAAAAGATGAGAGAATGAGAATTCAGTATACATAATCTCTCTTTTGAGAACCTCTAAAAAAAATTTGAGAGACTTTTGTGAGATGTGTCACCATTTTATTGGTGGAATTTATTTTTATAATTTACAATTTAACTAATTAATTAAATTACATAAAAATAACAATATTATATTAGTTGTGATACTCTTAAAAGCTTCTCACCATTAGAGGTGGTCTTATCTACATTATACCCCGCCAAAACATTTTGTTTTTTCTTAAATTTGTTGTCTCTTATTACTCAATATTCATTTCATTTCCCCCTATGCGTTTAGAAAGAAAAATAGAATTTCTTTTCTTTTTTTTTCCAAAATGAAAAATATAATTTCAACTATGAAAACTCCTTAAAAAATTATAATCATATCTATTTTCGACGGCGATATGTGGAAAAATCTTAATAAAAACAAGAACTGTGGAAAATTAGGATTTTAATTGTGGAAAAATCTGAACAAAACCAAACTCAAAAAATCTTATTTCTTTTTCGACTGTGGAAAAAAATCCTAACAAAACAAAAAACTGTGGAAAAAATTAATTCATAGAAAAATGTAGAGAAATAAGAAAATATTCAATAATTTAAACTAAGAAAATTAGGATTATTCGAGTTCAAGCCGTTTTATCTATTCTGTAGAGTTATACCCCGCCAAAACGTTTAGTTATTTCTTAAATTTGTTGTCTCTTATTAGAAATCATGTATAATTAGATCAGTTACTCAGTTAGTGTTTTTTTGCGGACCGCCTGAATTAAGTATATTTGATTATATTTTAGAGAGAATCAGAAGAAAGTGCTCGATAGTGATTCAACAATGAAGAACTTGAGTTGTTTCAAAAAAAAAAAATTACAATGAAGAAGTTGAATATTTTGAGTTAGGGTTAATAATTATGAGGGTGACATGTGATTGGTACAGTGGTACTCCATTGTAAACCAAACACAAGAATAAATCTTGATTGATCTTCATAGTCGATGTCTGAGTGTAAAAAAATGGCCCTCACGAGATGTTTACAATAACACTACTCACCACAACTGTGTCCTTTGCTCCACGGGCACTGAATCTCATTTTCTACTGGCTTCTATCGATCGTACCATGAGGGATCTACTTCTATCCTTCCCATCTAAGGATCCGCTAAATTCTCCAGTCTCTCCTTGAATTATATCTCGGTTGCTTCTTGCCTTTTTGGTATCTGTCGCTAACGTTCCACTTATGTAATCAGCTCAAAAAACTTTGAGCATGTAAATAGCCCTTAATTTATAAAATCTTTACATTAATACCAAAGAAAAAAACTACTAATTAACCACAAAGTGAAATGTTAAAAGAAAGGCGAAATCATGATGCACATGCATGCACTGTGGGAAAGAAAGGCGAAACCATGATTATTGGCCGTCATATCCTTCCATGTGTCACAGTTTCATTGCTCTGCCGGAATGAGGTGTTTCAAATTATTTGTCTATGTTTATGGAGGATCCGTAGAAAAAAAAGAAGTATATATGTCAATTCCGAAATGTCTTTCCCATCAACTATACACAAAAATACATATTATATGCCACATGCAGGGATTGAAGTTGGAGTTCTCATGTCAACACTTTTACAAACAACACTAATTTTCTCAATGTATGTACTTGTATATGAGAGATTCTTCTAAGTTTTGTTTTTGTGATTTGATCTCGAGACTGAGAATTGAGTTTTGCAATAGATTACAGAAGAACAAAGACCATGAGCATCATATGGCTCTTTCTAATACATTGAAGAGATCGATCGAAATAGTTTTTTTTTTATCAGATATTATTGAGTTTCTTTGTTAAGACTTGATCATGAACTTTGTCTTAACAGAGACAGGGATTGTAACATTATGAACACCATCAGTCCATGTTAAGCTTCCAAAAAAGTAACCAGTGTTGACTTTATGGCTCCTTTTAGCCTTCACCGTGAAAGTGAGCACTCTCTTAGTTGCAGAGCTAAAGACGAGTGTGGTCGGGCTCACGGTGAGATTTATACCGAGAGGAGACTCGACCACGGCTTTATAGACTGACTTGATGGGTCCAACATTGGTTACAGTTCTTGTGAGTGTAACTTCTTCCTCAAGATTTGGAATTGTGATCGAAGGTAAGTTGATATCAAGAATGGATGGCTCAGGAGTTGGGCAGATGGTCTTTTTACCGAGAACACGGGAGATTGAAGAGTCGTTGTAGCCAGCGGAACACATGTAACTGATGTAACCTTCGATCCCCATGTCGTAGACAAGTCCAGGTTTTGCAGCTTTTTCAGGGTTTACAAGTCCTCCTCCATAGTCAAATGGATCTGCAAGTTTCTTGTTTGATCCTTCAGCAAAAATGGGTTCTCCAGATGGACTTGTCCTCCAAGCTTCAAAAGGAAATCGATTAGTCGATAAACATTAGTCTGAAAATAAGAAGAAGATTGGATGAAGAAGAACCTGTTGTGACCAAAGCTGATCTAATAGCAGCAGGAGACCAATGAGGGTGTAGAGATTTGAGGAGAGCTACGATTCCGGAAACAACAGGAGTCGACATTGATGTCCCTGTCTCGAGTCCAAATCCGTTGTACGCGCCAAGATGAAGCGGACTTAGTGCCGCGAGTATGTTCACTCCTGGGGCTGCTATATCAGGCTACGTACAGAGTAAAAACTTGATCAAAAAGGTTTCAACTTTTAAAGTGAACATAGAATAGAGACACAATGGCTTTTTATTTAGAACCTTGAGAATGGCTGGTGAAACAGAGTTAGGCCCTCTAGATGAGAATGCAGCAACCTTCGTAGTTGCAGGCGGACCCGTTAATGACTTAGCCGCGCTGATTCTCACCGTGGGTGATCTGTGGTTTTGACGTCGAATCAATGTAAAAGAGAATTGACTTCAGAAACAGAGTTTTAATTATTTGGTTCAAGAAAGAGGACCTGGTGGTACGAATGTATTGTAAAATGTCGGTTCCAAGCTCGTAATCTGTGGTAAAAACGCACGGTGAATCATGGCACTCCAAAATAAGATCATCGGGCTTTTGGGCTAAGATGATTCCTACTACACCAATGTTGAACAATGAGTCTATTCCCATTGGGAAGTGAGTATCGAAAACAATAATTGTTTTCCCCTTCACGTCAATGCGTTCATCACTGTATGGGTTCAAGAAAGCTAAACCGGTTGAAATCTCCGGTCCAGTGTACAGTGATTCAACCTGATAATTAGACACCGACAATGAACAAGACGTTAGAAAAAGCTCCAAACTTTCTACTCTTTCTGTAACTTATTAATGTTTTGGTAATAAAAGGTCGAAACTCTGAACTATTTTCTCAAACCAATTTGAGTTTTTGGTGAAAAAGGTTGAAACTTTGAGCTAACTTGGTTTTGTTTTTGTTAAAAAAGGTTGAAACTTTAAATTCTTCCCTTAACTAACTTTGAGTATTTTGGAATATAAGACGTACGAAGAAGGTTTGGTTATTGCCAAGTGTGATCTTTGTAGGAAAAGAACGGTCAAGAGTAGTTGCTGCAACGGTCAAGAACCAAGGAGCAACATTGAGAACAGTCTGAGCACGAGGCCCATAGTTACCCGCCGCAGCCACAACCGGAATCCCTTGAGCCACCGCGTGAAAAGCTGCGATAAAATCGAGTGCATCGACCTCGGAATCCTCAGGAATATGACCGCCGAGAGAAACGGACAAAACATCAACACGATCATGTATAGCATCATCATAAGCTTTCCACATATCAGCAGTTGTGCATCCTACTCCACTCCAACACACTTTGTACGAGGCTATGCGAGCTCGGGGAGCACCACCTCGGACCGTACCTGATAAGAGTTCCACATCGGTTAAGAAGAAAACAAAGATAAAATCGGTACCTTTACTCTTAAGCTAACTTTTGTGGGTTTTAGGTTTGGGCCCAATAACTGATAAATACTGTATCAGTACCTCCGGCTAGACCGTAGAAGCTCACGTTGTGGACGAATGAGCCACCGGCTATGGTGGCTGTATGCGTGCCGTGACCGCTCGCATCTCTGTTGGATTTGAATTCTTGTAATTCTGTGATGTTGAATTTTCCTTCAGTTTCGGCGAGTAAGCCGTCTAGGTAAAACTTAGCTCCAATTAGCTTGTTGTTGCAATGAATTGTGGCGTTAAATTGGTCTCCTGATACACATTTTCCTCTCCAACGCTTAGGTATTGGTCCAAGGCCTTGGTCTTCGACTACCTTTGACTCTGGCCATATCCCTGCATATTCATATACATACAATGTGAGATAGTGAGAGATAGAGAGAGTGTGTGTGTGTGTGTGAGAGAGAGAGAAAGAGAGACCAGTATCCATGACGCCGATGATAGCTTCACTGCCCATGTTGGTATCATGAAGAAGACCTTTTGAAGATGTTGATGAAGTAGAAAGAGAAGTTGGAATTCTAGAGAGGCCGAGGTGATCCCAAGTTCTTGTGGTTTGCAGTTTCAGAATCCGGTTTGGTATAACATGGATCACTGATGGATGCTCTGTGTTTATATACAAGATCCCGGTTTAGAAAACCAAGAATCATCAATGGTCAAGGATATGAAATTTTCTCATATGTGAGTTTGGGTTTTGTTGACTTGAGTACCTGAGATTTTCTTTGCTTGGGAAGGCGTAAGAATTGCTGCGAAACCGGAGAATCCATGTTGGTAGCTATAGATTATTGAGTTATGTGCGTCTTCTTTACTATATATCACATGAGAGATATTAGTGAGAGAAGAGCTCATAACAGACATCAAAAACAGAGAGGGACTAAGTTCTGTGAAGAAACAGAGCATGACGAATAGAGTTTCTTGGATTACAAGAAACGAATGTAAGACATTATTACTTTATCTAATGTGTAAAAGTTTTTGTTTATATATAGCAACTTTGACGACACCAATAGCATACATAAAAAAGTTTCTGCAATATCGGTATCCTTATAGAGATTTGGCTTTTGAAGATGATTAAAGTAAGTACCTTTCAAAAAACGATTCAAGCATTTGATGATGAGAGGCAGTGACAACTTCGGGATCATCGTGTTCTCTTTCGCCAAGGTAAACTATATAAACCTATCAAATCCGTGTGATGGAAAAAAACATTAGTAAAATTTTGAAACAATTAGTAAAACTCTAAAGCTGATTTCGTAGAAAGGTCATTTTGCGTTACATGCCTTGCTATTATTGTCTAGAACTCCTGCAGATGCAAGTGAAGTCAGCTCCATGGTAAGAAATAGGACCAAAGCAAGTGCCAATAGAAGCATGAGTTTGTAACTTCGTAAAGAGTTCTCCATTTTCTCAAGTGAGAAGTGCGTTTGTGTGTGTGACATAGAAACCTCTGTGGTTATATATATAGAAAAATTCATTCATTCGTCTTTTCAATTCACGGTTACAGTTAGGAGTGGAGTTTTGGGTTAGACTCGAAACCGGTTTGGATTCAAATTTATATTTGGTTGGGTTCGGTTTGAGAGGAATGTCTCACTATGCTTCGGTTTTATCATAAATTTCTCATATACAACATATTCTCTTAGTTGGTTTGAAGAAGAAATAAATACATAGCAAACTAAAAACCAAACGTCATTTTGGTTCGATTTGTCTCAATTAGTGATCGGTTTGGTTTTATTATTTACCAAAAGACTTTGCTCTCCTTTATAGATGGCCACTTTTCTTAAAAGCCCGTCCATCGTAATAATTGTTTTCTTACTACTTACTGGAAATATATGATTATTCTTTTCACATAAATATTCTCAATTGACTATAATAGTATATCAATCATATCTAACTAAAATGTAGTTAAGACCTAACATAGGCAACTGTTAAACCATGGTCCATGACTGACTCAATTTGTTAGAGAGGATTATATCTTGATAGAGACGTCTAATCCGAAAGATAGTAGAGCAAACCGACTCTAACTGTTGCATTTATGGGTTGATAGAAAAATGATTGAATGATTGAATGTGTATAAATACGTGTTCAGATATATATTCAAAGATATACATTGTATTTCAAATCTAAATTTTTATGTTAGGAGATATTTTTTAATATCGGATGTATGAAAACACGTATCTCATATATTGGAAGTCCCCTTAAGCATCAAAGATATTCCCAAGAATATTTTATCGGTAACAACGTATCTACTTCAGGTATCAACATAGTATTTAGACGTAACTCATCTCTCAGTGTTATGTAAAACTAAAACACATTCTCTGGAACATGAATCTCTGTTTTCACTCTCTCTCTCTCTCAGTCTCACAGTCTCATGCCCAGGATCCAAAATCCATGTGAATCGGAAGCAACCTCAGAACTTGAAATCTTTCTTTTTCTTCCCCTCTTTATCACGCTTCCTTTTCTTCGAATTCTGATACCATATACCAAAAAAAGGTTAATCATCCGCATAATATCAACAGTGTTAAACGAGATAAATCGAAAGTCATTACCTCGGCGACCATGTCACTGAAGTCCTCTGGCTTATTGCGTAGTTTCTCCTCTTCTCTTGCCTCCTCATACCTTCACAAATGCCAAATGTAGAGAGTTTAGGACACTATTTCTCGGTTTTTATCTCTCAAGTTCATGTTAGATATATATTACAATCAACAACTACTTACTTGGCAGGCAAAACATTCTCCATCGCATCCAGCTCTTCTGGCTGTAAACTGACGTCCACACGATCTGTCTTTTGTCCTCTCAGCAAATCAACCTGTTCAAAATGCACACAATTGCATAATTAGCCACTCGTCATCAAACCAAACAGCAATTTCAGCATGTAACAACGCAATACCAAGTTTAACAGACACTACCATAACTGACTCAAAAAAACAAATGAGACTTGGAGAATACAAAAGTAACACGACCTATTGACCTAACAACCTCAAACGATCAATTATTTCTTAATTCTCACCTCATTTCAAACCAAACAAGAAATGCTATCAATTAAGTATTCCGCAATGACATCTACCAATTCCTTTCGTAAAACACATCATTGGTAATTTAAGCACACAGGTAGCTTACCCTTTTCGCTCCTGTCTTGTCTTGAGTACCAGTTTTAATAACGTATGTGTGTGTGGTTCCCAGCACTGCACCAGGAGCAACACTCTCTCCCTTTTCTTCAAGTACCTTCAGAACGAAAAAGAACAACATTAAAGTAGCAGATCAAAAATATAGTTCTTGGCATAATAATAAGAGAATATCCCACAAGGTAGTGGACAAAGTCAAACAGCATTAATCAAAATTAGTTTCCTACCTGATATAGAGGCCTATCGGGTTCCTTTCTCTGTTCCTTACGAAGTTCGATTGCATCTGGCGTCTCTATGCCAGTTGGAGTGCTGAAAAGAAGGGAAAAAAAACATTCAGTTACGTATTTATATTCTATGATAAGCAAACAAATACAAGTTCACCTCGCCAATGTATACAACTTAAAGCAAAACAATACCTTGACAGTGTATCAACCGATTCAATGCCATCTTCAAGTTCCTCTTCATCCATCTCCTCGTCTTGTTCCTCTTCCTCCTCCTCTTCTTCTTCTTCCTCTTCCTCTAAATCACCCCAGTGCTTGCCCTTATCAATAGGCTCTTCCTAAGATAATGAAAAAAGAACAACCACCATATTAGATCACCAAATATTCAACAGGTAGCTTATGATTCGTAGTTTATATCCCCATGTTTAATATAATACCGCACCAACTACTCGTTTAGATGGGTTCCTTCCACATTTAAAACAGAGCACTACGTGTTATAGAGATGAAATTAAATACCTCATAGTTAGGCTGATCTTGTTGCTGGACACCAAAGACATCTCCGTACAATGGACGCCCAAACTATATAACACAAGCAATGAGAAGCAATCAAACAAAAGTTGTCAATAAATGGCATAGAAAGTTTGACCAAAAATTGACCCCCCAAAAAGATGGCATAGAAAGTAATCAAAAAACGAATGTCGACAAAATACTTACTTCATCAACTGGAGGTTTCCCCCAGCCACCAGCATGATAACCAAAGCTAGCTCCAAGTGGGATAGGAGCATTCAAACCAGGGATTTTCAGATGTGGATACGAAGGAGGAGGACCGTATCTCTGTTGGTGAAGGTTAAAAGGTGAATAATTCTATTTAAATCAGAAATAGGCATAAAGACAAATTACAATAGACTCACCTGCATATTAATAAGCCACGGCGGAGGAGCGCCTTCAGGCATACCAAGAGCTTCTTTTAAATCATGTGACAATGTCCCTGGTTTCGTTTCCCTCAATTTAACCTATTTCCCAAATGATTGTGATTAAATTCAGGTACCCTCAAAGCAATAAAGCCAAGCAATGTAATAAACGACAAAGATGCAAAACATGTCACAAGGAAGTACCTCAAATTCTTTCCCTTCAAAATACATATCCCCGAGAGATGTCAGCTTAGGCTTTGTTTGGTATTTGAAGAATGCATCATGGAGGACCTGAGAAAGGAAGGCATAATCTTCACTTATCAGTTATAGGACGAATATGAACAGATGCTCACCACAAAACAAATATTTATAAAGTGAAACCTGGTAGTCAATGTCCATCTTTCCCATCTTTGGCTGCATTCGCTCCCGTTGCTTTTGCTTCAACTTTTTACCATCCTCTTTCTCAATGTAAGCCTCCACAATAACAACAAAAGGATTAGAGCTCTGACCAATGGAAGCATCTAGCGGCTTACACTTAAACAAATCCAGCTAAAATTGATAAAGAACTCCTTGAATTTTGAAAAGTTTAAACAGCAACAAGAAAAAATGACTAGGTATAGAGCAGATACAATATAGGACGGAGATTGAGAAGTTAATTAGAGAATTAGTCAAAAGCATACAAGAAATGGTCATTTGCATCCAAGAAATCTAGTGGAGTGGGTAAAAAAAACAGATGTCAATTTGCCAAGTTAAAAGCTTGAGTTTCATTAACATTTTTCAAAATGACAATTTACAAAACCAAACACTGTGGAGGAAATATGTGCAGGTAGAAGAGCACAATTATGGGGTTCAAGACAAGATACCTGTCTAATTTTCTCAATGCCAGTTGCAGCAATGAAATCAGGAAGATGAAACGGCTGCTTCTCTATACCACGCTTTCCCTGCAAAATTGAAACCCCGCTGAGATACTAACAACTTAAGAAAGAGAGAGCAAGCAATATAATAGCCTTAAACGCAAAGAAACTTGACTATATCCTAAGTACTACAAAACCAGGTGCATCTAAAAGCCTGATCCCTAAAATGCATACGATAACAGAAAGTAGAATTTCAGAAAGGGAATATCCACACAATTGATACATGAAATACTTTTCTCAGAGAAGTAGCAAACGTCTCGAAAACCTAAGCACCACAGATTTCATAATTCATATTTCATATAAAGACAAAAATAATCAGGAGGCCTCTCCGGTTACACCTACAATTCCAGGCTCCATGGTTATCACAGATGTTCTCCTGCAAGAAGCACATATATATGTATAAGGAACCTCAATTATCATGACGAGTTCTATCCCTGTTATTATAATTCCCCTATGCGCCACACCCACAAATCATAGAAGCATATAGTTAACTAGAGCACGATTACTTGAAAGATCACAAACCTGCAGATACTTTCTCTTCTGGGACCAGTGTCTAGGAACAGGAACTGTGTTCCGATACGACTTCAAAAACACCAACAACTTCGGATCTGCTGAAGTAGCGTCCCACACCTAAAAAATATTAAAATAAAACTTAAAATCAAATAACAGAAAGCTACACAACGAGAAAATGAACTTTTTCCTTAGAACGATATGAAATGAGATGCAACTGTGACACGAGTAGTTATCGGGTACCACCAATTGGGAGTTGGGACAAAAGAAAAACATCGGATAAAGCTTCGAACATATATGCATCCTTACCTCAACGACATCAGGCCTAGCAGATACCTGCTTGAGCTCAGCAATCTTCATCCTCCGTTCAAGCTGAGAAAACAGAAATTCAAGATGTAAGGAGTCTTAGTATACTGAGCCTTAGAACAAGAAACTAACTAGAGGATGTACTACTATCTTATTGAATGCAAGGAAACCAAATTCACAGTTAAAAATTAGCTTTGAGATTAAACCTTTTTCTGCTTATTAGAGACGCCTTTCTCTTTTGGTTGGTCATCCTGCTCTTCCTCGTCTGAATCTGAGTTAACCTTCTTCTTTACAGCTTCTTTTTCCTCAGACTCATCCTTCTTAGCGTCGTCCTAGTCAATCAAAAAAAGGTTTCGTCAATATTCAAGCACTGATGAACTTTCTCAGTCACGCTAAAGAGCAAAATGAAAAGAGCCGTACCTCAGAGACAACAGGTTCCCGAAAGTTAAACTTCTCAAAGATTTGCTTAAATTCATCGTTAAAACCATCTTCAAACTCGGCCTTTTCTGGAACATACTCTATCACAATCTGCTCAGAAACCTATGAGGAAACAAAGATCACAAATCATCAGTCAAAGAAAAACCAACAGGAACAAAACTTCCAAAAACAATCACAAACCCTAGAAACTCTCCAGTCCCGTGAATATTGCGCGAGAAAAAGAGCACAAAGCTAACCTGTTGCTGCGGATCGGCGTTCTCCTTAGAATCCGAAGCCCCAGAAACAACCGCTTCTCCTACATCAGCATGGGATGCTTTGTTGATCTTCTTCTGCTTCCGTCTGCGGCGGCGACGGTCGCTCTCACGAGATTTCTTCGAAGAAGCGGTAATGTTACCGTTAGAGACATCCCCGTTCGAGGCGACGCTATTACCGTTTGCGACGGTTGTTGAATCGACGGTCATACTCGGCGAAAGAGTAGAGTCGGTGATGCGAAGAGAAAAAGACAACAGAGGAAGATGAAGAAGGGATAACCGAGGATTATATATCAACGGAGTCAGGCTGAATTTATAATTCGGTTAACTGATAAGGCGGTTCCGGTTCATGGCTGGTCGATTTCATCTTGTTTGCGCCTGAGTAGCTTCTAGTAATTGACGAAGCCTTTAAATCAAACGAGTGGGCCGGCCCATTTTAAATTTTAAATTTAAGGGTAGTGTAAATCTATTCTATTTATTACTAAAAACACAAACTTCACCAATTACATAGTGATACTGATATGTAGCAGAGCAAAAAAAAAATAGTTTACATGAAAATCAGTTAAAACAGAGCAGTTAATTTTTTTTTCCAAATTATAACTGTTTCAACATTTCCAGCCACGTTCTTCACCTTCTTCTCTTACCGTTTCATCAACTTTTTGGAATCACTCCAAACAAATTTAAATGAACATTGGAATCATATATCTTTTAAAATCAGATTTTTTTCTACAAGGCAAAACCGCTGATTCTTTCTCTCTCCTGTAATTTTGATTTTTGATATCCAATGTTGACATCATATCTTTTTTTCTGAAAACAGAAGCATCTTCGATTTGAGTATGGCTGGGAAGTTTTTGAAGTTGCATCCGAAAAGAGATCAATATTGTATACAGATGATTCAAAAAAAGATTAAGCAAAACTTATGGCAGGTCTTTCGGAAATTTATGGGTAGCAATGAGTTCACATGAAAGTTGTTTAGCAAATGATAAAGTGATAATGTTTAAATATCAGCATTTATACAAGTTTGATTTTGATTTTTTTTTTTTTGATTTTTGTATTTGTGTTTTGCAGACATATCGTTGTTCCTCTATATGCACGTGACGAACCCCTTCTCGAACGGAAGTACTTCATTCGTCCATAAGTGAAGGACATGCTCATGGGTTATCTCCATAGAACTTCTCAAAGATTTTTTTGAGAAAATGTTTATGTTACTAGAATAATTACAATCAATACCAAAATATCTTACTGTTTTTTGGTCAAAAAATACTTTACTGTTATTAATTTAAAATACATTACATTTTTTGTAAGAATCTTATTTTGTCAAAGGTCAGAGTCAAAATTTGCATTAACTAAATTTCCATCTTCATGCTCCAATACACATTATATAAGCATCCAAAGAACCATGTAAACTTTATCAAAACGTATTTACAAACTCTAAACGAGAAACTTAACTCTCATATTCCAAACTTTCAGGCAAGAGACATGGCGGCATTAAAGACACCAATCTTCATCACTTTCGTCTTTTATCTCTCATATGTTAGCTCTTACTTATATATATACTTCTCTTTATATATTCAAATTTCTTAAATCGATTTAGTAAACCAACTAAATTGTGTTTGCTATTGATTAACAGACATATTATTGTTAGTAAACATCTATGGGATTAAGGCGTTCGGAGGTATAAACCCACCATGCTCGACACCAGAATTCTGTGAGTCATGGTGTTTCAGAGAAACAGGCCAGAGAGGACTAGGAGAATGTAGGCTAGGAGAGTGTTATTGCGAGAGGCCAGAGTGCAAGACGGACAAAGATTGTGATCTTATATGCCCTGAACAATTTAATCATTGTATTAATGGAAAATGCGTGTGTTCAACTAATTAATCGATTTCAAAAAAGAAAATAATAATACACTTGTTCTTCCTACTGAATCCCCGATTATATGCAATTCTTAACTTCATCACGCTACTTACCAACATAAATTAACAATATTAGTAAATCAAAATTGTTATTTTTCCCCATTTGATTATTGAAATTTTTTTTTAAGCAATTTCATAGTTGCGACTATGCATGTTTAAATATATTTCAACTACAAAGTGATATATACATATATATATATATATATATGCTAGTAAAGTGTAGGAGAATGTAGGTTAGGAAAGTGCTATTGCGAGAGGGGCGAGTGTAAAACAGACAAATATATATATATATATATATATCTTCTTATACACATTAAAAGTTGAAGCTAAATGCTTCTGAGGGTGTTCACATAAGATTTTTAAAGACAGTTTTAAAATCTTCATTACCAATGAGTACATTACATATTGATCGTAGATTTGCGGTATTGAATATTCATTGCAGTCAAACAATTATAATATAAATTAGAAACTAGTATATTTATTCATTTTTTTGTTGGTAATAACTAATAAAAGTAATTGAAATTAAATTTAATTCAAATAAGTGCTTATTATGAAAAAAGTATATTTACATACTTTAAAATACATGAATTTTGAAAAAATTATCTTAACTACACACTCATTTGTAGTCAACTAAATAATAATTTATCCGAACAAATACTTTTTGTCTACCTAACAAGCCCAAAAATGAAACTTTATTACCAATGAGTATCTATAAACTTAATTAATTATCAATAAATAAAAATTTGTTACTTATATAAGTTTAAGTTATTTGATCTTAAGGCTTTTCACGTAGAATTTTAAATAACTAATTATTATGATTTATATTCATCTATTTTTTTTTTCACATATATAAAACATATTTTCACATAATCTCAAGTAATATATTATGACAAATAATCAAAAAATTATATTTTGTATATTCGACTTGGAATTGTAATAAATTGATGTATAACTTCTTTATTTTGGGTTGTTCAATTTTGTTATTTCATTTTTCTAAATTTGTATGTATTAAATTGTATCAGTTTTGTCTATTCAATTATAATTAGAAGAAGTAATAATGAATATGATGAAAGTGAATATAATCATACAAAAATCATTAAAAAAATAAATATGATATATTCATTGAAAAACAGATATAACAAGAATAAAAATGAACATGATGAAACAAAATTTAGAAGAGATAACGTATAATCATTGAAAATTTATTTAAATGTTTAAACCACCAATTGATAAAAATATATTTAATTCATAAACTTTGTGTGATTTTATTTATTTTATATTCAACTATTATTTTGGTTTCAAATTTAAAATTGTTATTAATCTCAAAGCAAACATTTTATTTATTAGTTTATTTTTTCAATTATATATCAAATTAAAAGTTTGTATCGGTTAAAGAAGAGACGGAAAAAATTAAAATTTAAAATTTATTGTTTTTATTGTTTTTAAAGAACATACATAAATAGAATAAAAGTGAAAATAATAAAAAATTATCTGCATGATATAAAGAAGTGAATGTATAATATTTTATCATCATGTTAATAATATGTTTAAAAAATAGTATTTGATTAATTTGTTAAATTTTTAGTTTGTTTTGGTATATTAACGTATAAGTGTTTGATCAAATAATATATTTTAAAAATATGATATATTCTATATAGATTCAAAACAAAACTGTTGAAACCTCACAATTTATATAAAACTTATTAGATTAACACCATAACATTTTTAATATATTATTAAAATACTAATATATAAAATTTATATCTTAATAAATATAGTTAATTGCATATAATTTTATCAACAAAATATCCACGCGTAACGTGTACTCAAAATCTAGTAAATTAGGTATAAGATAAACAAGTTTGTTGCTGGTTAAATGCTTGGTGTAAAATTAAAATAAAACATAATTTGAATTTTTGCTGATTTAATAAGTTTAGAAAAAATTCTTTTTGCAAATTGTGCTATTTAGAAACAGATTTAATAGTATAGATAAATTCAAGAAATATATTTAGTAAGACATATTTTACTACATAAAATATTTGGTAACAGGTTTAAACATATAAATATTTTAGAGAAATATTTTTTTGATAAAACATGTTTGGCAACAAAAAATACATGTGTTTTAATAGTACAGACACATAAACAACACATAATAAATTACTTTTTAAAAGAGTTTTAGCTAAATTTTATGATAGAATTGTATAACAGATACTTAACGGTTATTTAAAAAAGTTGTTTATTATTTTAAAAACTTTATATATAGGAACTTTAAGAAAAATTAAGGTGTATAGACTGTAAAATAAACTATACCAAAACATTATTTTGATGAAGAAGTATTTCACATATCCTTTTCACCAAAACAACCTAATTAGTAATGCATTTGTGAAAACACACATAGTAATATATTTTTTGTTAACCTTTGAATAAATTGTACTTGTTCATTTAAAAAACCAAAAAAGAATAGGTGAAATATTAATTTCCGCTGGTATCTGAATTTTTAAGTACATAATTCAACAAGTACGGTAAGAGTCGAGAACCAGAATTTGACGGGTTGGAGTTTGATACGAAAACTATTTAAGGATTTATTAATTATAAAAATAGTATATATTAAAAATAATAAAAACAAATGGTTGAAAAAACAATGAAGGGGACCTTCGTGTTTCCCTTTAAAACCCAGTGACGAGGGTTATTGCGTATTCACAATCTTGACTCTTTGGTTATCTCTGGATCTAGGGTTTCTCTCGCAATATCGTCCGCTTCTGATTTTAGAACGAAAAAAAAAACCCCAAATATCTAATATCACCCAATAAACTTTTTTCCTATCAACAACAGATTCATCGGAGAAGAAGAAGAATTAGAGTTATTTTCTCTTTGGATTCATCGGTATTACAGATCTACATTCAAAGGGAACAAAATCTAAAAAAACAAACACTAAATTTCCATCCTTTTCTTTATCCATCCATCAAATCGACTCTTTTTTTTTCTTGATTTTTGCTAAGATAAACTCGGATCCAATTCAAAAACTTGTGTGGACTGGTCATCAATCAATCAATCAAGCCAAGGGACAACGAAAAAAAGTAAAGATTTTGTTGAACGAATTTGAGATGAGACAAAAGACATCCATTGATCTGTAAACTTTCTGATTAAGAAGGAAGAAGGAGAAGTCAAGTTATGTACAATAGTAATAGAGTAGAAGTGTACCATGAAGATGGGAGAGTTGGAGAATTGGAGATTTACCCTCCAACTGAATCACAGCAGCAGCAAGAAGACGATGTTACCAAGCAGAGGAAGAAGAAAGTAATGGAGCAAGTGAAGATGGGAATCAGAATTAGCCATTTTTCTCAACCCAGCGAGAGATGTCCTCCTCTTGCAGTACTCACTACAGTTTCATCTTGTGGCCTTTGTTTCAAATTGGAAGCTTCGGCTTCTCCTGCTCAGGAGCCACTCAGTCTCTTCTACTCGTCCTGCCTCAGGGACAACAAGGTATACTAAACCTTATGGAACCTTTTAAGCCCTACCCTGACATAGATTTCAAGAACTAAACTAATGAAAACTTGGATTTTCGGTCATCACTTAACTTCCTTATTATCAGAGTTGCATCAAGTTTGAGGCTTTGGATTCCAAGATAGTGTAGTGGAGGTTAAATCTTGTGTGGTTTAATGTCGGAATACATAATTGACTGAATTAGCTTAACGGGATTGGATATGAGCTATGTGACAGATGATTCTCATATTTGTAACTTTTTAACCTTTTTGGTTCTTGCAGACAGCAGTGATGCTCCTGGGTGACGAAGAGCTCCATTTGGTTGCCATGTATTCGGAAAATATCAAGAATGACCGTCCTTGTTTCTGGGGATTTAGTGTTGCTCCTGGAATATACGATTCCTGTCTGGTCATGCTGAACCTTAGATGTCTGGGTATTGTCTTTGATCTTGATGAGACCCTCGTAGTGGCAAATACCATGCGCTCATTTGAGGATAGGATTGAGGTGTTGCAGCGGAGAATAAACAACGAGGTGGACCCTCAACGCATTGCCGTTATGGGGGCTGAGATGAAGCGTTATCAAGATGACAAAAATCTATTGAAGCAATATGTTGAAAGTGACCAGGTTATTGAAAACGGGGAGGTGATTAAGGTTCAATCTGAAATTGTACCTGCCTTGTCTGACAACCATCAGCCTCTTGTTCGCCCCCTGATAAGGTTGCAAGAAAAGAATATTATCCTGACTCGCATTAATCCGATGGTATGCAACTCTTGAAGTTAGTATATGTACCTTTCTTGAGCACTTAGATTGTTCTTGATTCTTGTGGTTGAAACTCAATTCCTATCTTTGCACACAGATTCGTGATACAAGTGTTCTTGTGAGGTTGAGGCCTTCATGGGAGGAACTTCGAAGCTATTTGACCGCAAAAGGGCGCAAGCGTTTTGAAGTATATGTTTGCACGATGGCTGAAAGAGATTACGCCTTAGAGATGTGGAGGCTCCTTGATCCAGAAGGGAATTTGATCAACGTAAACGACTTGCTGACTCGCATTGTTTGTGTGAAACCTGGTACACTTTTTAATCATTAACTTATACCTGCTTATTATTCATCAAGGTATCATTTCTTACAAGCTTGTAATTAAACACCACAGGTTTAAAAAAATCACTGTTCAATGTGTTTCTCGATGCAACCTGCCATCCAAAGATGGCACTGGTAATTGATGATCGACTGAAAGTTTGGGATGAGAAGGATCAGCCGAGGGTGCATGTGGTTCCTGCATTTGCTCCCTATTATTCTCCTCAGGCTGAAGTAAGTATAATTTTTACTTTGGTTGAAATCTGTCATGAAAATTGCAGAAGCATGTGAATCTGATCTGATATTTGTATACAAAGAATCCACATTGTATAGAAGGAAACAAATCCAAGCCTTATAAGACCTAAGCGCATCCTAAGCTGTAGGGTAGCTCTTGTGGTGAGTTCTACACAAGGGTCTTTGTGGGCTTGGTTTGGGCCTAATACGTATAGAAGCCATAGTCTTGAATCCTTTAAATGAATGGGGTTACTTATAGCTCATTTCCTTTTCTGTAGGCTGCTGCAACACCGGTGCTATGTGTTGCCAGAAATGTTGCTTGTGGTGTCAGAGGTGGATTTTTCAGGTAAGATGTAAAATTTGATTATAGACGTTCATTTTCAGTGACATCTCTACTAGATCAAGGGCTTCCCTAGTACATTCTGACGGTGAAATGGTATTCTGAACTTTGTAACAGGGATTTCGATGATAGTCTGCTACAAAGGATTGCTGAAATATCTTATGAGAATGATGTTGAGGATATTCCCTCTCCGCCTGATGTCAGCCATTACTTGGTCTCCGAGGTTAGTTGTGATTCTTGTTAATGATATCGAGCAGATAATTTTTTTATTCTCTTGCAAGCATTCTGGGAGCGTTGTCATTTCTACGCTACAATATAAAATTTACTACTCTTCAAACTGCTTCCCAGTAGCTCATTCTCATTTCAATATACATAGGATGAAACATCGGGTTTAAATGGGAACAAAGATCCACTTACTTTTGATGGGATGGCTGATGCTGAAGTGGAGAGAAGACTAAAGGTAATTACACTTTTAGGCTCGATTGTTACAAAGTTACTGTGGTGATCCATTAAGGATGACAACTCCAGTAAACTTGTCTTCTGGTTTAACTTTTTCTGCCCAATGATGAGGGTTAAATACGTTTTTCTCTTCTATTCAGGAGGCAATTTCTGCATCTTCAGTTGTCCTTCCGGCAGCAAATATAGACCCAAGGATAAGTGCTCCCGTTCAGTACCCCATGGCTTCTGCTTCTTCTGTTTCAGTTCCAATACCAGTACCAGTACCAGTCGTGCAACAAGCACCACAGCCGTCAGCTATGGCCTTTCCAAGTATTCAGTTTCAACAACCGACACCAATAGCTAAACACATGCTTCCTTCAGAACCAAGCTTGCAGAGTTCTCCTGCTAGAGAGGAAGGTGAGGTACCTGAATCAGAGTTAGATCCAGATACTAGGAGGAGGCTCCTCATATTGCAGCACGGACAAGATACTAGAGATCCTGCTCCAAGTGAACCTCCGTTTCCTCAGAGACCTCCAGTTCAAGCTCCACCACCACATGTGCAGCCAAGAAATGGTTGGTTTCCTGTTGAGGAGGAGATGGATCAAGCTCCACTTCGTCGAACAGTCTCCAAAGAATATCCGTTGGATTCTGAAATGATACATATGGAAAAGAACAGGCCTCGACATCCATCCTTTTTTTCTAAGATTGATAACTCAACTCAATCTGACAGGATGCTTCATGAAAATCGCAGGCCGCCAAAGGAGGTACTACTAATTTTATTGACCAATGATTTGGAATCGTCAACTTTTTCGGTCTTTGTGCTCACCGTCATATACTTGCAGTCGCTCCGGAGAGATGAACAGTTACGGTCAAACAACAATCTTCCAGGCTCTCATTCGTTTTTTGGGGAGGAGGCATCTTGGAATCAATCTTCTTCTAGGAACAGTGATGTTGACTTCATATCTGGACGAAATGTCCAAGCAGCAGAGAATCCAGCTGAAGTTCTACATGATATTGCTGTCAAATGTGGAACTAAGGTGTGTGAATGTCATCATGATTACCATTAATTCCATTTACGAGTAAATTTTTATATATTCCATGACATTGTAGGTGGAGTACAAGCCGGGTTTGGTTGCTAGTACAGATTTGCGGTTCTCTGTTGAGGTTATTATAGCTTTCAAACTCTGTTTGCACTTACCAACCTTTCGCTCTTGGATATTATATGCTCTGAGTAATTTGGTAGAATTTATGATGCTGTGCCACATCTTTGAGACCATCTCTGATTGTGTCAACTATCCTCTTAATCTACGTTGTTCTTTGCAGACTTGGCTTTCTGGTGAAAAAATTGGAGAAGGGATTGGCAAATCGAGACGAGAAGCCCTGCATAAGGCTGCTGAAGTTTCTATCCAGAACTTAGCTGGTAAGACGTTCTGACTCATGATTTACTCGCGTTTTAAGCTTTCTCTGAAGATATACTTTTTGAGATATTGTTTGAACTTCCCGTTGGTTTTCTCATAAATGGGTTTATATCAATGAGTATGGTAACTGCCACCACAGATGGCTGTGTGTCGGTATGTTATGTTATCACATCAACAGATGGTGTTTGAACTTAAATGTAACTGTGGCTGTGGGTCCCTTCCCCTTATAAGGGTGAGACCTATCTTGGATCTGTGGGCAGTTGGCTTAGAAATTGGATGGATTCATTCACATTGTCTTTAGGATAAGGCTTTATCTGTGTATTTGTTTTTCTTTGTTTCCAGTTTCTTGAGTTTCTTACTCCTTTTCTGCAGATGTTTATCTGTCCCGTGTAAATGGTGACCCAGGTCCAAGCCATAGAGATGCTAGCCCCTTCAGCAATGGAAATATGGTTATGGGAAATGCAAATACGCTTGATAATCAGCCATTTGCCAGAGATGAAACAGCGATGCCAATTCCATCTAGACCTACAGATCCGAGACTAGAAGGCTCTCTGAGGCACACCGGCTCCATTACTGCGCTCAGGGAATTGGTATGTATCTCCGTTATCTTGATACTGTTGCTTGCTCACATCCTCATAGCATTTTTCTCATCTTTGATAACTGTCTGTAACCAAATTCCAGTGTGCATCGGAGGGTTTTGAGATGGCTTTTCAATCTCAGCGTCCACTTCCATCTGACATGGTCCACAGAGATGAATTACATGCTCAGGTTCGCACTCATGGAGATTATAACACAGAAGTGTTAAATTTGTTGAAATGATAGATAGGAAATTTTCATTCAATTCTGGACAGCAGTTATTAAAAGAGAAAGAATCATTAGATGTTCTTAACGGCCATCATTCTATTCCAATTGGTTTGCAGTATCTGAAGTGCAGACCCTCTTGATTCCCGTTGTACTGTGTTTCAGGTTGAAATAGATGGCCGTGTTCTAGGGGAAGGAGTTGGATCGACATGGGACGAAGCTAGAATGCAGGTAACTTTACTAAATCCTTGCCTCGGGTTTATTCTGATCACATGGTTCCCTTTGTCTGATGTTCTTACCTTTAGGCTGCTGAGAGAGCACTGTGTAGTGTGAGATCAATGCTTCCATTGCATAGAAGACAAGAATCTCCACGGTTTGTCCTTTTTCATCTTTGATTATCGAAATAGATTTGTAATAGGTGATACATAATTTAGAACCGGTTTTTTTTTCGTGTTGATGATTAGATCGTTCGCTGGGATGCCAAACAAGCGTCTAAAGCCAGACTTTCAACGGTCGATGCAAAGGATGCCATCTTCAGGAAGATACTCTTAACGAAAATGATTTGAAGGACAAAACTCAATGCACATCAATTCCATTGTCTCTTGCTAAAAACAGCTACCAAGACAAATTCTTTGACAAGTTCCCTTCTTCGACAAACGATGAACCAGAGAGAGATAGAGGAAGAGATTCTGCTCTCGTCTCTTTAACTGTAACATGTGTGGCAAATCAAGATTTTCGTATAATCTGTGAAACTCTGAGTCGAAGCAACAGCTCCAGGGACACCGAGTACCAGACAGACCATGAAGGCCTAAGCATGCACGTTTGGCTTCTTCTCAGGCTGTAAGTTAGTCGGTAGAAATCAGTAAAGTTGGTTTAAATAGTTTCCGCAAAGCTTTTTTCTGCAGTTTTATCATTAACAATCCCTGGTTTCACTCAGACAATAAGATCTTGATTTTATAATGTAATTTTTCCTGTTCTATATTAACTGTTTAGGCTTGCCTGATTCAAAGTCTTATCACATTACTAGCCAACCTATTATATGAGAAAAAGTTACAATAACTGTGAATGGAACCATCAACTGTCTTTATTCAGTAACATTAACAAAACTTTGCACAAGAATAGCCTTAAATAACAACCACAAGACCAGTTTATACGACAGGACAAGCTCAGCTTTGGACATTTTACTGTCCAGAGCTTCACGGCGTAAAAACGCAAAAACTCTTTGGCGCTGACTCAGACTTCCTCTTCAGCAATGGACTCGGAGAAACTTGCTTCAGACTTGATATACTTATACCATTTTGCACAGACCAGGTAAACCACAAAATCAGCTGCGGTTAGACCAGCTAAAAGGAAGTAGAATCTGTCTAAGTGTCCTTTGTTGAGATTCCCAGGGATCCAGCCAGGCAACTCATCTCTTGCAGAGATCTTCATGACAATGGAAACAAGCAAACTGCTTACATAGTTCCCAAGCGATATCGAAGCCATACATAGCGCGCTTGCAAAGCTCTTTAACCCGGTTGGAGCTTGGCTGTTGAAGAACTCGAGTTGACCAACGTACATGAACACTTCTGATGCACCTATCATCATGTACTGAGGCACTTGCCAGAATATGCTCAATGAGCTCGAGTTTGAAACCGAACTCTTGTGTTTCAGTCTGTATATCTCTACGATTCCCGCTGATATCATCGCCATTATTGCAATCACGAGCCCAATCCCCATTCTTTGAAGTTCAGTGAGACCTTTGTTTGGCTCTGTTTTGTTAAGTCTTGCAAAGAGCGGGTCGAGAAACCGCCTGTAAGCAAAGATGAAGAAGGCAACGCTGAGAATGTCGAAACTCGACATGCTGGAAGCTGGAATCCGGAAGCTTTTGATGTTTGTTTTCATGGCTGCGCCTTGCTCGACGAACAATGAAGCCATTTGAGTGAAAACCACTGAGTAGAGAATGGTGCAGAGCCAAATTGGTAAGAGTCTCAAAACACATTTCACTTCTTCAACTTGAGTCACTGAGCAGAGCCTCCATGGATCGTAAGTAGATCCGGTCTCCACCTTCACGGCCTCGTCATCAGGCGTAACAATCGCAGCTCTATCCAAGAATCTGCATCAGACAAACAAACAAAAAAAGAGTTAGAAGGTGATCTTGAAGATAACATCAGAGATTTCAAGAAAATCTTTAGAGCAATTATCTACCTGAAACCTTTGGTATGAAGAATCTTCTTATCTCCAGTTCGTTGAGTCTCGGAATCATAAAGATTCATGTCCTCATAGTCCACATCAATCTTGGCTTTTCTAGTTGCAGCAACCAAGACTTGGCAGAATCTAGACCAAGGACTCTCTCTAGGCGTGAAATGTCTGTACTTTGGCGTCCCAGCCAAGAAAAGTACTAAACCTGCAAAAGCAGAGCCAGCAGAGGCCCAAAACCCTAGCGGCCATTTGCCTTGATCCTCAAAGTAACCCAAGACGGTGTTGGAGAAGAGCGATCCCAGATTCAGAGCTAAGTAAAAGTAACTGAAAAACGCCATTTTTGAGTGTCCTTCAACAGAGTCATCTGCATCAAACTGATCAGCTCCAAAAGTAGCTATGTTTGGCTGATAGCCACCATACCCTAACGCGATCAGATACACCGATAGATAGAAAAGAACCGTCTTGACCGTCGAGTGAGGCTTACACGAAATTTCTTCAATACCACAACCACTTGGGTCGAGTAAGAAAGCACCAGTACACAAAGATAACATCACCAATCCCTATATAACCCATAAAAAAAATGTTAACTTTTGGCTCAAGACACAAACTTTAAAATAAAACAGAGTATAGTGTTGTTGAAATGGGACTTACGGCAACGAAACTTGCTTGAAAGATTGCACAAGTCTTGTAACGTCCCCAATAAGAGTCACTGAGGAAAGCACCAAGCAAAGAGAAGATATAAACAGTTCCTGTCCATTTACTGACATTATTTGCAGCTTCTGCATTGTCTTGTCCCATCACTCTCGTTAGAAACAGAACCAAATTCACTCCTACACCGAAGAAGGCAAGCGTCGCTAGCCCTTGATTCACTATATTTATCAAAAAAAAAACCAAAATTTCTTTAGAATCTCAAACACAACACTTAAATACCAAGAACAGTGTATTTTGAGTATCTATAGAATTTTACCTAGAATGAGAATAGCAGTGAGCCATTTGCCGGTTTTGGCCCGGATTGCTGGATTTCCGTGACGATCAACGCTTCCGTCTTGAGTGTAAACCTCAAACTGTCTTACTTTTTGATCCATCGACTCGGTTTCGTGTCCGGATATTCAAAAAGATTCCTTATCTTGATCCTAAAGATTTGGATGATTTGAGTTGCAAAGAGAGTTCGGTTAAGGAGTAGAGACCAAGTTGGAGAAGAAAGGAGCAAACTTTGAATCAAAGAGGAGGCGAAAATAACGAATGAGAGACAAGATTCGAGGAAAGTGAAGAAGAGAAAAGGAAGTGATGTTTATTTGAGTTTTTTTAGTTGCGATAAAAGTGTGAAGGAGAGAGGTATTATTTATAGAGAGAGAGCTCCGAAATTGAGTCAGAAGAGATCCTTTCTTTGACGTCTCTTTCTTTTCTTTCTTTGGTTTTTTTTATTTAACAATTCTTGAAAAAAAGATTAAAACGGGCTGCCAAAATATATCTGTTCAGTGGATTTTCTCAACAGAATTTTAAATGTAATATACAGTTATAAATAAAGTTATTAATAAAGTATGTATTTTTAACTGGTAATAGGAAATTGCTATGATAAAAATTTATCAAATCTTACTTGAGAATTATTTAATTTATTTAAATAAAAATCGAAATCAGCACTAATATATACCAATGGTAAACCAGTATAGTATAGGAAATTTTAATAAACTTTCCATTACTACAAATATTTATCCTAAAAAATATCTTATATTATATAAAAAAAAGGAAAACACCTGGTTAAAGGTTAGCCAAGCTAATGTGTGCCCAGTTACACCTGGAAGGCTGCTGAAAGAGACCGAAAAAACTAAAAACGTGAGGAAAAATTAAGTAAAAATGTGTAACAAGAACTAAATTTTAAATTTTAAATTAAAAAAAAACAAACAAAACAAGTGGAGAGAAAGTGAAAGTAAGTTTGTTCCCCATTAAAACCGGATTTGGTGTCTCTATCAAGCACGCAACGCTCGTGCGAGCTGTCTTTGATTGCGACCTTTCTTACTCCTAAGTCCTAACTTATACACTTTTTAACCTTCCTTAATTGGTCATTCTTAATCCAACTTTAAGCCCTAATCTAGGTCCAACCTTTGAGACGTTTTAGCATTTCCTTTTTGTTGTGTTAGATCTTTTTTGTGTCTCACATATCTCTAAAGAAATATCTTTTATTTATATATATATAAATAGATAAACATAAACGTGTATAATAGTAACCAAAAGTTTGATATCAATTCGGTGATTTGTTGATACTTGATATATAAAATAATATGAAATACATCCAAATCTAATTTTGTAGTTTACGAAAATCTTATCTAAGTGTAAAAAAATAAGAGATGATTCTTCTTCAGTCTACCAATAAAAAAAGGATCTGAGCATATAACTCTATTACATTTTGTGCCAATTGATCGTACTTAACTTATCACGTGATGTCGTGATCGATCTAGGCTAATAGGCTAAGACATTGCAATGGGTAAAAAAGATTACCCGTAGAAAAAAACTATGTTTCAATAATATCCCAAACCAAAACTCTGTTCTCAACCAGCAGACGATACGTTTTACTAAATTGATCACTAAAAAGCTATCACACGTCTTGGTTATAAACAAATTTACAAGTAAATATTAAATATAGAACAATAGAAGTTTAGAAAAGACGTACCGTGATTTAGAGTTTCATGGATTGGTCGTTGAAGTGTCGATATCGGTTGATTAAAATCTACTTTGCCCACAAAAACTTACTTAAGCAATAAGTTCTTTATATGTGCACAATTCCAATACCTTCTTTTGATAGGACTTATCAAGAGTTATTATAAATTCCTAATTCCAAAAGGATTTGGAGTTTTTCTCTTCTTTTTTTGACCAGTTTATTGAATATGCTAATTAGGTTTTTTTTTTTTAATTTCAACCTCTGCGTTTGATTGAACTTCTCTCTGTCGCTAGACTTTTCTAAGAAGACTATTTACTCGCTTGCTTAGTTAGTTCATTTTTTTTTTTTTTTAAAAAGAGATCTCTTTAGTGATGTGATATACTAATGTGGGTAATCTTGTATTTTTAGCTTTAAACCGGACTAATCGAATTACGTAAATCATCACATTGGACGAAAGCAAAGATTGTCATCTGCTGGACGAAAGTTTTTGGACTATAAGATTAGCATGTAGCGGTCAAGATAAATGTTTTTTTAATGTTTTTACAAAAAAAAAAAAGAGAAAGATATCTGAATTAAAAACTAATGGTAAACCTACTAAACCAGAGATTTGCAAATTTTGCGACGGACCAAACTGGTCTCATCTGACCCGGTAAAAAAATATATGTTTAAGATATCAGTCAAGTTGACACTATACACTATAAGAATGAGGGACTTTTCCGTCGAATTATTTACGACGATTTTAGTCGTCGTAAATTTACGACGACATTACGTCGTATTTACGACGATCAAAAATTTCGTCGTAAATTCGACGTAAAAAATGACCCTCGTAAAATTGTCGTAATGTTACGACGATATTACGACGAATGAAGAACGAATTTTATTTCGTCGTAATATTGTCGTAATATTTACATCGATAATACGACTAATTGTCCTCTATCTTGTAGTTGACGTAAAATCAATGTAAATGTGATGTAAATTTTATTTCGACGTAAATTTGATGTAAATATGCAATGGTAATATGTTGGTAACCAAACAAAAAATTCTATATATACCCTTTCTTCTCTCATTATTCCATCAACCCAAAAAACATATAAAGACACAAATTTTTTGAGTCTTTGAATGTTTAAGTAAAATTTTTAGTAGTTGAAATTTATATCAAATTTCAAAAACAAAAAGTCAAATATTTGTTTTTGAAATGTCTATATACGATCTACGAAAGTGGATGTATACGCCCAAAAATGGTGATGGGTCGTTGACTGAAGACTTCAAAAACGGATTGGAAATATTCATGTACCAAACCGGCCTTATGCAAACTGTAATTGAAAGCGGCAAAATATATTGTCCTTGTGTGAAATGCAAAAATAGGAAACATATTCCTATTGACACTGTCTGGCAGCATTTATTGAATAGAGGGTTCATGCCCCAATACTTTATTTGGTATCAGCATGGAGAGGAATATGGTCAAAGTAGTGGTCAGATGGCTGCACGGAGTAGTAGTAATCATCAAGAACATGTGGATTTTGAAGCGTCCAATGATTATCAAAGTAGTCAAGTTCAGGGTGAAGATCATGATAAGATGCATGAAATGGTTACTGATGCATTTCATGAAACACATGCTGATACTGTTGAGGAGCCCAATGCAGATGCGAAACGCTTTTATGATATGTTAAACGCAGCAAAACAGCCTCTGTACGAGGGATGTAGGGAAGGTTTATCAAAATTATCATTGGCAGCTCGGATGATGACAATAAAAACTGATCACAATCTATCTGAAGTATGCATGAACGATTGGGCAGATCTTATTAAAGAGTATTTGCCAGATGATAATTTGGCTGCTGAAACGTATTATGAAATTCAGAAGCTGGTTTTTAGTCTTGGATTGCCTTCTGAGATGATTGATGTTTGTGTTGATAATTGTATGCTTTTTTGGAGAGATGATGAGAAGCTTGAAGAATGTCGTTTCTGCCAAAAGCCAAGATATAGACCGCAAATTGCTCGGCGTAAGAAGATTCCTTACCAACGAATGTGGTATCTTCCTATCACTGATAGGTTAAAAAGACTATATCAATCTGAACAGACAGCTGCGTCGATGAGATGGCATGTGGAACATTCACAAACAGATGGCAAAATGACTCACCCGTCTGACGGGAAATCTTGGAAACATTTTAACACCGTACATCCAGACTTTGATAGGTCTAAGCGAAATGTTTATCTTGGTCTTTGCACTGACGGGTTTAGTCCATTTGGTATGTCTGGTAGGCAATATTCATTATGGCCTGTGATTCTTACGCCATATAACCTTCTTCCAGATATGTGCATGCAAAGAGAGTTTTTGTTTCTAAGTATATTAGTCCCTGGTCCAAATCACCCGAAGCGGGCCCTTGATGTGTTTTTGCAACCACTCATACATGAGTTAAACCAGTTGTGGCATGTTGGAGTACGAACATATGACTGTTCGAGTGGTAAAACTTTTACGATGCGAGCGGTGCTTATGTGGACAATAAGCGATTTCCCGACATACAGAATGCTATCAGGTTGGACAACGCATGGGAGGTTATCATGTCCTTATTGTCTTCATAGGACTGATGCATTTCAGCTTAAACATGATAGGAAAACCTGTTGGTTTGATTGCCACCGTCGGTTTTTACCACCAAACCATCAATATAGAAGAAATAGGCGTTTGTTTATAAAGAACAAATTGGTTCGTCTCCCTCCACCAGTGTACCTAACTGGAGTAGAGCTTGAAGCGCAAATAGATCATTGGGGTGGACTTGAAACGGTCCCCCTTGGAGGAAATTGGCACACTCCTGCGAATATGCCTGAAAGATATGGGGTTCATCACAATTGGCACAAGAAAAGTATATTTTGGGATCTGCCTTACTGGAAAGATTATTTGCTTATTGAGAAGAATTTTGATGTTATGCACATTGAGAAGAATTTTTTCGATAACATCATGCATACTGTTTTGAACGTCCAAGGAAGAACCAAATACATCATTAAATCACCGATGGACTTACCCGATATATGTAACAGAATTGAGTTGCATATGGTGAGTAATGGGAAAGCACCTGTTCCTGTATTTCGGTTGGGTGCTGAACAAAAAACAGCATTGTTTAATTGGGTATCATCAGCCGTGAAATTTCCTGATGGATATGTATCTAATCTGGCTAAATCTGTGGATAAAGGACAAAAGTTTTCAGGGATGAAAAGTCATGATTGTCATGTGTTTATGCAACGGTTACTTCCTTTTGCGTTTGCTGAACTCCTACCGGGACATGTCCATGAGGCACTAGGAGGCATTAGAGCTTTCTTTCGTGATCTAAGTACAAGGACATTATCAGAAGATGTAGTTGCACAACTGTCTACAAATATTCCAATATTGTTGTGCAATTTTGAGAAAATATTCCCACCTGCTTTCTTCGATGTTATGGAACATTTACCTATACACCTCCCTCATGAAGCAGAGTTGGGAGGACCTGTTCAGTTTAGGTGGATGTATCCGTTTGAACGATTTATGAAGCATTTAAAGGGTAAGGCCAAAAACTTAGCAAAAGTTGAAGGGTCTATCGTGGCGGGAAGTTTGACAGAAGAAACTTCTCATTTCACGTCTTATTATTTTGCTCCGAAGGTTCGTACATGCAAACGGGCTCCAAGACGTTACGATGATGCGGGTGTAGGACAAAGTTATGCAGTAAAAGGTGTGCCTGATATATTCTCACCAATTGGACGTCTAAGTGGGAAACTAAAAGAAACTTGTTGGTCAAACGAACAGGACTACCACAGCGCACATACATATATACTTCTGAATTGCGAGGAATTGGTACCTTACGAGAGGTACATATATACAAATAAGCATGCATGATTATATTTTGATTGCATAGACGAAATGTCCTTAACAATGTTTTCAAATTTCAGCACTTTCGTCAGTCAAGTCCGAGAATGCATTGACGGTGTTTCAGAAGATGAAATTAACAAGCGGAAAGAACAACATTATGCATTGTGGTTAAAAGGTCAAGTCGAGCATGATGACATGATATATGCAGTATGGTTTCATGAGTGGCTCCTAGGTCCTATTTCGAAGATAACTACTGCAGCTATGTATTTTACACGTGGCTATGTTTTTCATACTTATAGTCATGACACTCAACGGGCAACTACAAACTATGGAGTTTGTGTACGAGGTGAAGTAGACTTTTATGGGATCATCAAAGAGATAATTGAAGTGGAATACCCCGGATTAGTAAGACTGAAAACTGTTCTTTTCAAATGTGATTGGTTTGATCCTACGGTAGGTCGTGGAGTGCGTATTAACAAATTCGGAGTGGTAGATGTAAACGCATCTCGGCGATACAATAAGTTCGAGCCTTTTATACTTGCATCTCAGGCAGAACAAGTCATCTTTGTTCCATATCCTCGAGTTCGGAGTACGGGAATTTCATGGCTGGCGGTTGTCAAAGTTGCTCCAAGGGGTATAATTGATGGTGTAAATCTCCCGCCAATGCAACAAGATGATTGTGTCGACATTACATAACCTGATGTTGAAGAAAATGTTCTTTTAATTGATCCACGTAATCGAGAAGTTGAAGATCTACATGGGGACGAAACAGAAGAAGGTGCTGACGAATTTCAAACAAGCAGTGATGATGACGATGATGATGAGGAGAACGAGGAAAATGTTGAAGACTAATTAAGTATGATGTTGGCATTTATATAATTGCATGCTTTTAACGTTTAAATGTAACATTTGTCAAATTTGATAAATTTGTTTAAATTTAAATGTTTAAAAAATGAAAGACAATTAATGAAAATAAAATTTGCTTAAGTGTTGACTTGGACATATGTTGACTATTACGACGAATTTACGACGATTATTTATAAATCGTCGTAAATTCGTCGTAAAATGTAAACCATAAACCCTATAGGGTTTAGCTTTCCCAACTCACAGAATGGTTTTTGGGTGCATTTTTCTGAGTAAACTAATGTATTATATAAGGTTTTGTAGTATAAGTTTAAAGAACTTGTAGATATGTGGTTTATGTTACGACGAATCACACCCATTCGTCGTAAATTCGTCGTAAAATACCATCGAGTTTACGACGAAATGTAACCCATAAATCTTATAATCAATCTTTTCTGGGGTTCGGGAGGGATTTAGATGAAGATAATGATATGGCTTACCATCTCATAAGGTAAAACAACTTTCTAAACAAAAAAAAAATTTCAAAATTTGACATATATGTGTTTATCAAGTAATCTTAAGGTGTTATATATATTTAGAGAAGATGTAAGCATTTAACTTAGATCAAACCAAATTCTTCATTATGTTATGTAAACATGCTAGAAACTTATACAGACCACATTTAGCATGTATAGGCATGCTTGTATGTGCTTATGGGTGTTTCAATTTTTGCAATTCATCATTTTTGTACATACCATCGTAAAATCGTCGTAATATTACGACGATTTTACGACGATATGTAAATACATAGCCGTTATAATTTTTATGATTTATAAGGATTTGTCGTAAATTCGTCGTAATTTTACGATGATTTTACGACGAATAACCCTGATCGTCGTAAATTCGTCGCAAAGTCCAGATACAGCCACGTGTGTGTGTCTTATTCGCTTTGTTGTACGGTTGCAGCTTTACGACGGATTTACGACGATTTCGTCGTAAATTCGTCGTAATGTTTACGTCGGATTTACGACGAATAAAAATTTTATATATATGGAAGCACCCCTTCCTCATTTCGTCGCTCATTCAACTTCTTCTTCTCCCTGCTTCCTCCTCACTTCGTTGCTTCCCTGCAAACCCAAAAAATCAGGTAATTTTTTTTTTACTTAAAATCTAATTTTTATTTTTAATTAGTTTAGAAATACAAACGGTTTAGGTCGGAAATTAGTTTAGGCTCGGAATTTGTTAGATTTAGGATCGGAATTTGTTAGATTAAGGATTTAGGGTGTTTGTTAGATTTAGGATCATAATTTAAAATTAATTTGTAATTTCAAAAATAAAAAATTTCCGGTTTTGCAGACGATGACTCGACGGAGGACGCACTACATCAACTTTATGGCGGACGGACACTCTTCTCGGGCGTCTGCCTCGGGAAACACCGGGACCGATGTCCCTTCATCTTCCGGAGCCTCCCAGGTTCGGAATACCGTAGCGGAGCAGTCTCCACCACCGCCTCCACCACCACCTCCACCACCACCTCCACCGTCGGCTCCCGAACCGGTGGCCCACCCTTCTCATCCGTATGCCCAGTTTACGGTTGAGGACTTACTAGCCCTACCAAGACGGGGGGCTTTACGACGTCTGGTTCCCGGAAAAGCGGAACCAGGCTCTTATTGGTAAGTAAATTTTTTTGTTTTTTATATTGTTTTAAATTAATGCTTTAATTTTCTTAAATATTAATGTAACGTTTTTTTTTTGGTTTCATAGGTTTGACTTGGATAATTGTGTCGGTCGGAGCGTTTCCGACACAATTAAGAGTCATTTCGTTGAGCCGCACTACAACTGGAGCAAGGTGTCGCAAAAGACGTTCGACACCTGGTACAAGTGCTTCGCGGTAATATTTTTTAAATCTTATTTATATCATTTTAAATTATTTTAAATTTAATTAATCTTACTTTTATATTGTTTATATAATTTTTTGTTTTCTTTTGCAGCAACGGTGGAACTAGGACATCGGGATCAATGAGACGGTCCGCGAAGCTTTCCGGCTGAAGGCGCAGAAACGCCTAGTCAACACCGTTTCCGATTGGAAGCGGAAGTGGGAGACCTATGGAGACGACGCAAAGCCGAGCTCCATGTCCACTTTCTGTTGGAACGGGTTGAAGGCGTATTGGCTGGACCCGCATGCCCAAACCACTGCGGCTAAGTGTTCGGCCGTCAGAAACCGGGTCGGTCCTAACGGTCAGAAGTTAGTGACCCCGCACACTTCTGGCCAAATATCTTTTGCGGGAAGACGTCTCATGATGGTAAGTAATTAAATATAAATTATTTCATTATTATTTCATTTTTAATTATTGTTATAATTTATTAAATATTTTTGACTAATGTTTATTAATTGGTAGGCCGAGGAAAACGGAGGAGAACTACCTCCAATGACGAAGCTATTCGAGACCACTCACCGGAAGAGGGACGGGAGCTTTGTCGACGCTCGGTCAGAGGAGATCTACAATGCCGCTATGCAGCGGATCGCCGAGCGGGAGACCCAGGCCACACCTGACGGTACTATCCAAGTACCGTTGACCGTCGCTGAGCAAGACCAGATTTTCGAGGAGGTATGATCTATTTCAATTTTTTTTTAAATTTATTATATTTATTACTTAATAAATAATTAACGTTTTTATTTTCCATTTGTAGGTTGCTCCGAAGAAGAAGGGCCGAACCTTAGGGATGGGCTCTATTAGAGACTGTCATGCCGCCTCGGCTTCCGGATTTCGCACGCAGGAGGATCCGAGTCATCTTCGCCAGGAGCTTGCTACGGCCAATGCTGAGATCACCACTCTCAGGCATGAGCAAGTGGCCCAAAAGCAGGAGCTCACCGAGATGCACGGTCTCTTCGACATCATTGCGGAAGCGGTTCCGCAGTTGGCCACCGCAATCCGAGCGAGGCAACAGCGAACACGAGGAGTCTTTGAGACCGGTGGTACTTCCGGTACTGGACCATCGGACCAGCAGACGCAGGGTCAGTCTTCGGCTCCGGTAGTGCAGACGGGAAACAACGGTCCAGCAGCGACGGACGGCCAAGACGGAGAGCTTCCTCGTGACGTCGATCTCAACCTCGACGATTACGAAATCACATTGTAGATTAAATTTTTTGTAAAAAACAATTTGTATTAAATTTTTCTTTTATTTATAAATTATTTTCGAATTTAAATTTCAATTTAAATTGTTTTTTTCTATTTTTAATTTTTTGATTATTTTAAAAATTTATTAATTAAATTAAAATCGAATTAAATAATTAATTTATAAATCGACGTAAATTCGTCGTAAATTTACGTCGATCTAACGTCGAATATTTAACGACGGATTTACGTCGAATATGTTTATGTCGGATTTACGTCGAAACTTTACGACGAATTAACATCGACAATTAAAAAATTAGTTTTCCTTAATTGAAATTATTCGTCTCATAATCGTTGTTAAATCGATGTAATTTTACATCGATTTTACGTCGTTCTTATGATGGACTTATTTCATTGTACTTTCGTTGGAAAATTTACGTCGCGTTTACGACGAATAGTTTCTGACGATATACGACGATTTTCCTGGGTTGGTAATTTTACGACGATTTTACGACAATTGTTTTACGACGATTGTTTTACGACGATTATTTTTTGTCGTTAATTCGACGTAAATGCTCTTTTACGTCGATTTTACGTCGATATCTGCCGACGTAAAACCCGATCTTTCTTGTAGTGTGAGTTAATGAGGTTTACCAAAAAAAAAAAAAAGTTGAGTTAATGAGTTCAATACCTGTAAAAGAAATTTAAAACATAAGCACCTTATAAATCTCTTTCCAAACAACTTAACATGTTTTTAAACCATTCCTTTTTTCCTCCAAATAATAACTTTTCATCAAAAACTTTAAAATTACAAATTTAACATATTGAAATCAATAACACTTATGTTAGCGTTATTTCATCTTTTATATATTTTTAATTTTTAATTTACAAAAAGGTTATCCCATAAAAACACATGAATTATTATTTATTATTTAATAACAAAAGATAATTCAGGCTATCATTTATTTTTCTAAATATCACAGGTTAAAATCTAGTGACATATTAAATTTTTGCAAATCCAACGAATTCGACTCATAAAATTTATGCCACCACAACATTTTTAATATAATCTTACGTTTTATAGAACTGAATTTTCAAAAATATATATTATAAATTATTTTTTTGAGAAAGAAAGAGCTTTCTATGGAAATTGTACATGCGTCAGAGGAAATTCTGACTTATATATTCATATAACACATCCTCATCATTTCGAATCATTGATTCAATGCGATGATTGTTTATAATATAAGTAGAACAAATTATTACAACTTAGCAAGAATAATTTGATCATACGAAATCTTTTACACAAACAAAACACAAAACTAAGGAACAAGTAATAACAATTTGATTTAATGTCCGCTTGTTTTTGAACAGACAAATTAAAGAAAAAACTCAAAAGAAACACGCTAAAGGTTTCTCACGAAATTAACGTGGACCTTAAGACAAATGCCAAATACCAACTTATATATAACGACAAAATATAATATATTATTTCTTAAAATAGACTAACTAGTGACGTTTTTTTACTTTAGAAAATATACTTTGAGAGATATGCTAATTAAGCAGCCAATTTGAAGAATCAAGTGGGAAGGTGAAGGATGTTGTCGTTTGCAAGCTGTTTCCCAAAACTCCTTTGAATATTTTTAAATTCATCCAACCAAGAAGCTTTATGTCTTCCAACGAAAACGACATTCAGAAAATCAAAACTTTAGTAGACTAAGGTCTGAGGTTTTTATTAGTAAATAATTTTTAATAGAATTAAGAAGTTAATAATAGGCTAAGTTAAGAATTTTTGTGTTAATATGCTTTTTATTATCAAGATTAATCTTAGAATTTAATATCCCAGAAAAATGATATGGTACCATATTGCAGCTTTGTTCGGATTTATATCTTACTTCAATCAATATACTGAGCACATTTCTTTAAACTTTTCATCAAAAAAGCATGAACCCAGTTTTTAATGTATACTATTAATATCCATATAAATTTCACTGGTACAACGTTAGTCATCATGTAAATGTATACTATATAGTTATCAAATTGGCGTCGATCTTTTTATCTTTTTCTATAATAGACTTTTGTAGGAGTAATCGGCTACTACGTGGAAACTGCTAGAACGATAAGAACAAAAATTACCAATACTGAGCTTTGACTTTGATTCCACAGCTCAAACTTTGTTTGCGTCTGCAATTTGGCTAGCAGCTCTCTAAATAAGTAATTAATGTGTGAATTGTGATTAGTTATTAAACCACGGGATTAAGACAAAGTGCGTATGGTCAATATTATAAGCGGTTGCAATTATCTATTCCGTTTTGTATATCGCTTATCAACTTTATCAGAGCAAATAAAGCAAGTTAATTCTACCTATTTCCTTAAGATATACGGAAATTTATTTTCCACATACGTAGTATGAATATTTTATAGTTACAGATCACTCTAGAGTGACATCGTCGCTAATTAGTTTAATCATAAGCGTTGCCCAGAATATCCTTCGGATCTTAGGTAACCATATATATAAAAAATTTAAACTATAAGATATAATTTAAATAAGACCACATGTAACTTGTCTATTATTTGTTTTACAAATTTTTATGCGTTAATCAGATATACCAAATGTATCAATCATCTCAATGGCCACAACAATAAAATTGGAGCGTAAGCATCTATAGCTTATTTACCATCGAAGTAACATACTTGATGATTTTGTAAGATTAAATAAAAGGGAAAATAATTGACATTTTTTCTTGAAATTTTTTCACACAGAGCAAATTAAAAGGTATAATTTACGAACTTGTTCTATCTTGTGGACATAGTTAAGAAAATCATCGAAACAAGAAAGTCTTCGTTCCTAGCAACTTGGATATTAGAGTATATATGAATATAAATTAGATCAAATGATACAGAGAAGAGCTTATATCAAATGGAAACGACGTCGTTATTATTTTCAATCTCGTACGTCTTAATCCACCTAATTAAGAAAAAGAAGCACTAGTTCAATGTTTGAACACACAAACACACACAGAGACACACAAACACACACAGAGACACACAAACACACACATTTTTTTTACCCAAAAAAAAAAACACATTTCTATGTACGTTTTGTTACATTTTTGAGATAAGAATAAGAAGCATTAAATGAAAAAGTTGCTGACGTCGACTTGATTCGGCGAGGGGATGTATCAGGTCATATATAACTCGAAGAATCCCATGTCGAAACCATATCAATCTCTAGAACCTAAACTGAGTCTTTATACCACTTAATACGTCTATAGCGATCAAGAAAAAAAATTCCTAAATTAGTAGTGAACATCCGTAGATTAAACAATCAATGACCTAGATCCATCACCATTCGATATATGTTATTAGAACAATATTTTTTTGGTCTATCAGTTTATACATTTTTTTGTCTTAATTAGTTAATGATATATAATTTAATCGCATAAGGTCTGTGTAAGTTGAAAGCTAAAACCTCTTAATTTGAACAATGAATCTACTCTTTGTTTGACAGATAAAAAAAATTAGACGAAACGATAGTAAGCAGCTTGGAGATTAGCTTAGTTGGAATGAATATAAAATCAACATGGGAGCTTATTGTCCACCTCATACAGCTCGATCCACCAAATTAAAAACGAAGTCACTTGCACATTGTAAACACAAAAATATGTATTTTGTTTTCTTGTTCGATCTGTAGTACATAATAGACGATATTTTATTATTTTACCCTTAAAATTAAAAAAAAAAAAAGAAGACTTCATGACAAAAATAGATGATGTTAGATTTTTGACTTACCTATAGTACTTTGGATCGGTGGTGAATTTACTAGACTATACGCCGAGGAGACGACGCTTACATATCTGATATTTGTCTAAAAAGAGACACGACAAAGTGCATAAATAGAAAGAATTCATATTATAAGCACGATGATTTATCTAGTCGAATCATTCATCTTATCAAACTTTTGTTTTTCTTGTTATTTATCTCCAAATCAACAAGTTGCTATTTATTTTATGGATAACTTCATTTTCATTTGCATAATTTAATCTCTTAGAATTATATTTTCCACAAAAAAAAACTTTGTTTTAGTTGATTATTTTAACAACTTTAGTTCTTATAGAAAAATCCTTGTTTAAATGTATATGTTGCGTTTAGAAAATAAGATCCAAGCATAAATAATATCTTGGCTGTTATTTCAAACACTATTTACAAAAATCAAGTGCAATTATGAAAACATAATATACACAAATTAAGACAAGATAAATTTTTTCCTTTGAGCAAAAAAAATGTATTATCATTAGATCAACCTCACAAAAAAAGAATTACATGTTAACCATGTAGCTTTTGCCAAGACTGAGCCAAACAATAAGATAATCGTGGTACAAAGTTAAGAAGATAGAATTAAACCAAAGATTGAAGAAGTTAATATCGGGTAAAACTCCCTTAAGCTTGGTAAATTCAACATCATTGATCGAATCAAATATGTATAATCTTGAAATTCCTTCATCCTAAACAGTTTCCAAAGATGTTTTCAGAATTACCGACTCTGCAACAAAAGCTGAAGCGATGAAATGATGAAATGACGACTCGTGGGATAAAAGAACTTCAGACTTCTCATTAATTAATCATCCTTTCATCACTATGGTGTGAAACTAAACACTCAGGAGTAAAAAGTTATCACCATGATAGTGATCTGAGAGATTCATAGACCCATCTAAACCAAAGCCAATTTCCAAGTTATATATCCATGAGCAATACGTTTCACGCTTCATAAAGGAGGAAATTGTCAGGAAAACACATTTAATACGGACTGCATAGAGCAGTAAAGGCTCGCATGGACAAAACTCAAAAGACTCTCTTTTACTTTATCTCTAGATAAGATAGTTAAAAAAGAAGCTTCTAGCAGATTGATGAACGTTGATGTTGTCAGCATACCATTCTAGTTAATTTTGATTCGAGGGTGGTGTATAAAGAAATTTTTTTTGTTTAAGGGATAAAAGAGCATTTAATCATATAATTAAGTCA